TGGTACGAGCTTACCACATAGTTTTGTTCCATAAAGGAACCAAAGATTGGAAAGGCGATGTAAGTTTGCCAACAACTTCGCCGTTTGAGCAAGTATCGATGGAGGACAGAGGGTTAATCCCTGGCCTTAATCCGCACTGGAAATGCACCCTTATTGCGGCTGCATTGAAGAGTGAATCTGGCCTCGACTTTGGGTAGGGTTTGCGAACAACCGTGGTTACTTGTGGGAGCTTTAGAAGTGGTCCATTGAACTGGGCTCCTGAAGGAATTTATCCATAAGTTCCATAAAAGCGCAATGATGGCAGAGGTTGTACTGCTGTCTGGCTGCTGTTTGAAGTAACTACGGCGGCGGTGGTTTCCGATGCGCTCCTAACAATGCATAGCGCATTTGCCAGCCGAAAATATTTTACGCAGAATAACGCAACGTCCATCAATTGTCCTAAGCCCAGGCTATGCACACATCAAAGGCAGGACAGCCCGCGCACTGCGCGCCAAAATGCCCTCGCGAGGGATTCGGACCGGCCGTGGCCGGCGCGGTAGCGTAAAAGCTATCCATGGGCATTGCGTCTGTGAATAGGCGGGCCACGCAAGGCTGCTTATATTAATTCACGGCACAGGGCATGCCTGATTAAAAGGCCTCACCGAACGCGCAGCAATGCGCAGCTCGCACGGCTAAGCGTGGGGAAACACAAGCTAACGAAACGACGCGGAAGGGGCTTAACACCCTGAGTTCACACAACGTTAACTACTCACAGCCATTCTTTATCAGGCGAGCCCTTCTTTCCATGCATTTTCGTTCCTCGCTAGAAGCGCAACGGTCATGCAACCGTCTTCAATCCAGCAGGAGGATTGCTGTTATAGGCCCTCCAGACTCCTCCCATCTCACGTTCATACCAAGAAAACTTACAGGCGGCTTGGCCCTATCTCGCCAAAGTATTGCTTTCTCGCAAGTGCATTCAAACCGCTTTCGGGTTGCCCCTTTCTCCACCCGAGGTGTACCGGGTGCGGGGGTCGAACACCGCCCCGTAAGTACATTCTGTACAAGGGCGGCGGGCGAGCGTCTGCGGTGGGAAACTCTGCTGAAGTCATCACATGCGCACTATCCTACTCTTGTTGTTTACCTTCCATGCATGGGTAAACCTTATGCAAGTGACGGGCGCATGTGACGAACTCGCGATGGCTGAAACACCATAACATCAGCTTGCCAACGTCCGCCACTCCAAGGTTTTCCTCCACCGGCTTTTTTAATCTTACAGTCGTCTTTGTATCAGGCAGTTCCCACTTTGGGCAGTTCGTGGTCGCCCGCTGCTGCTTTTTAACAAATCGCATTCTGCTTGCTGCTTGCTTACCTGCCACGGATGCCTTAAACTCCGCTGTAAGGGGTTGCATGCACCTCAGGGCTGCGCAGGGGGAGCGCCCAAGTAGGGTGTGCAAACCCTAAGTTAACTTGCGAGCCGACCAGGAATGGAGTTGGGCCGCTGTTGACCCGGCAGATTCCGTTGGATGCCGGTGGTGGGTGCGGAACCTGAGCGATCCACTGAGAAGTTGACTAGGGTGACTGGATGAGGGTGCCCCGAAATACCGGGGAAGGCAGGGTTTCGCAGGGTAGCTGCCATGGGCGAAGATATACCCCCCTGTTTCACACATCATACAGCGAATTAAAGCAAACTGACAGCCAGGATTTTGCTCATCCTCTCAACAGGACTGAAACTTAGAGGCTTGCTGCTTCCCCGCGACGAGCTAAACATTATGAAGGCTGGCGAAAGACTGCGAAAGGATATTTGCTGTTGCACTAGTCGAAAATGCACGTTTGCGATGCAGCGGCAGTATTATACTTCCAGGCACGCCGACATTATGGGCGTCTCTTTTTTTGAAAAGCGGGACATCCGAGTTCAGCGCCAATTCTAGTGCTGCCGTGGCAATGCCTGTTCACCCCAGCAAGTCGCACCATATGCACGCATAAGGAAATTAAAGAGTCGCAGCATTCATGCATTTGCCATGTGGCAACATGTGCAAGAAGTTATATATTGTACCTATCAGAGCGTTAAGTATTGGTGCAAGCCTTACAAGCGGTCCATGATGGTGTTTGGTAGGCGAAGGCGTCAGATATGAACGGGGCAGGCGTCGCAACTTCCGGATAATCGCGCTGACAGCGGCGGATACGTCAGCTCAAAAGCGACAGTGTGTTACTTCATCACTGGAGAGAAAATGGAAGGATTATGCTAAGAGCAGGTGGAGTGACCACCCGTTGGCTGAGCATCGACACATCGCTAGCCAGACTAGCAGCTCACTCGTGCCCGCCCCGGCAGGCAGCCGCACCATTACAGAGGGCCTAAGCACCCGCGAGCTACTATATAATATATTTCTATAATTTTTGAGCTGATGTTTTTGTACAGAACTCGTGTGCGCCTTGTTTGTGTTGTTCGACTTCGGTACTGGTACTGGAACTGGTAGGATTTAAGGTGGGCGTCCAAGTCCTTTCCTCATACAACAACGCATGAAGCGAAATATTTTTTACAAGAGTGATTTTCTACTATTTCAGATTATATTATAATCAACCAATTACAGGAAGTTCCAGCGGTCTGCTGCGGGGCACATAAAGAAGAGAAAGAGAGGTAAGATACACAAAAAAGAGGCTGTAAGCATAGGCTATAGATCAAAGAACATGCTGTTAGCAGGCCCCGCGCTGTGCCAGGTTAATGTCGTGCCATCCTCGCGCCACCCTGAAGTTCCACCTTACGCATTGATTACCAGTGCGAGGTACCAACATGTCGTATTTTCCTTTTCTTTTCCAGGTGTTTTGATTGCGCGAAGCGGACAACGAGAGGTGGCGGCATTCGAAGAGCCAGCACTTTGCAGTTGACAGTGCTTCCCTGTAACAGTAGTAAGTGTGATATCATAGGAAGTCTTGATCATCGAGGCATTGTTATAGTCTCAGACATTACTACCTTCACTATTCCGTGTCATCGTTTAGGACGGATGGTGACGCGTGAAGCCCTGACATGCGACGAACGAGCTTGCGTAGTTTAAAGCTATTAAATAATCATAATGGATGATATCAAGGATTCTGGAGTGTTGCTAGCGAAGTTCACAACTAGGTGTGATAGCAGTTGACTAGGATGAAACTGCCACTGTTTAAGCAGTTGCAAGGAGCCGCAATCAACAGCCGTATCTCCTTGAATGGAAATATTTCTATCCCTTACGATTTCTGGCACGCACTTCCAACTGATTTACGTGCAAATCGTGTCCAGTCCAAAGCGCAAAGACGGCGGCGCCCCGCAGCGTGGCGCCTGCGCATCACACATTCAAAAATGTAACACTTCAGAAACGCCGACCAACACTTAATATGCCCCGGCTGTCCTAGCTTGCGGCGTCTCCCGGCGAACCCCAATCGCCAAGCACCGCATAGACCATACGCCCTAGAAACAAGCTACGGCATAGCGAAGCAAAACTCGGTAGCACACAATGTACAGATTTCCGGCAGCAACCGTCGTCCGTAGCAACCGTCCGTAGCAACCGTCAGCAACAAATCAGGGCATGAGACGTTGGTTGACGTTGCAGGTTTGTAGCCTAATGAACTGCTGCAAATGAAACCACCAAAATGGGCGTTGGTACGTCTTACGCTAGCGATATCTCACGCAATTATAAAGCGCTTATGTGCCGGCGGAAACCCTGGCAAATATACGGGCAATATATGGCCAGGTTGCCAACTGCAGGAGATCAATCGGTGCAAAGCGCACGGGAAGCCTCACGCACCTTCGGCTGAACTTCCCCAATTTTTCAACAGCATTTTAGGCACGCTGATAAACAAACTCTCAGCCGAGCTTGTCGCAACGTCCTGTCCTGCAAAGGTGACGTCACTCAGCCTCCCACGCCTTGACGGCCTCGAAGCCTTTCGGTATTCCTCCCCGCCAAAAGCTGCGCTACGACCTGATCTCCCGACCGGCAACGTCACCATCCTTCTCCATCTCCATCTCCATCCCAATCCATCCTCCATGCAGTCCACTTCTTGCGGTGCCGCAAAGTCCAACCCAACGCAGCCCCAATCCCGCCCCACCAACGCCACCCGCACAACCCCGACCCCAACTTCAAAATATTCATCAACGTCACCGGCGTCCAGCACACGTGACTTTCACCCGGGTGCGGCCTCACGCCGTCACCACATCATGGCCGCTGCAACTGGCGTTCCGGATACAGCTGTGGACGGCCTGGCGGAGATGGGCGCTGGTGGCGACGTCCACTTCATGGTGGCGGGACTTCAGAAGGAGAATGCGCATCTCAGGGAGCTTCTGGAGTCCCAAGCCCTCCAGATAGGTACGGATCGTACGGTAGCTGTACGGCTTCGTACATCCTGCGAAGCGACGAAGTTGTGTAGGGGCAAGACACGGGGAAATGGCATATGAGGGACGGCAACAAGCTTTTTCCTGCCTGCCGTCCGAAAGCTGAGGTTGGGCCCGGCCAGGTCGGTCCGGGTCTTCATAAATGCTTTTATTGTAAAGGGAAGGTGAACCGGCGGAAGATGTCAGATGTGCTGTCACCTAATGTGGGGCGAAGAGAGGCGTAGGCGGATGAATGAGTGTTCTCGGAAAAGGAGGTGGAGGTTGAGCGGGGGAGGCGCCAGCACGGCGGATGTGGGACGCGGAGCCCCCGAGGGAGCCCGTGCGTGGTTGTGGTGGTTGTGGTGGTTGTGGTAAGGACGGCTGAGAAGGGCCCCTGGGCCCCAAGAGGTCATGTCGATGGGTTGTCAGCGTCGTGCTCTTTATAAGTACCCCCCTGGCGCCCTCCCTCCCTTTCTTTGCAGCCGAACAGCAACAGGCCTTGGCGCAGCTGCGGGCGGAGCTGGCTGATTTGCACGACTCCCAGTCGTTGTACCGCCGCCAGCTGTCCGCATCACTGCTACTGCCGCTGGAGGACGATAGCTACAACCACCCTAACCACCTTAACCACCCTAACCAGGTGCAGCTGCAGCAGTCGACGGTTGCCGACTCGGGGCTCTGCAGAGGCAGCCGCCAGGGCAATGCGGGTGCTGCGGATGAGGATGCCGTTGACCTCATGGGATTGCGGGTCTCGGCGCCGCCTACGACAGCGGCCCTTCCCACTCCCGCTCAGGCCACCATCCGTGTGGTGTCGGTTGTCAGCCCTACCCTGTCCCTGTCCGACAGCTGTGGCACGACGTCATCATTTCACATTTCACGGAGCTCCTCCCGTGCTGACGGTTTCGGATCTGAGGCTAGATCTCGATCTGGATCTGGATCTGGATTGGGATATGAAATCGGGATGGAACGGGGAATGAGCCTTTTTGCCTCTTCACCCCTGGCGCCTTCTCCGCCAGCTTCATTTGGTTGCGGCAGTAGCAGCCCGCCATCGCCGCACTCTAAGCAGCATAAGCAGCAGCTGCAGCCGCAGCAACAGGAACAGCAACAGGAGGGACACTCTGCAAATGCACCACATCAAAGCAACGCCATTATCAGCGGCAACACCAGCAGCAGTCGCAGCAGCTGCAGCTACAGCTGGCGCCTGCGGCGAAGGCGGCATCAGCCACAGGACACAGCTGTGGCCGGTCTGGCGGCGGCCCCGTCAACACAGACCGCGTTTCTTTCCGACAGCGATTCTGCTGGGTGCTTCCTGCTGCCGTACAGCATGCTGTTGTATTCTGGTCCAAGACCTTTGAACCACCGAAAGGAGGAGGAGGAGGGCACGGCGTTGATGACAGCGGCGCCGACGGCGCCGGCGGCGGACAGGGGTTTGCACCATGGCGACCTACGGCGGGGCGGCGGCGGCGGCGGCGGCGGTGGCGGTGGCGGTGGCGGAGGACTTCTATCCCTCGGCGGCCGCGAGCCGGACTTTGTACAGTATCTAGGGCACTTGACAGAGTGAAGACTCCTGCAGAGCTGTAACCTGTGAAGTATTAGATCGTAGAGCCAAAGCTGCTGTACAGCTCTAGCTGCCCTTTACAGCTCCCCTGCACAGCGTGGGCTCTCCTGATAAGCGTGCGCGCTGGGTGGTTTGCTGGTAAGGGGGTAACTAAGTGTACGACACCGTCCATGTAAAACACATGCAGTAGCTGCTGCTGCTGCCGCCGCTGCGCAGGTTGCAGCCGTTCAGGCATATGATGGTTTTCTTTTATTTCGCTGGCCGCTAGAAGCAAAAAATAGCACTTATGGGGAGATCGCGCAAGGGCAGAAGATCTGCAAGTTTTGTGCGAGCTCCAAGCCGTGAAAGACGAAAAGCTACTGTACTTTTGGACTGCTCAGCATATAGCACCTGTAGGATTTCTGTCGGATTTGAGGTGGATCAGAGTGGTAGAGGACGACCAGCTGAAGTCGGCGAGGTCGGCGAACCACAGTATCCGGCTAAGGAGGGTCTCAAACAGTAGGCGCACTGCTACGGCATAACAGTCTGGATAGTTCGTTTCATCTGACACATGGTTTTCCTTCTTGATGGATAGGATGACAGGTTTTCTTATACGTTTTTACATTACCTATCTTTTCTCAGACATACAGTCTTTGGCCCCATCATCAGGGTTCCAGGTGTGTATGGTTCCCCGCGTTAATACACCTCTGGCGGGTGGTAACGCCCGGGTGGTCGCCAAGGTGTATAACACAGACAGAAACACACGCGAGCGCACACACACGCACACGTACACACACGCATATTTGATCGTGAGGGTCACGTGGCCGCCTTGAACGAAGAACAACGCTAAACCCGAAGAGGGGGGCCAGCCACCTACATGCGCGCGTGTGTGTGTGTGTGTGAGTGCGTGTGTGTATGTGTGTGTGTTGAAAAAATGAGGGAGATGCTGATGGTGGTGCTCGAATGCGCATGTGGGTGTGTGCATGTGTGAGAGAGAGTAAGGGGGGCCTAGGGAAGTTTACGTTGCGGAGTCGCAGTCGAATGTATTGAAGCTCAGTAGTTCCTTTACATTTCGTAGGATGGCATGCTAACTATCGTATTAGTTTCTCGGAGAAGGAATAAGAAGGTTGTTGTACATATCTTGGTTTGCATGTGATTCCGTAGCGCAAAGGCCTGGAGGCCGGCTAGCTGCTGGGTCGCCGTCTTGTTGTAGTCTTACCTTGCGTTGTGCAGCCAGATAGTCAAAGTAGCTCAACTTACGTTCACAGGTTTGCATAGGTATCTGTCGGCTCATGATACGGTGGGGCGGACGGGGGAGGCACATGTAGGATGTGGGGGCCTCAGGGTCTGGATCCAAAAATTATTTTGCAGGTCTTTATCTGGCGAGACGCAGCAGCAGCAGTAGCAGCGTCCCCGTTTCTGATGTACACGAAAGCAGCAGATGTGTTCTGGAACCTAGTTCAGGAGCTCAAAATAGCTCACGCACCAATGATTGGTCAAAACTCTGTTCAAAAAAGAGAAACTATTTGCTACCATCGGGCTGCGGCTGGTATTTCGTGTGTTGCGCGTTTAAAACCCCCACCGTCTCACAGTTCCCCCGTTTTGTCTTGTTCTTCATTCCCCCATTTGTGATCTGGAGTTCATTTATTATAGGTGAAGGTGTTTTTAAGGTGACAGTCTATTTGACGCGTTAGCCTCCTTTCGATTCCGTTGGTGTTTGCCTTAGTTCTGTGGGGACGCAGGAGATAGGGATTCCAGGTAGGATCCACCGGGCCTTTCCTCATTAACACAGGGGGGGGGTATTAATATCACTAATGTTAACACTTACCCTAGGTTTGTTATCTTGTGCGGGCCGCTAGCTGGCCGGACGCTGGCTGTTGCATTTGGAGGCGAAGTGCTCGTATCCTAGACCGAAGAGTCTGGGACAAGGAAGTCTCTCTTCTCTGGTCTTAGGAGACTCCTCGGTGTTCCCCCTATATGAAATAAAGGGAGCAGATCTCGCTCGCCATGTTATTTCTTTACTTCATGTCACTACATCGCTCATTTTCGCTAAACCGCTGGCCGAAGACCAGGTTTACCGACGGACGGACAGACAGACAGACAGGCAGACAGACAGACTGGCAGTTACTTTCGTCCTGATAGACTTTTTTATTTTTTGCCCGACCGCGCCAATGTTGACTTGCGTGTATTGTTGGGAGGTGGGAAGGTTTCCTCTGTGGTTACGATGTGCCATGTGTGCGGTCGGAAACAGCGCCACTCACAACCCACAACCCACAAAAGTAAGCCGCCACTGCTCCCCCAAGCTGTCCCTCGACACGCCGCCTCCCACGCCAGCATGGAATCTGCCGTTCGTGTATTTGTTTTGGAAGGGAGCCGGCATCGACCGGCCAGGCTGGTGGGCTGCTGCGGGCGGTTGGAAAGCGGTTGTTTTGGCAGTTGCTGGTGTGATTATTAGTTGACGCACTGATGGGCAAGCGGCTCCTTTCTAATGAGATATACCTATGATCTCTCCCAACGCCCAAAAAAGCCGCAACTCACCCCCAACCGCAGCCCCAACTCCTTGCTCGGTGTGGATGCGGTGCGGATCGTTCACTGACCCGATGTACCGGCCTGAGGGGAGCAGTGTCAGAGCCCCCGTCAGTGGTGTGTGTGGTTGTTACAGTGGGCCCCAGCCAGTAGTGTGTGTGGTTGTTACAGTGGGCCCCAGCCAGTAGTGTGTGTGGTTGTTACAGTGGGCCCCAGCCAGTAGTGTGTGTGGTTGTTACAGTGGGCCCCAGCCAGTAGTGTGTGTGGTTGTTACAGTGGGCCCCAGCCAGTAGTGTGTGTGGTTGTTACAGTGGGCCCCAGCCAGTAGTGTGTGTGGTTGTTACAGTGGGCCCCAGCCAGTAGTGTGTGTGGTTGTTACAGTGGGCCCCAGCCAGTAGTGCTTTCCTATAACAGAACAGCGTTCGCGGTGTTGCTTTGACGGCCATTACCGGATCGTGCGCATGTCGGAAGTCCGACTTATGGATTGCTGGCTCGCATTTCCCTGTGTATGGAAGTCTGTTTAATGACACGTGTGGATCGCCCTATGGTGTGTGTGTGTGTGTGTGTGTGTGTGTGTGCATGTGCGTGTGTGTGCATACGCCTCTATGCTGTTCGAGGAGAGCTTTGTAGATGTTTATGGGTATATTACACCCATGCTGTATGCCTTTGCAGCCGTTGCTGCTCGCCCAGTTGGGCCAGCAGCTCGCTTTTGAGGCCGTCGGGCATGTACATGTGCATTTTTCTGTGCAGGGAAGTGTGTGCTGTGCTGGTTGAGGTAGTTGGTCCAAGGCTTTGGCCCTGATCGAGTTCCTAGCTCCTTTTTCTTTGGGCAGTTCATCATCTGCACGAGTCGACTTGTGTATGCGTTCGATGATAGCCGATCGGTGCTGAATTTGAAAAGTGCCTGCATGTTCTCTTACCTGTCCGTGTGTATGTCTTCTTGTTCCATCCCTTCGTACGTATAAATTGTACATGCTTTGTATACGCTTTGGATTCAGCGGTTAGGCTTCCATGGGAGCCGTGCCCTATTAAGAGCGGCCCGCTATACTATTCACTGAATTGGCAATCGTTCGGCGGAGGTCATCGAGGCAACCAAGCAAAGGCTAAACCGTGGTCGGAAGAAGAGATGCGTCTTGGCGGGGTGGGTTGTAGTGCCTTATAGCTGCTGAGGGTATGGCTGTAGGATTGATTATCCGTGATGTGGCCGTTCACCTGCAACTTAATGAATGTCGGTTAGTATAAGGGCCGCAGCGAGAGGTCTGCAAACTCTGCGCGTCTTGCGAGTCGTACCGCAAGACATGCAACCCGAGTTAAGTCCTTCGTTAGGTATGGATTTCCTGCCAGTATTTTATTCTGGGCAGGATTAAAAAGCTGGATTAGCAGCCGAAATAGGCTGCTTGGCTGGAACAGTATTTGGATCGTGTGCGAGGAATACATATGCAGTCGTACAGGGTCGTACATACAGGGTCGTAGCACAGAAATTCTTGTGAGTTCCGTGCATGCACATGTAACAGCGATCTCGTGCGCTTAACGATGACTACCATGTTAAAATTCAATTTACTACGCTACGCTCAATGAAGCGAAGGAAGCTGCACGCGGCACATATTACTAGGTGCAGCAATATTTCCTGTAAAAGGACCGGACCCCCGCTTCAATCATAAAATTAGCAGCATCACAGGATTAAGCGGATTTATTATGCTAAGATGGCTAACATCAGCCCTGCTGCAGGGCTGAGCTGAGTAACGCAGGCTGACAAATGTACGTCGCATCGCAACTGTTACGTTGGCAAAAGTGACGAAATGCGATTATGCGCACGTGGAGAATACTTATTATGCTTCAGTTTTAAAGCTGTGGCAGGGCGCTGACCCACGCGGCCCCGCTCGTTGGCATGGCTTGCATCGTTACATGACTACCGCAGCAGATGCAACATGTGCACTCGTTTGCTTGCGTCAACTTCGTGCACTGTAATCACTCTAATATTACTTTGTCTCAAAGCGGCTAGCCCAATCCCTATAACCAGGGCTGAGTTACCAATCGGACAGCATTGCTGCCCAGTTAACGAAAGCTTGCTTTGGCGTAAGACAATTCATGGTCTGAGCGCCAATGCCACCAAGCAGCTCGAACCTTTTCTCAACTACCAGTTCCTCCTGCCAGAGCTGGAGGTCATGGCAGGACTTAAGTACCCCAGCTCAGGGAAAAGGCTCCGCAAATTCGTCTCAGAGTTAATGAACGCGACGCGACCGTTAAAAGTGGGAGTTGTTGGGGGAAGGTGAGAAAAGTCGCCCGCACCACGGCTCCGGAACCCTTACACGAGACGCCTTACACGTATACATCACGCACATCCGGTTGTGCGACACGTCCACAGCATCAGCTGGGGCACGGGAGCCACGATGCGTGGAGAGCGCGACTGGTTCAGCCTCTTCATGAGCTGGCTGGTGAGAGATTTGATCCCGCTGCATCCCACGAAGCACGTAGTCGCAGTTTGACCAACCGGCGAACCGCCATACCTTACTTTCCTCGCTCGTTAACCATCTACAGTTGCTGTTCGTTGCATATCTGCAAGGATGGTGAATCGGTGCCTTCTCCTAGGAAGGAAAAATCCTTAGGACTTTACCCTCCTTTCCTTAGAGTTGCGTGCATGCCTCGGCTAGAAACATCCGTTACGCCGCCCTTACGCTGGCCCCACTCCGTAACGACTCACGCAATCGTCAGATGGCCACGCTGCCCCGTTTGAAGTAATGTGCGCTTCATCTCCCCCTCTTCCCCCCTTCCACTAGGCCTCCGTGTCCTCGTACCCCGTGACGGGTCGTAACGGCTGCATACCCGGCACCCCCTCCCACTACATGGTTCTGTGCCTGGAGCACTCTGTGGACGTGGACCTGGACCTGGTGCTAGTGGAGTGAGCGCGTAGCGGTTTCCATAAGGAGCTAGATAGAGGTTTTAGTAGGGCGAGTTCTAGTGGTGTTTTATTTTGGGTTTTAACCCGGAATCCGTTGAAATCGGTTTTAGGGTTTTAGGGCCCGTGGCATCCGTCCACAGCTCGCCGGGTCCTTCCACTGCTCCAATTATCTTTAGTTGAAAAGATCTAAAATTTTGCGTTTGATAAGTTCCACACGCATTCGTTTGCCTTTGTGTGCAAAAGGTTTGCGTTTACACTTGCTTTTCGACCCCCACTCGCTGTGCGATGCTGCTGCCGCTACAGCTGCTCAACATTCTACTGATAGTACTATTGATTTGCTCGCTGCTGGGCTGTCATTGCTACTAATGCAACGATTATGTTATCACCACTGCCCACTGCCAGATACGTGTTCAATGATGGTCTGGATGACTGTGACTGCATTCGCAACAACGGAGTGGTCAAGTCTGTTGAGCAGCTGCTGAGGAAGTTAATGGACCTGCCCAGTCGGCCAGCTGTGGTGATGGTGCAAGTGCCTCACGTAAGATCCAAGGACTTCGACCCCTTCTTCCGTACCAGGTTAGTTGGTTAGTTGGTCAGTCGGTTGTGGGTGGTTAGGAGCCGTTGGTTGGTTGTTGGAGCCCATAGGATTGTTACAGGTCATGCAACTCGAACAACTCATTTTTAGTCTCCATTCGTTTATAATTTTCCTGTTGCCACCGACGTGCGATCCCCATGTGTGTTTGGGATCTCCCCTGCCTTGCCCCCCCGCGCCTTTCCAGGGGGGTCTACACTCATTCAACAGTTCAACAGTCCCCCTTAACTTCTGTCCCGTACTTTCCACTTCCCCTCGCTTCTCCTGGATGTTCGCCCGCTCCTCCCCTTTACCTCCCTCTCCCGGCTCCCTCCGTCCCGCCCCCCACTCTTCCACCCCGCTACTTTTGCCTTGACCTCCTCCGCCTGATGCGCACTTCGCCGCGTCCAGCGAAGATCTGGAAGGTGTGGAACAGGGGGGGAGGGGTGTTGGGCATGGGCGGGAGGTGAGGCGCGCGCTTTGTGTGGCTGGGCCCTATAATGCGGTGGGGGGGAAGGGGAAGCGGTCGTCCGAGTGGTGTCCAGGGTGAGATGTGGGGACGTGAGGGCAGCGAAGGGGTAGGGTAGGTGGGAGTACGCGGTGAGATCTCACGGCCGCCACATACACGACTGACACACCGTTAGTGCACCAAGGCGTAGTAGCAGCGGAGCAGCGTGCTGTTAGTTATACAAGACACCCCCACTTATCAACATCCATACACACACACATATACCCGCGGGGTAGGAATGGATCACGCTTGCCCACGGTTCCCTGTTTGACCCCCCGTCACCCCACTCCACGGCACATACGCGCACATACACGCCCGCACACGCACATACACGCACACGCAGGTGCCCTGGCGGCTTATTATGACATACCCACTGTGTCATTGCGAGACGCGCTCTACCCCCTCAACGTGCACCGCCCCACGGAGGGCTTCCTGTGGAACCAAACCTACAACGAACACCACCCAGGGGATGCGGGCCATAAAGCCCTGGCAGATATTGTCGTACACCTGATTCAGGAGACGGCGCTGGGGCTGCTGTCGTACCCGCCGTCTCGGGAGGAAGCGGCCAAGTTGGAGCGGCCGCTGCTGCCGCCCATGTACACAGGTGGGCAGGTGTATGGGAGTTTAGGGTTATGGGGGTTTCCTGTTTAGGCAAGTTGCTGCGCCAGCGTTCACTAACCGACAACCTAATTCCTATCCAATTTAGGCAATCTGGCCCCTCCACTCTCAAGCATCTCTCAATCGCATTTACCCTCAATCGCCCTCATTCTGCTACGATATCCTGTTCAGGCAACCTGCCGCCTTCCACAAGCGTCTGCCTGGTGGGGCATACCTTCACTTCCCTCGTTACATACGCCCAGGGCTGGTCCTGGGTTAATGAGGGTACGGAAGAAAAACCCAAATGGGGCTACGTGGCGACGGAACCGGGCAGCCGTCTTGTCGTACGACTGCCGGACACTCTTCCCCCCGGCGGTCGCCACGCCGCCGCCGCTGCCGTTCCGGTCCTCTTGCATTACCTTCAGTCGTATGCGGGTATGGGTAAGGCCCGAGTCGAGTGCGGCGGCGGCGGTTGCAATTGCAGTACAGTGGTGGTTGACGCGTTGCATCTGGGCCGTTCGTCTCAAACCTACATGGCACTGGTCATGGTGGAGGGTCTGGGCCTGATGGCCGGGGAGGGTGAGGCGGGGACGAAGAGGGAGGGAGATGACGGTGCTGCTGCCCCCGCCGGCTGTGAACTGTCCGTGACGGTGCTGGAGGAGACCTCCAGCATCCTTGATGGCGGACATAAGTTCAAGGTGTGTATTTGTGTGTGTATGTGTGTGTATGTGTGTGTATGTGTGTGTGTGTGTGTGTGTGGCTGTGTGTGTGTGTGGCTGTGGCTGTGGCCGTTGATGCTTCTATCAATACGCATCATCACCATTTAATTTCACACGTCAGACATAGCCATGACTGAGCCAGCGTATTCCCTTTCCCCTTATCCCCCAGCCGCTAATTCCCGACCTCCCTTATTGCGGGCCCTACGACACAGGCGGTCACATCCTCCCCATCCTCCCTAAGCGATACAAGCAATATTAGGAGAGACTGGCTCATGCTCACCCGCATTAGCACCAGCAAACCGGCAATAGCCCCGACGCACCTGGGCTCTTTTCCCCCCACCTGGCACGGCGCATTCAAATGCACTGGCGGCGAGTTCATCATTTCACCCCGCGAGCTAAATGACTCCACTTCTCCACCCTTCCTCCCCCTCCCCCCCCTCTCCACCACCACCTCGGGGCCACATCACATCCCCCTACTTCTCTCTCCCTCGCCCCCTTTCCCGGCCCCCTCTGGTACCCGCGGGTGCTCCAGATATCAGGCGTGGTGGTGGCTCACGGCTACAAGTCTTCCGCTTTGGAGTCAGTGCATAGGTGGCATATCCCCGGAGACGATTAAGATCCTGGATCCTGGTTTTTGGATCTGGATGCGGCGACTTGCGGATCCCGCACCTCGGCTCATTCATTCTTCCAGCCCTTCGCATTCCAAATTGATGTTGCGATTTTGTTGTTGTCGTTGTTGTTGTTATCGTCGTCGTCACTGTTGGTAATGTTGTTAAACCTTGCGGTTGCTGCTGTTGCTATATTGATTTTGTTGAGTGTCGGTCCTAAGGTATTTAAGAGGTTTCCTTACCGTACCTGGCAGTGCTTGCAGTACCTGGCGGTACTGCAGGACTGGTTCTGGAGCGGGTTAGGGTTGGGTAAACCTGATGGACCCAGTGATTGAGTTAAAAACACATCTCTCGGCTAGGGCAAGGGCTAGGGCCAAGGCCACGGGCCGTGGAGGTATGAGGCCCTCAGTCCAGCCACCCGGAGCAGCTGGGTCGGGGGGGTTTCTAGGAAAGAGGGCGGGCGGGTCTCTGGGAAGGGGTTTCTGAGAGTGAGCTGCAGAAGGGTGATTAGTCCACGTTTGGCGAGGGGAAGCTGTGTCCGGGGGGGAGGGGGAAAAACTCGGAGGGGTCTTGGTCTGGAAGGGGACTGCGGCGCTACCGCCGGTGGTGGTTTCGGGAGACTTAATGAGCGCTTGCTGGGGGGGGACGGAAACATGCGGAAACATGCTTTCCTTGTACGGTGCACGAGGTCCCTGGCTGTGTAATAAGAAGGCATCTTGGTAGTTGCGATGGGCACTTATTGTGTTTGTTGTTAGTTGTCAGTTAATAGTTGCTAGTCGTTTGCAGGTCGTGGTCCTTATCCCTAGGCCCTCAGGAAGTCTACTTTTTCGGTCGGATGGGAAGCGGGTTAGCTTTGAGAGATGAAAGAGCTCCACCATGGGTGGCGAGGGGAGCGATGGAGGGCCGACTCCGATAGAGGAAGGAGGATCCCGCGTACACGCTGGTGGAGGGTGGAGGTGGCAGGGTGGCGAGATGGCTGGCTGGCTGGCTGGCTGGCTGGCCGGCGACGCTTTCATGGGGTGTTCGTTTCCCCGGGTAAAGGGTGGAAGGGGTTTCAGGAGCCCTCTCCAAGTCGCAGCCAAGTCTTGGTGTTAAATTGGCATAGCGGCTAGGCCGCGGGTGGTGGTGGCGGCGGGGGTGGTGGCGGGGTTCGGCTGGTAAGGCAGTGATGGTCGGTTCAGCAGCGATGGTCACGTGATAGCGGTGGTGACGTGGTAGCTGGCGCTTAGTCACTTGTACTGGCGGTGGTCAGCTGGTAGAGGTGCCTGTGTTTGGCTTTAACCCCCGGAGTAGCCCCTGACCTGACCACATCCACCATACCTTCACTCTTTCCCGAGTACCATCTGTCAGACGAAGTGGAGCTGGGGCGCCCGGAAAGCAGGCTGTACCTTTGGCTGTAAGAGAGCCTGCAGGGATAATGGGATTTGGGAATTCCTAGACCTGGCATCTGTTAGTTTGGAGTGTTGAACAACCCCCAACCTTGGTGTTGCGATTGGGAGTTGCTTGGAGTTACTTTGCATCGTGGAAGGGAAGAGACTCATCTATGCCGCCCCGCCGTCCGTTGCGCCATCCGGAATGCCAAAACAGGGCCGAGTGTTCAGAGGGTAAACGAGAAAAATGAATGGAAGGATGTAATTTCTCACTTCTGCAGTCCCGCAGCTCCGTGCAAAATAGACCGGGCCGCTTTAACTTGATGCGCTTGCGCAAGTGTATTAAAATCAGAATCATGGAAGGACGGTGCCGAACCAACCACGTGGCTGTGCTGTACGGCTATCCTTAGCGCGTCTGGCCGTGCGCGCGATTGCCATCAGCCAGAGGTCAAAGAAGTTAATCGGAGTAATCTGCACTTTCACATGATGGCGTGCACGTGGCTGAAAGGTGATGGAAAGGGCAGGCAGGGTGCGCAGTGTGCGAGCGGTTCAACTCTTTATCATATTCTGTGGCAAAGTGCCGCCACTGATAAGGCACGACAGCGATATGGAGGCTTTGATCCTGATTATATCCTTTTCAACCGCCCTTGTTATTCCACTCGGTCTACTTTCGGCCTAACCGTTTTCCTTTGCCAACGGAGACTGTACGGCATCCTCGCTGCTATGGCACCCAATCCTTCAGGGCACGCAATAATTAGAATTTCTTCGGTACGTTTCGATAGTTGGCCGGTTGCGGTGAATTACTTCGCTCAGTATAGTTGACGTTTTGGGAAATGTGGAGACGTTGATACCTAATGAGCACGCTACGCAGGACTGCCATTTTGGCAGTTCTTCTCTTTGTCGCGCCAAGTTGGTACGTGGGAGCGGCGAAGCCTAAGGGGGCAAGCTTAACCCTTAAAGCGCGCTTTAACGCGACATCCTATCTGCTGGAGGCTGCGGAGTTTCTTGTAAGTTGTGTTTCTTTTTAAGGTTCAGATCACTGCATATTAACTGTTTTAATGCTGACGCCAGTCTTTTCGCGGTGCGTCGTGATCTGCCTTTAGGCAGCGACTCGAAGCATTTCCCATCGCATACTTTAACCTAATTATTTTGGACAGGTGTCTAATCTTTACTTGCTGAGCCCTCGTGCTGGAAAGGCCTCTTCAAACTTCACCCTTGACCCCTTGCCCCTCTCCCCCTCCTCCCCCATATTGCAAACATTGTAGTACCGTGTCCCATTGTAGTATCCGTGTTCATGACTTACTACTAGGGATGGGTGCCCACCAGGAGCTTCCAAACCCCTCATCGCCGCTTAATCGCTCTCCCCAAAAAATTTCCCCGCAGGCGGAGGAGGATGCAGCACTCATCTGGCCTTTCCTGGACCGCATGTCATCGCTGTCGCCAGATGCAACGGGCACTGACCTCGACGATGCAGCCTGCTGGCGGAGCATCACGGAGACTGCTGCGGAACTGGTTTCTCCAAGCGTGGGGAAGGTATGAGAGCTGCGGCAGCAGCGGCCAATCGTACATCCGTAGATCCGCAGCCGGGCCCTAAATGACGTTTGGACGGATTGAGACCTATCGGGCGAGGCGCTGAGGCGGAAAGATCTTGAACGGACGGACCGCGTGTTTGGGACCAGAGCTGGCACCTGGGTTGGTGCCACAATCTGTGAGCCCTTCTCCCCTTACACCGTCCTCCAGTCCCTCTCTCTCCCTCTCTTCCTGGGGAGCTATGCAGCCACGGACCGCAGCCAAAGGGACTGCTAACTGCTGTCACGGATCGGACTCTTTTCTGTTTGGGCACAGGTAGGTATGCAGCCCATACCGTACAGGAGGCGCCGCCTGTCTCGGAACTGCTACCGCAGCCTCAGCTACTCTTACCTCTTTACAGCCCACCTTCTCCCCGGTCATCTTCGGAGTCATCAGCAGCTGCTATGTGGGGCTTACTCCTGCAACTGCCCTTCCTTCCCTTCTCCCATCCCACCCTACCCCATACATGCCTCACGGCCTCAACGCCCTGACCCATCTCTTCTGGGTTTGTTTATCGGGCTCTTGAATCCCTCCCCTCTGGTACACGAATCGCGGCTATGTGACCATCTGGGTTGCATAGCCATCGAGGTCGCACATCAGCTGATCCCTGTGCCGCCTTTCCACATCCCATCTCGTTTACCTTGCGCTGAGCACTACCCTCAGTACCCCACCACCGTCAGTTCGGCTTTTATGATCGTGTTGATTAACGTTCGGGTTCACTTCTGTCTACAAGGTAACCATCACCACCACCACCGGTACTGTTATTGCAACTGCTGCTCCTACTGCCGCAGCTCATTCCGCTGACGTTGGGTTCCCGGCAATACGGCGCCAAGCTGCAGATGGTACGGCAGCTGGCGGAGCAGTTTCATCCCCATGAGGTGCGTGCTGTGATGTGATGTGGGGGAGGTGCTCGGGGGGTGGGGTGGGAGGTGGTGTGGAAAGAGGAAATGGGTTGCGGCCAGGGAGAAAAAGGAGGATTGTGCACGCACCTACAAATGCTTGGCTTGGGGATTGGGGTGGGGATGGGGATGGGCGGGGCATATGTCGGCATGGAGGCGTATCCACCTCTCGGCTCAACTGTGCCTCCGCTCACTTCCGGCTGCACTCCGCGCCCGGATCCCCTCCTGGAGAGGACTCCGTAGTAGTGGCCTCGGAGCGTACCTCCCACTTCGTTATGGGCTGCGCCCCAATGATGCCTTCCCTCCGTCTGCTCGGTTGATCATATGTATATGTTGATTGTTTGTTCTTGCGAAGGAATGGATTTCCTTCAGGGTTACCCACTAGCACACCACGCGCACACACATACACTTCAAGCACCATCCTCGTCAGTTCTTGCCCGCAGTTCGCCCGCCATCGTTAAAGACACACACACACACACACTGCCCCTCCTCCTGGTATTTTCTTTCGTCGATCGTCAGTGCTTCGTCGCACCCTCCTCCTTCCGCCACCAGGTGTCAACCGCAACCGCCTCTTGCTGCTTCGTAGCTCTGGAGGGGCAGGTAGCCACCACACCACAGCAGCTTGCGGACCTCCTCACATCATCATCATCATCACCATCATCATCGTTGTCAACGTCATCGTCATCGACAAACCCGGATTCGGAGCAGCTGTTCTCATTCGAGCACATCTACCGTGGGAAGGCCACCGGCAGCCTTGGCGGCGCGGAGACGTCCCGTGTGGCTATCCTGTACGGCTCTCCTGGACTGCCGTGCTTTGGGCCGCTGTACGAGCAGCTCAAGACGGCGGTGGACGAGCAATCTGTAGGAGATGGCAGCGGTGGCGGCAATGGTCTTATGTTCGCATTCCGGCCGCTGCTGACCACCACCTGCGAGGTGAGGGTGTGTTACGTGTGTTGCTCTTATTGTTGGTGGTGGTGGTGGTGCTAGTGGTGGTGGTGGTGGTGGTGGTGATGGAGGAGGCCGCATGACTGCTGAAAGGTGGCTCCATGGCGGACTGACCCACGGTTCATCGCAGAAGCAGTGGGAGGGGTAAAAACTAGGTAGGGAAAATGCAAAGTCAGGGTGATGGATGTATTGAGTTGGCCAGAGAAGCAAAGGCCAAGCGAGCCAAGAGAGCAATGCAGGTATGCAGGACCTGTGTGGGGGTGGAGAGAGGCTTACACAGCTCCCATCTCGCGGCACTCGCTCCTCCTTGGCCCGCTGATCTTAATCGCGCTTACGGGAACTACACAGACACGCATACATATGCACATGCACATACACACATAGCTTTTTCCCGAGCCAAGCCAACGTATAGCGCTTCTCAGGCTTGCCACCGACCCCTGCGGTTGCTGTCCTGAACAAACTTACGTGTAGTTTACCCAACTGCGGCTCTCTTTCTTGCACTAACCTGACCCCGTCCTGCACACACCCGCCCGGGCTTAACCCTCCCTCGCAGCCGCTCTCTGGATGTGCTCGCGCCGGCACGGGTGGCCAGTTGCTGCTGCCGGGGTGGGGTGTGGAGGCGGCGCTGAAGAACACGGAGTACAGCGCCATGGACGACAAGGAGGTAGCCCGGCAGCGGCAGCAGCAGCAGCAGCAGGGTAAGAGGGTTTCATATGCGACGAGACACAAAGGGCAAGAAAAGAGAGTAATAAGGGAGGCGATGTCCAGGACAGGGAGCAACGCAATGGCTGGCGGTTTCTTTTGCTCCTCCAGCACTTTCCTGGGGGTATTTTTTTCTGTTTCCTCTGTGAACGAATCGACGTCATGGAATGTTAGGAATTTGAATTTTTATGTATTTGAACGAAATTGAAAGTCAGCAGCAAAGTATGGGAAACTGGTGCGGGGTGGGGTGGTGCGGTGCAGGTGGCACCGAAGGCAGTGGCGACGACGAGGAGGGCGCCGCGGAGGAGGCGGACTTTGGCAGTGGCGATGACGCTGTGGTGAAGGGCTTCCGACTGGACGTGTTGGCGGCTAGGCGACCGGATCTGCGCTCTGAGCTGCTCACCTTCCGGGACCAGCTGCTGGCGGCAGATGACGAGGAGTCAGCGGAACTTAAGGTGCGGTTGCCGGTGCGGGTGTGTGCATGTTTCTTGTGCCAGTCGGGGGAGGGGGGAAATAGTTCTGGGGACTTCGTGCCAATGATTTCCCGCCCATCAACCCGCACACCCACCTACACGCCGCCGGGGGTCTTGCATATAGTTCCCCCCTACTTCATGTACACTCTTTCCGTGGCAGCAGCTTCACGCGTTCGTAGTTCGTCTTTCCCCCCTAACCCGTTGGGCAGTTACATAGCTGCATTTCATTCCGGAAACAGTTAGCGGACAAGGGGGGGGATAGGGGCGGGGGGTAAAATGGGTGGGCGGGCAGTTCATTTTCCTGCTTTCTGTTCCCAACCCCACCCACCTACCTTTGGTGGTAATGCTGTCCTGTGGTGACCCACACGGACACTCCCGTTCCCTTCCGGCCCGCCTGCGTTCAGGTGTGGGACCTACGCGATGTGGGTCTGCAGGCCACTCAGCGCATCCTGGGCTCCTCCGACCCGCTAGCGCTGCTGGCGGAGATATCGCAGAACTTCCCAGGCATTGTGTCCAGCTTGTCACGACAGGTGCGGAAAGGGAGGGGAGGGAAAGCGAGGGGAGGGGACGGGAGGGGTGAGGAAAAGGGGAGTGGAGGGCAGCGGTGGGGAAGAGAGGGGAGGAGATGCCGTTTTGCCTGCGTGAGTCTGTGATTCTGCACTTGTTTTAAGACCTGGTATCATTTTTTGGGGTGGTTTGGGAAGCTTGGTATGTCTTGCGTTTTCATTTACCCGCCCCCTCTGCCTCTGCATCTCAAAGCGCTGCCTGCCTTTATTATCCACACCTGGCCACCCGCACCCCGCTTCTCCCTCTCCGCACTCACCGCGCCGCCACTGCCGCGTACGGTTCCCTAAAAATAACCTTCTCCGGGGGAGCTCCTTCCCTGCCCCAAAACCTTTGCATATATTCCCCCCACCTCTAAACCCCGTCCTCCTCGTTTTTCCACCGCCGAGCCGCCAGGTGGTGAGCTCCTCCCTTAAGAACGCTGTGACCCACAACCAGCAAATGGTGTCGGCGGGGGCCAATTTCCTGCTGTTGAACGGCCTGGCGGTGGATGTGAACAACTTGGATTTCTTCGGTGAGTGCTTGAATGAGTTGGCTGAGGGGGCGTGTGGTGGGTGGGTGCGTGCGGGTGGGTGGGTGGGTGTATTTTTTTCTTTTTGTCCATCTTAAGTGCCAAAATCCCGCACGCACGCGCTCGCGCACGGCAGTCGTTCGTCTTTCCTATCTAAAATGTCGTACGCTTGTCGCCATTCCCAACCCCCGTACTGTTTCTGGTCATAACCTTTTCCAAGGAGACACACACGCTTAAAGTATTTCTACATCCGCCCTCTGCACGAAACTCCCCTACTCCCTTTCATCGCGCAGTTTCCGAGTCGACCTTGTCCCGAGTCTTTCCGTGGGAAAGGGTGTGTTCTCTTCTTCCCCGTAACCCTCACCCTCCACGCAAAACACACGCACGCCTTCGCCCACGGCCACCCCTACGCCCACAGGTTTTCTGTCCCGTCTTCGTTCGGAGATGCGGCTCCGTGACTCCCTGGTGGGGGCTCCCCTGGAGCTGTCTCCCAACCTGGCCAAGCAGGTCCTTGCGGCACGAGCGGAGGACGGCGCAGCAGCAGGAGCGGGAGGGGGAGGAGCAGGGGGAGAGGGGGAGCCGCGGCTCAGTCTGGGATCAACAAGGTATGTATGTAGGTAGGTTACATGTGGGCTGGGTTTTAAAGCGGCGATGAGGTGGGTTTCAAGGTGTGTATGTGCCTGTGGAGTGCTAGGAGAGGCTGGTGCCGCGTGCTAGGGGCTGGTGGTGGCTTTGCGTAGTGATTGGAGTGCGTGCGGGGCTGGGGTGTGGTTTATTGGGTGATTTAAATCCCGTCCAAAATCTTTTGGGTTTTTAGGGGTTTAGGGTTTTAGGGTCCTCCACTGGCCCTCGGCTGTCCAAGGGAAGTCCAGATGGGCTGCTTTTTCCCCGGGTTCCAGCCCCTCCTCCGGAGCATTTCCTCAACTGATTCCGTCTGCCTCCTCTCTGCCCTCGCTCCCCCCCCTCCTCTGTGCAATCAATAGATGCCTTTGCCCCCTCCTCCTCCCGACCCAAACTCCGCTGTTGCCTTTCTGAGAACCCTACAGTCGCTCTTGGGGGCTTATGTGCTTGTTTCCGTTCATCCGGTCCCCCCGCCTTAATCCTCTTCCCCTATGTCCTCCCCGTGTATCTTCCCCCCACCCCCTACCACCCGACCCAGCAGTGCCATGTCCAAGCACGTCGCCTTTCTGAATGACTTGGAGCGCGATCCCAGGTGCCGTACATGTCGTACGCGACGAGGGAGAGGCTTTATTGTTATTGGGGGTTGTGCTCGGGATGCCTAATGGTGTAGTGGTATCTGTGTGGCTGGCGGAGGTGTCACGGTTCGTTGTTGGGGTGGGTAGGGGGAAGGGCTCAAGTCTGGGTTTCTTTCGCCTGCCCCCCTTGGCGTGGCATAGCTTACCCTGCTCTGTACCATGGAGACGTCTTTTCTTGGCGCCCGGTTTGTGAATACACAGCTTCCACCCCGCGCCCCCGCCTCGTCTTCCTCCCATCGACGTTTCCCCTCACCGCTCCACCCTTCCCCCTCCTGCATTCCCTTTGGTCCACACATGATTCTTCCCCCTCCTCTCTCTCTCATTTTCCCCTCAGGTTTCAGCGGTTTGGTCGCAACTTGGCTGAGCTGCTCAACACCTTCCCGGGCAGGTGCGGCGCCGTGCGTATGTTGGGGGAAGGAGGGAGACGTGCCGGCTCAAGAGGACAGAGCCGTGACGTGCCTGTTTAAGAAACGTTCATCCAATGGGAAATGAGACCTTCTCAGGGGCTTTTAAGATCTCCCCAGGCGCCCCGGAACCCTTCACACGATCATATCCCCGCATAAGGTCCCTGTAATTTGTTGGTGCGTATTGGTGCGTTGGGATGAGTTCACACAGCCTGTACACGTCTGCTACTCGGGCAAAGCCCGATGGGATACCGAATCCGGCTCGAATCTGGGAGGGATGTACGCCTGTCTTTCGCCTACCTGCCCGTAGCCTACCCGACCGTGTGCTTCCCCATTGCCTTCAGTGACATGTTGCCACATTGTTATGCCTAACTGCTTAGGCTTCGTCCGCTAGCTCGCAACGTGTTCACTTCGGTGGTGGTTGTGGAGCCCCTATGTTCGGAGTCCCTGGAGCTGGTGGCCAACATCGACCGAATGTGGCAGGGGGGTTACCCCATTAGGTTTGGTGGGTAGGGCCGGATGGGGGCTGCTGAGAGGAGGGTATGGTGCCCGGGTGGCGGTGGGTGGGGGTGAGGGTGGGTGGGGGTGAGGGTGGGGTTGCTGGAGGAGACCCGGATGGCTCCGTTGGGAGCCTAGGCAGAGGGCCAGGGAAGGCTATTCCGAGGAGTAACCCCATATGTACGTGTCGTTGTGATTGTTGTTGTTGTTGTTGTTGTTGTTGCTGCTGCTGTTATGATTATTGATATTGCTACTGCGACTGCCGCTACGTCTACTTTTGGCTTGTTCCGGTGCTTCTGGTGCTGCTGCTCCTGCCGTTCCTGCGCTCTCTCGACTGACTTGCTCGACCCTTGCTGCTGCCCCTGCTACTGCTACAGGTGTTGTGTTTTACTTGCCCTCAGTGGTGATGCGGGTGGTGCAGCAGCGCAAGTACCCGCACCTCCAGTCCGGGGCACCCTCCTGGGGGGAGATGGACGCTAGGTGGGGCCTGTTTCGACGTGGGATTGGGCGGCCGGTGCGCTGGGTCTGCATACATGTGTGTGTTGATTTAATGTGTGCTCTGCAATGGAGCAGGCGTGCTGTTTCTTTTACCCGATCCGCCATCAGGCATCGTCTCGTACTTTTTTCATTTAGTTGCCTTTCGGGGCGTCCTCCCTGGGGCATGCTCCGGCTCCTTCACCACGAATCTTGGCCGCCTGGTGCGCTTAATGTTCCGCCGCCTCATCCTTACTCGTACCCACACGCACCTCCTAAACCCCTTACCTCCCTATCACCCCCCTGGACCAACCCCCAGTGAGCGCTTCGGTCGGGGCTTCGCCACGCTGAAAGAGGCGTTCGGTCCAGCTGCCGCCTGGCGTATGTGGATCGATGCAGCGGAGGCCGTAACGTGAGTAGACCTCCCACATAGCCTTAACGGCACACCGTCCCGCATGATCGAGAATGCATGATCGGTTGTGTGTTGCCCCAGAACGCGCGTTTTTCTATGTTTAAGGTCACCCAGACCCAGAGCATGATGCATCAAAGTTGCCATGTCTTCGTTGGGTTTAATACTCTTTTTTCTGGAATATCTGGAAAATATTTTGTCGTAAATCCATATATTCATTTCTTGTCGGCCCCTGTGGTTCCTTCCTCCGCAGCTCCGGCTATTACTCGGACCCTCAGGAGGTGGTGGAGGCGGCATTCACATCCGCATGGGGGGCAGCAGCTCGCAGTCCGCCACCGGGAACCCGGGCCAAGACGGCGGCGCGCAAGAGCACCTCGGACGCGCTCAAGATGCTCAAGGAGGGCTCTGGATACGCTGCCGAGGTGAGGGGGGCCGCGGCGCGCTCCAGCGGAGCGTGAGACGCAGCTGAAGCCATGGACGTTTCCGCGGCAAGAACGGAAAAAATGAAACACAACAGGACTTCCTTGGAGTACGGGAGAATCAGAGCCCCTTGCCAAAAGCGGGGTGTGTCTGTGGCTGGTGGGATACGTAAAGCCAACATCAATGTGTAGGGAAAAATACGGGGATACTGTACATGTGTGTATCTATGCGTGCGTGTGCTTGTGTGCATGGCATGCAACACCGTATCAGGCGGTGACTTCACCACATCCTGAACCACTTAACATCCGCTATTGTGTATCCATCTCGCCCCAGCACATACCTTGCTTTTACTACCCAATCCTTTCAGACACACATCGCTGGACTACGGAGCTCGCTTCAGTAAAGTTATTCGTGACCCCGGCTTTTCCCTTATCGCGGCTCAGATCATTAAAAACATACACATACGCGTACACACAAACACCTGCAGGTGGGTATGCAGCTCATGGAGACGGCCTCCTGGCTGATGATTAAGGGCCTGGTGGCGCCGCCGCCAGCCGCGGCAGTGGCGGCCGCCGCCACACCCGCAGCTGACCGCGATGAGGACGCGGAGCGCTGTACCGCACCTCCGGTGGTGTGGATGAACGGCCTGACAGCCAAGGCGGGAGGCTCCTCCCCGGCAGAGGATATCATGTACAAGTAAGGACGCGAGGGCCGGGAGGGGTTGCTGCGTTGAGGATGCTGCGTTTGTGCGCGTGTCAGGAGGGCGTATCAGGAGGGCGTATCAGGAGGGCGTATCAGGAGGGCGTATCAGGAGGGCGTATCAGGAGGGCGTATCAGGAGGGCGTATCAGGAGGGCGTGTCAGGAGGGCGTATCAGGAGGGCGTATCAGGAGGGCGTATCAGGAGGGCGTATCAGGAGGGCGTATCAGGAGGGCGTATCAGGAGGGCGTATCAGGAGGGCGTATCAGGAGGGCGTATCAGGAGGGCGTATCAGGAGGGCGTATCAGGAGGGCGTATCAGGAGGGCGTGTCAGGAGGGCGTATCAGGAGGGCGTATCAGGAGGGCGTATCAGGAGGGCGTGTCAGGAGGGCGTATCAGGAGGGCGTATCAGGAGGGCGTATCAGGAGGGCGTATCAGGAGGGCGTATCAGGAGGGCGTATCAGGAGGGCGTGTCAGGAGGGCGTATCAGGAGGGCGTATCAGGAGGGCGTATCAGGAGGGCGTATCAGGAGGGCGTATCAGGAGGGCGTGTCAGGAGGGCGTATCAGGAGGGCGTGTCAGGAGGGCGTGTGTGTGTGTGATTGGGGCGGGGATGTGTACCCAAGCAGGCGCTATGCGTAGAAGCGTGGTTGTAGGTGGGGATCTGAAGCCGCTTCGGGGCCGGCCAGGCACCGACAGGCGTGCCAAGCGTTTCCCCTCCTAATCTTTCACCTCACCTCCCTCCGCCACACCCTTGCACACCGCACTCTTGCGCTCTGCTCATCCAGGGTGATGGGTGAGATGCAGCGGCTGCAGGAGGCCATCTACTTTGGTCGGATGGACGACAACAGCGGTGGGGGCGATGCGTTGGCCGCGGTGCTGGAGATGTTTGGGGCGGTGGAGCGGCTGAATCAGAGGATTGTGGGACCCAAGGCCCGGAACGCGCAGGTGTGGTAGGGGTGAGGAAGGTGTAGGGATGCGTGGAGAGGGGGGTGTTATGCGTTTGCGTGTGGGTATATGTGGGTTTGTGTACTCGCTGCCTGCGCGTGTGCTTCGTTGTTCACTAACAACAGGTACATAATCGTTTCCTGCTCCTGGTTCTTGATAATGTTGCTAAAAAGTACCATGAAACAAGCTGAACAGACCCATAAAATCTTTTAAAATTTACGTAAAATCCATTGCACAGGTGCTCAACTTGGTTCCGTTGCTCCGCCACCCAGCGCATGAAACGCTGCGGATGCTGTATCGCGAATCTGGATCTGAAGATGGAGATGGTACGCCGTACGTGGCGCCTGTGACCCACTACGTGGCGGCTGACCTGGCCAATGAGGAGGGCCGACAACTGGTGGCAGAGGTGGGGGCAGGGAAGGGAGGGTGGAGGGGAGGGGAAGGGCGGAGGGACTGAATGGGGTGGGGTGGGGTGGGAAGTGGGTTTGTGGTTGAGTTAGGGGGGTATCAGGGTGAAGGCTGGGCTTACGGTGGGTTCTGGATGCGGCAGCTGCCTCAAGATTGCCGTTCTGGCAGGGAAAGATGGGAAAGAAAGTGGGCGAGGTCTCCGGTGCACTTGCTACATATCTTGTCCTCCCCTCACATATTTTTCGTCCGTCTCCAGCTGATACTCCTCACACCTTTTAACAGGGTATTAACTTACGGCATCCTTGTTCCCCCCTGTTCCCCTGTTCGTCTTTCCCCCCATCCGCCTGCATTCAGTTCTTTCCCCTCCCTGAACTCCCATTCTTCTCACTCTTATCCCATGTCTTTTTTCCCTTCCTCTGCCTGTATCCTTTCCCCGTCCTGTGCCCTCCCGCCACTCCACCGAAACACAGTCCCTCCGCCTTCTGTCCGAGGTGCTCCCCTCATCCTCCTCCCGAGATTGTCGGCTGGTGCTGGTGGCCAACCCCTCACAGCCTGCAGCAGCCCCCAGCCTGCTGGAGGCGCTGGTGGAGGGGGGGATGAGGCAGCTGGAGAGCGGAGGGAGGGACAAGGTATGCCTGTGCGCGCCTGTGTATTTATGTATGTATTCGTGGCATCAGGGGTGGCCGTGGCGATGGCGGTAGAACTCGGTGTGGAGGAGAAGCCGACTTAAGATATTTCCCGTAACTGCAACAGCAGCGCGTTTGCGCATGTCTCTACTCCCTCCACCTCCACCTCCACCCCAACCCCAGCCCCTTGCGCCGCTACATTCCACCCACCCGGGCTCTCATTTTCCTATCAGCACTTCCTCCAACATGCATGGCTTGGACGTCAGCAGTTGATCCTTTTAATCCTTTCTTCATGCATATCATTCCCCTCCCCCACAACACATACACGCATACACACCTTATTTTCCCTCCCCGCGGAGTGGATTCCCGCCACCCGTTGCACAATGTTTTACTCATAGATCTTTACCCCCATAGTCGTTGCTGTCGTGTCCCGCCTCCTCCCGGCCCCGTTACCCCCCCTTGTAAACCAACCCTCAGGTGGTGTCGTACCTGAGCCGGCTGATGTCGGACTCCGCACTGGCGGCCGGATCAGGTGGGGAGGCGGCTGGTGGCGGCGGGGAGGTGGAGGAGCAGACGCAAGAGGCAATCAAGTACGCCGAGGAAGCGGGTAAGGGAGGGGGGCTTTGCGAGGACCGCTGGGTATGAGCTTGTAGGGACGAGGGTGAGGGTGGGAATGGGAAATACATGGAGATATTGGGAAACAGGGATAGGGAAATAGGGGTTGGCGAACATTGCGGGCCTGGGGAGGGAAATGAGCGTGTGATTTAGTCTGGCAGGGCCAAGAGCTTCTTGAATGCCTAGGCGTTAAGGCTTATTGCTAATCGGACCTTTTTTCCCGGGCAACGAAAGGGGGGAGGGGAGGGGACTGGAGTGCGGTCACCAGTCACATATGCTGGCATCATATGCCCAGCCGGGAAGGATGGGAAGCCGGTGCGTGGAGATGGGATATTCCCGCCTATTACCGGTGCAAGTAATGTCATCGACATCGCTGCCATGAAAACAGGTCTGGACGGCGAGGCCATCAAGTCGTTCCTGGCCAAGGCGGTGGACGAGAGCCTGACGTACCGGGCCGTACAGGCAGATCTTTGCCGTACAGTATTCAAGTTAGAACCTGGTGCGGCGGCAGTCATCAGCAACGGCCGGGTGACTCCCGTGTATAAACCCAGTGAGGAGGTGTGTTTCGTGTGCGTGCGTGTGTGAGGGGGGATTAATGCGTAGCCTGCAGACTGTGGTGGGGTAGAGCATGTTTGAGCGGCTTTGAGCACCCATGTACTTCCCGTAAATGGCCATCTTCTCGTGCACAGCGCTGCTTCATGTCTGCGTGTCCGTCTGCCTGTCTGTTACGTTTGCCCTTCTTTTGTTGCCACCTCCGCTGACCCTAGCATCGTGAACCGTATAGCCATTACCAACAGATCCACCAAAAGAATTAATGATCATAAATACTTTTTTAGATTCTTCTTCTTGGATAACACGTTCGGTCTGTCTACGATATAAAGAACCACCCGAGTCATCACGTAAATTGCCTTCAGCATTGACTTTCAGTAGTAGAGCTGGACCCATATTTGGCTTTCAACTGGGGGGCCCCGTCCTCTACCGCCCCCCTTCTTTTACCCCCTGGCTTTCATCATGGTCACATCTCTTTCTCCCCTTACCCGCATCCTCAGCACTCCCTCCCCAACATATTTGTACCCACGAAACCCTCCTTCCAGATTCATTTGGAATTGCTCGCTGAGGACCTGTCTCTACTTCAGAGGGTGACGTCGGGCGGTATGGCGGGGTCGGTGGCCAAGGCGGTGGAGAGGGCGTACTCGGAGGGGCTGCAGGTGCGTGTGTGTATGTGTGCATGTGTGTATGTGTCTGTCTAGGGGGCAATGGGGAGGGAGGGAGGTTAAAGAAGGGTGGGATGGGGGGTACAGTGGCGATTGGTTCAGTGCAGTTAAGCAACAATGCAACCCATATAAGGGGCAGAGGACGGGGAGGAGGGAATCTGGGTTAAGGAAGCGGGGGAGGTCAAGGAAGGGGGAGGTGGGAGTGGGGGTGGCCGGGCTGGGGGCCGCGGAGGTAACGCCGCAGTTTCGGATAGACAACAGTTCCAAGGATCCAGCAATCGGTCCTCCCTTTTTTAACTCTCCGCCATGCTCCCACCTGGGGTCAACCTATGCTTCCCCGCAAGGACCGTATGACTTAACCATAATCATCCCCCCTTGCGTTTTCTTTTCCTCGTTTTTTTTGCTTTTCCTCGCCCGCCCCCTTTCCCTGTACCTCTCGCCGCGCATCCCCATTTTCAGCACCTTCATTTCTTCCCCTCCCATCCCTTGTCCGCTTCCATTTACCACCCTTCCTTTTTCCGCATCTCGCAGCGCCTACCCGCCGATCTGCCCTCGGGGGTGTCGGCATCCGATGCCCTGTCGGAGATTTCCAGTACGGTGGTTTCGGCGCTGTCGGCCGCCAGCCGCGCCGCCGCCTCTGCCGGATCACAGGAGGGCAGTGGTGGGGCCTCCCGCCTGGGTCCGGGGGCCTCCCTGCAACTGCAGCAGATGATGGCCATGCTGAAGCGCAAAGCGGTCGAGGTGGGTGTGGCGGGCAGTGGAGGTGGGTGTGATTTAAGGGGGTTTGAGCCACAGATACGACCAGTGATGGTACACAAGTAACGTCTACCGAAGCAAATAGACCAGCAAAGTGGTAGAACTTCCTGGACGTTTTGGGGCTAGATGACGATAAGTAGAAAGTCGCCAGGGCTGGATGTCTCTGCGTTGTGTGTTTTGGGGGTGGCGGAAGGTGGCTTGTTTTCCCGCATCTCCCTTTTCCCCCAAATCCCTTTTCTCTCCCTTCCCCTAAGTCGTCTACCTCTTCCCTCTCCCGATTCTCTGGCAGGTTTCCGGCGGGCCTGACCCTCCCTTCCATTTGGAGGCGGTTCTCAACCCGCTGTCCCGCTCCGCCCAGCGGCTGACCTCCCTGCTGCTGGTGCTGAGGGAGGCGCTGGGCCCCTCCATGAGCCTCACACTCAACCCGCAAAAGGACATCACGGAAATGCCGCTCAAGAGCTACTACAGGCGAGTGCAGGAGGCGGGGTTGGGTGGACAGGGAGGGAAGTTAAGGGGGGCCGCGAGAGTGTGAGGGCGACGTTGCAGGGTTGAGGAGGAGGGGGTAGAAGATGTGGAGGCAGGAAGGCCAGGGTTTGGGGGCTGGGTTTGGAGAGAGGTGGGCACGTTGGGGCCTTTTGTTTCGGCGGTTTATCTTATCGTAGCCCCTTCCATCCTTGTTCCCTCCAAGAATGACCCCAACCGGCCTATGCAGGTATGCTCTCCCGTCGGGTCTAGCCCCCGGCAGCGGGCCCCCAGGGCCGCCCACCGCCTACTTCTCCCGCCTACCGGCACGAAGGGTGCTCACACTCAACTTGGATGCCCCGGAGGCGTGGCTGGTGGAGCCAGCAGCGGCACTGTACGACCTAGATAACCTACGGCTGGAAGACGTGGCAGGGGAGGTACGGCAAAGGGACGTCGTACGGCGGGAGCTTGGAATTGGCTACGTGGCCGCGAGCCCGGCATTAGGATTGGCATGCCGATCGGCTTTTTATCACGTCTCGCTGTGTCTATCCACCTCTAGAAAGTTCTGCGAGCGGCGGGGCGAGGGATGCAATCTCTTCTTACCGGCTGCTGCTCCCTCTTCCCCCTTAGCATCAGCTTCACTCGTTCGCGGTTCGCCTTCCCCTTTTGCAGTCCTAACTGCGTTGCATTACTTCATGCCGGCTCACCGCCAACCTTTATTCCCGCACTTCCTTCATTCTCCCCCCTGTTTTCCCTTTTTTCCCTACCCTCCTGCCCCTCCCTGTCAGGTGGCCTTTGCGGAGTTCGAGTTGGACGCGCTGATGCTGACTGGCTCGTGTGTGGATGTGACGGCATCGGGGCGCATGGTGGGATGGGGTGGGGTGATCTGCCAACGGGGTATGGGCGTAGAAGTTGAGGGTGCGGGAAGTCGTCCTTTTTCCTCAACACTAACCCCACCCACTACGTTTCCGCTGGTCCTCTCCGTAACGTCTCTTAATCCATTCCCACAGAACATTCACTTCAGCTGCCTTACATTGCCAAGCTCTCCACAACACCATCACCGCAAGCAGCAACCTCCCCACACACATTCGCAATAAGCCCCACATCCCCCACATCCCCTACCACCCGACCTCAGACTCCACCGCGCGGTCTCCAGCTGCACCTGGGCACCCCCACACAACCCCACACAGTGGACACACTCGTCATGGCCAACCTGGCATACTTCCAACTTAAGGTACGACACGGACAGCTGTTGGTTGTACGGAAGCGGGGATGATATGTATGTATGCATGTGTGTTTATCTTTATCTTTATGTATGCGTCTACTGTTGTCGTTCCATTGTTCCACCGGAATTCGTGTATCCTTAGGAAAGGGGAAGAGGTTGGGAGGGGTAGGGCTTCAATGCTCCGGAGGGCACGTACGGGCACATGACCTTATGTGAGATGTCGCGTATCAGTAGCTGATCCTTCCATTTCCCTGCTGCCCCCTGCAGGCCGCTCCGGGCCGCTGGCTGTTGTCTCTGGCGCCCGGGAGGTGCGAGGGCGAGACAGAGAGACTCGCGGAAGGCTGTTGGTTTCATTGTTGTTAGTGGGTCGTTGTCAGTTGCACGAAAGTCGTTGTCTGGTCATAGAGAGGAGGGAGGCCCTAAGATCCGTGGAAAAAAGCTATGCATGCACCGATTTCCCTTTACTTCCCCTTTTTTCGGCCAGTTGCCTGGTTTTGGGCGTATGACCTTGAGTTTTTGCATTTTGTATAAAATGACTCAATACACCCATACACCCGCACACCCCTACACGCACCACGGAAATATCTCCTCTATTTCCTGCTCTCTGAGCCCTTCCAACTTTCCTTCCAACTTGAGCTGCAAGCCCTTGCAAAGGCATTGAACTGTGTATCGTCACCACCACCATCATCATCACCATTATCATCACCTCCACCACCTCCACCTCCACCTCCACCTCCGGCCATGTGCTCGTGTCCGCAGGTCTCGTGACCTGTACCTGCTGCAGTCCAGCACCGGCACCAGCCGGGACGTGTTTGCGGAGGAAGAGGAGGGGTCCGGAGAGGCAGAGAGGGTGGCAGGGGCCTTGGTGCGCACCGGTGGTGGTGGTGGTGGTGATGACGTCAGCACGCAAGTCCTGATTTCCAGCTTCATGGGTGAGACGACGGGACGAGGGACTGGGTGGGTATTACGGAGCAACTAGACTCCAGGGAAGGAACGAGCAGGGAGACGGTATCAATAATAAGTGTTCAGGTGGAAAGCACGCAATCGTGAAGAGGCACTCGGGGGCCGAGCCTAAAGGGGACTGACACCCTTTAGATGTCCCCTTTTTTGGGGGTTGCCCAAAGGGGATGACCTGTCACAAGTGACTTGAGAGCTTGGGTGGGGTTGGAGTTTGGGGAAAAGAGAGCGTTATGCCCGTATGATGGCATTCTCTTTTAGGGTTTTAGGTTTTTGCCGCTTTTGCGTTCGGGACCGTACACTAGACCGGACCCTAACCCTCTTTGGAAACGTCCGCATTCCCCTTCTTTTCCGATGGCTTAGTGGCTTTTGGTCCTTGAGCAGTTTCATGCGCGGTGCTTCTGTACCTCTCCCTCGCCTCGCTACTCCCTCAACCTTCCATGTGAATGCACACAGCCCCGCCTCCTTCCCCGCTTTCCCTTCCCTCCCCTTCACAAAGGGTATTCCGTTGCAGCGTCCTCCACGTCTGCCCCTCAACGAACGCAGATACCCGCCACAACACCCATTTCTTGACTACATTTTTGTTTTCCCTTCTACATATACCATTTACAGGGAAGCACATGATTCTGCGGGTTCGCAAGCGGCCCGGCATGGAGGCAGAGGATGTGTTGCAGGCGGACGGCACGGCGGATGACGCGTACGACACGTGGGACCCGGACCTGGTAAGTTCTGCACTCGTACATACGGACATTCACTCACGCGTCGGCTCAATTAGTGAAAACACATGCGCGACACGCGGCCATGGTGGCATGGCCAACATGGACGTACATACGCACACACATAAACATGTGCGCTCTAGCGATTCGTGCTATTGCCGAGAGCAACCCACCCAACGCACGCACACACACGCACAACCTGATCCTCCTGGGCCCTCAGGATCCCTATTGCTTTCCCAGGGTGGGGTTGAGGCTGGGGTTTTGACTGCCGTTACATGTTGGGTTGATTTTTGAGCTTTTGTACGGCGTTGCCTGTCGTACGCAGGAGGATGACGAGTACGCAGACGACGACGACGACAAGGCTCCCCCGGCCCCTAGCAGTGGTGGCCTCTTAGGCAAGGTCTCATCGTTGCTGTCGTAAGTGGTCAATGCTTGGGGAAATGTGTGTCTGGGGGTGACGGGTTGTGTGTGGGGGGGATGGAGTGAGGTTGGGTGGAGCAGTAGGGTTTGGGGCAAAAATCTTCCCTTCCAGGCTTCGCAACTCTTGGTGATGACGGAAAAGGAAACATCCGTGAGGGGCTCCTGCTGAGGGAACGGAACAGGAGGATCGGAAGGTTCACACCTCTCCCATTGCTGCTCCTTCCTCGCCCTCCAATCAACACCCACCCCCACCCTAACCCCACGGGGGTGGTCTGCAGGGGCAGTGCCAAGGGCGGCAGTGGTGGGGCGGGTGGCGAGTTGGCGGCCTCTAAGAAACAACGTCAGCTCCGAGGTGGTGACACCATCAACGTCTTCACCGTGGCTTCGGGGCACATGTACGAACGGCTACAGAAGATCATGATTCTGTCCGTTCTTCGACACACCAAGTCGAGGTGGGTGGGTTGGGCTTGGCTGTGGGGGGTTGTCTTCGGCTGTGGCTGGTTGGGAACCGGTTGTTTTGAAGCTTTGCTTTCGGGAATGTAGGTGCCCGGGCGCATCGGCAGCCGGCGTCAAGGCCGTTCCCCATCGGTTCCGTTTCACGGCTGCCTGCACTGCCTCCATCGCCCGCCGTTGCTCTCTCACCGCATCTGCTGCTGCTACTGCTGTCCATTTTGCCGCTGGCTTCATCTGGTGTTACAACTATTGCTGTTGTTGCTGCTCCTGCTGCTCTGATCATCTGGTGTCGGCCCTTCTACGCTCCGCGAAGGGTCAAGTTCTGGATTATCAAGAACTACATGAGCCCGCAGCACAAGCAGGTGACTGGGTGGCGGGGCGGGAAGGAGAGGGAGGGACAGTCCTTGCCCAAGTGCCCGAAGTAGCACAGCTCCTGGGGGGTGGGAGGCATCTGTATTCGCGTTGAAGTGACTTTTGGGTTGGGCTGGTCCTTTGAAGCATAATCTGGTTGTAGTTTGGCGGGTATACTGGGGGGATGGGGTCCGGTCCTGTGGAGCTGAGCGAGGGCGTTGCGGCGTACTACTCTGTATGCGCCCACCCTCACAACGAGTAATGGCGGTGCTGCATTGGTTCTTATGTCACTTTTGCTGCTTCCCTCCTACTGCCGCTGCTTCTGTTACTGCTATTGCGGCCGCTGAGCCGGCTGCTGTTGTTGTTTGCTGCTGTTGTTGCCCTTCAGGAGCCCTTCTTGCCATCCGCTTCCACGCGGCCGTACAATTGTTGCCTCTCCCTAACCCGCCTCGCAACCCCAGGTCATTCCCGCCATGGCTGAGCAGTTTGGATTCGACTACGAGTTTGTGACGTACAAATGGCCACACTGGTTGCACAAACAGACAGACAAACAGCGGCTGATCTGGGCGTACAAGATTCTCTTTTTGGACGTGTTGTTCCCGCTGGGAGTCGATCGCATCATCTTCGTTGACTCGGACCAGGTGGGGGACAGGGCATGGGACGGGGGAAGGGGCCGGAGCCGTTTGGGTGGCCGGGGTTCCATCTGAAAAGAAAAACTGGGGCCGTGGGGACGAACCACCACGGCGCAAGGGGGCGCGGGGGGGTGGGGGGCGGGCAGGAAATGCCCTTGTGATACTTCTGCTGTTGATGGTTGTTGATTGGGTTCCAATTGTCCAATGGGTCGCATGTTCCGTTGCACATCTGGCAGTTCCTTTTGGGGCATGTAAGGGGGCTCTGTACTGCCTTAGTTATGAGCAGTATGAGCGCCAATGTGTCCTAACATGTAAGGATGCAAGTACGCGATGTGATGATGTCAAGCAAGGAAGGCCGTACCTCACAAAGCCGGCGGTTGAGAGTGTGGTGGAAGACAGGAGGGGATCCGAGGGTGGGCAGGAGCGGGCGCCGTTTAGGGTGAGCTGGTGAGCTGGTGAGCTGTGCAGATGAGCGAAGCCCCGTGCTGACTCACTGACTGATTGACTGATTGACTATACATTTGTACGGCGGACTGGCTGCGGGCCGTGCAGGTTGTACACGCAGATCTGGCGGAGCTGTACCACAAGGATATCAAGGTACGTGGCGGTCTACGGCAACGTACGGGTATACGTTTACCGCATATGTCGTAGAGCGATTGATCTTCCGGTTGGATGCCGCTCCAAACGTACATAAATGCGTTCACACGTCACATGCACATGGGGTATTCATCCACCGCCCGCTCAGTCCTCCCTCCTTGCGCAATAGTTGAAGGTGTCTGTCTGTGTACAGGGAGCCCGGGCCCGCCCACCTCCCCCCGCCCTTGTGCTCCTGTCACCTGTATTGACCATTTTTGAGGACAGCACGTACATGCACGTGCATGTAATGGAAGATGCTTCTTATCAGGGCACGCACCAACACGGACACACGCTCTTGGCATGTACACGTTTCTCACGCACACGCATACGGCCCAGTGTATCACAAAACACACATCGTACACGTACACGCGCGTGCAGGGCGCCCCTTACGCCTACACGCCCTTCTGTGACAACAACAAGGAGATGGACGAATACCGCTTCTGGAAGGGCGGATTCTGGCGGGACCACCTGCAGGTGTGGGGGCACGTGGGTTGGATTGAGGAAGGGGGGGAGCCTATGACGGGGAAGGGGGAGGTGGCAGCGGGGTGAGGACGGGGGAGGGTTTCGTTAGGGTGCAACATAATGGGGAAGCCCGAGTGATGGGGAAGCAATGCAGGATGTGGAACTGGAGGCAAAGGCCGTGACCGAACAATGGCCAACCACGCGTGTGTTTGCGTCTTTGTGTTTTGCCGAGGCTTCAGGACGAGTTCTGAGGCTGCATCGGCGAGCCCCGCGTCGAACATACCCACTGCCATCACCACCACCACCACCACCACCACTGTCACATCCGGCGTTATCTGCTCATCTGTTCCATTCCCGGGCCATTCATAGGACCATTCCCCCGGCCCTTCCTTCAACGAGAAATTTCTGGACTTCTGCATCTGGATGTCTGTAGTCCGAGCTAAGTAGATCCCCCAAGATCATATCCCCCGCCGTCTTTCCCCCCCTCCTGTCCCTTCTCTTCCCCCCTCCCCAATGTGCCGCTGGTTCCCATATGTTCCCCCAGGGCAAGCCCTACCACATCTCCGCTCTGTACCTGGTGGACCTCAAGAGGTTCCGACAAATAGCCGCAGGTGGGGCGGCAGCTGTGGGTGGGTGCGGAGGGTTGTGTGACGTGTGTATGGTACGTGTGTGCATGTGCATGCATTGGGGGTGGAGTAAAGGCACCTTGGCACGAACCCCGGGGCCAAGGAAAGGGGGTATTGTCGTCCCCGGCTGGCTAAGCGAGATCAGAAGGGAAGCCGCCCTTGGTGCGTATTTGGGCGTGCTGGGTGTCAATGGGTAGCTTTGATACGCCTTTTTTGATAGGCTTACTAAACCAACCTTCCCATCTGCGGCTTTCCGTCCATTTAAGTCTTCACCGTGCTCCGTCCTTGCGCTCTCAGCACCTCCTTCCTCCGGGCAGCCGAGCGCCTCACGCACATGCACGCGCATACATAGCCCACCTACACCTCTGGACCTCGCCCTGAAACCTGAAACCGTTGACATCACTAAACAGGAGTTGCATTACCCTCACATCTGGCCTCGCCAACAACCCTCTTTCTGCCTCTCTCACTCCCCCCCGCTCCCCCCTCCAGGTGATCAGCTCCGGGTGCTGTACGACCAGCTCAGCAAGGACCCCAACAGCCTGGCAAATTTGGATCAAGACCTGCCGAACTACGCGCAACACAGCATCCGGATCTTCTCATTGCCGCAGGTGTGGTGTGGTGTGGTGTGGGTGGGGGACTTTGGCGCGGGTTTCCGAAACCGAGATGTGATGGGGATGTGTGAGGTGGGTTTTGGATGCGGTAAGGCGTCACACTGGTGGCGAATGTGGTGGTGTTTCCATCGCTCTCGTGCGATCTCCTGTTGTTCCCTTCATCCATGTATCTTCTTCTCCTGGACTATCCGCCTCTCTTTCGTATGTGCTTCATTCGCCAGTGGTTCGTCTTAACCCCCCTCATCCGCAGCCCCTTGAGCCCCCTTCATTTACAGGAAGCCGGCTTAACCCCACACCCCTCCTCTCGCTCACACGCACATGAGGCATGGTCTTGTAACTCATCATGCAACTCCCATTTTCGTGTAACACGTACATAATATACGCACCCTCCTCTTGTTTCGCTGAACTCCAGGAGTGGTTGTGGTGTGAGAGCTGGTGTGGTAACGTAACCAAAGCCAAGGTGGGGTGGTGGGGGCGGCACCAGGGCCGCGGTGGTAACGGGGGGTAGCAGGTCTCCGCTCATCCTGCCTTACCCACTGGTTATTAAAGTGGTCGTAGCAGATCTCACAAGTGGCATGGACAAGGCGACCGGGACCGGGTGGAGATGATGATTCGCTCGTGCGTATGTATGTATGTATGTACGCGTGGGCCACCCACTCCACCCACATCACGGGGACCTGCTGGATCTGGGTCTCGTCCTTTTGGTATTCAGCAATGGATTCCTGTCCTCACTCCCCATAACCCCCTCCCCCTCCTCACCCCCACATGCACCCCTTCATCCTTCCATCCCCACTGCCACCACTCCCCCTAACCTACCCAGAGTCTATTATGTTGGTGTGGCCTGGATCTGGTTGCGCACTGTATGTATGTACGTGTGTGTGCCTTAACTTTTCCCCCCTTACCGGGGCCCGCTTTCTTTTCCGGCGCTTCAGGCAAAGACCATCGACTTGTGCAATAACCCCAAGACCAAGGAGCCCAAGCTGACCGCAGCCCGCCGCATCATTGGGCCGCTGTGGGAGGAGCTGGACAGGCAGCAGGAGGAGGTGACGCGGATGGTGCAGGTGGGCAGAGGGGAGGGCAGAGGGGAGGGAGGGAGAGGACGGCAGGCAGTGAACGGGGGGACATGAGGATAGGGAATTCGTCGACTGCGAGGCAAGGCCTGGGGGGCCGCTGGAGGCAGTGCGCAGCGCGGATGGGATGAAGGGGGCGGAGCCCAGCATGTACGTGTACACACGTGGTGAAATATCTCTCTCCTCTATTTCCCTCCCTCCCTTTTGTAGAGCATGTTAGAGGCGCGGGAGGAGGCGGGACCGCCGGGCAGTGCCCTGCCGCCGCCACAGCCACCTGCTGTCGGGGAGCCAGCAGGGCACGGACAGGAGGAGGAGGGGTTGGATATGAGCTGGGAGGCAGCGGACCAACGGCATGAAAGCCACCATGCAAGCGACCGAACGGAGCTTTGAGCGACCTCCTGTTGTGCTGTGTTCTGTTGTGTTGTGTTCGAGTGGCCGCTAGGCTGACCTGGTGTGTGTCTATGTGTGGTTGGGGGCCCGGGGGTTCTTAAAGGTAAGGTGAGGTGTGGGCAGGTGTGGGATTACAATCGTGTTGTATGTCGATGAGATGGTGACCGTGATGGTTAGGAGTGCAGCGGCCGGTGCAGGTGATGGTGGAGGGGGGTGAAGTAATAGTAGTTTCTGCATTCGCGGCGATGACATGTTAGGTACGGACTGGGTTGGTACGGAGAGGGAGGAGGAGTGAGGGAACCTGTGAGGAGGACGGAGAGGGAAAGAGGGGGATGGTGCGGCGCATGGGGTTACGTCCGTGTGGTTGTCAAGGCCCTTGATGTTTGTGAGAATGCAGTGTAATATGCGCAAGTGGTACATGTCACCTGCCTTGATGCAGCCGCGACTCCTTGATTTTCAGCTTGGTTAATTGTCCGGCTGCTCTAGGCCGCATGACAAGAATTCGATTGATGTCCACGTGATCTGAGCTAATCATCTGAGGGCCGAGTGTGTGTGAATACCTTCAGAGGTTCCAGTTATGGTTCTCCCTCTTCCCAGAGCTGCGTGTGGGTAGCTAGCTGGAGGGACTGCACTTAAGAGGAGGGCTGCAGTTCTTTGGATGCAAGCGCCCTCGGCCCGATATATCTGGTCTCTTGTAGTCTTGCTAGGCTTGCAGCACATAGCGTGCGAAAATGCGGACGACAATAGATTTCATATCTCGAGTGGGGCCTTATGGCGGAACTTGTTACAACTGGTTAGGGCGGCGAGGCTGCCGTGCCTGACTGTGGACGGGAGCCCGCGGGGTCTACTACCGTAGGAACGAGCAGGTTGTGGGTGGGACGGGAAGGGGTAGTGCGTGCATGCGTGTGTGCGAGCCCGAACGTATGTTTGTCCGTACATGGAGCAGGGCGACGTGGTGTTACTGCGGCGCAGCCATAGACTTTACCCAGTTTCCAGGAAGTATGTTGTCCCCTTCTGGACCTCTTATGCAAAATCGAACTTCCAAGCCTCACAATAAAGCTCATGCATACCTCCGTCTGCGGTGCCGTTGAGCCGAAATTGGGGTGTGAATGAAAAAGCACCGACATAATGGGGCGCCCGTCCTGAAGATTTCCGCTGTAACAACGACGATCGACAGCCGAGTTAGGACTGGCGCGGCAGCAGCTTGCTATGCGAGGTAAAGTTTGGACGTGTGTCTTGCTGACTTGAGCTACTTCAAACACGAGCCGCTTGTCTACCGTGCCGGACCACCTTCTTTGGTGCTACAGTTGAAGCCCTGGTGGTGTTCATGGCGAACGCGAGCGGGGACAGTGTTGCTAGTAGTGCATCAATGAGCAGATCATCAACACTTGGATCAGCAGATCAGCATCACTCAGCACCGCTTTGGGGCTGGTGACGGGTTTGCTTGGTCTCCGACATGTAATGGCGGTCTCGAATGTTCATGGCAGCTGAGAACCCTGCTGAAAGTCGGGGGGACTCGCCTGTTCCGCCCTTGTTTGGTGGGCTTCTGGGTTGCCTACTTGTCTATCTATTTACCGTCTTCCCTGCACACATATATGTCCCTGTGATATATATGTGATCTTTCTTCTAAGGCTCCGGTAAATACACTTATGCCATGTGTAATGGTCGACTTTCTAAACTACCGTGCCCGTATACACAGTTTCAGGTGAGATTAGCCGTGCCGATGCAACCTCGGCGTCAGCTAGAACATCAGCATCCCATTGGAACATTCACACATGTTGCTATGCGTGGTGTATAGCCAATCCGCACAGCTACCAGCCCTCCCTGCAAATGTTTACGGGCAGATAGGCCCCGATAGGAGCTCACTAATCGTGAGGCACCCACCCTTGGCTTCATGAGCGATACGGAGCACCTACAGTGATAACAAGCTTTCACCCTCTTAACCCTAATCAACCGTGCACTCATCCCCTCGCGCCTCTTGGGCTTGGTGGCCCCCTCTAGCTCTCTTGCTGCGTGCCGCTTGCATTGCCGCAGCCGCAGCCGTCAGTAGTTCCCATCATGTAAAACTCCAGCATCTCCCTCTCCGTCACATGCAGGTCCCCGGCCAGCACCAGGCAATGCAGAGGTGCGCCAAAGTCCACCTGCGTGTGGCGGCGGCCGTAGGGTATTGCCCATGTGTCCTGCTATGCTGCCGGAGGTAGCTCCCAGGGGCACTCAAGGCAAGCTGGAGCCCAGGCCACACATAGCAAACGTGGTGGACGGTGCTATAAGGTGATAAAATCGTAGAACTGACAATGTGATAAAGCGGCCCAGAAGCCTCCCACTCTGTAACATTACAAATTACATAGCAAACGTAACGTAATCCTGAACCCGTAGTCCCCACTCCCGACAACCCTGCCCCGGTGTTGTGTCGTTCATTCTAGCCAGAGAAGATGCCCCTTGGCTAGTACTTTCAGGATGCGTAAATCCAGCATGCCGAAGCACTTAAGCCGCACCCGCATTCGTTAATACGGCAATAAGTAACCCCACACTCACACCCAAACCGACCGCTCACCTCCAGCAGCTGCTCCAATGTCCCAGCCACAATTTGTTGGTCATCTGCCTGCGGTAACGATAATGGCAGGAAAAAATCGGGCACAGGAAAAGTACAGCCTTTTGGACTGAAAATCACCGCAATAGTAAACCGGAACAACGAGCGCACACCCTGAAACCGTATATGAGCTCAGCCTGTCGTGTCCCCAACCCGGTGTCTCTGTCGCTGTCCCGAAGGTGTGTGTCCTAGCAGGCGGAGAGTCGGGAGCAGGTGGCACAGGTCACCATCACTTACATTTATGTAACCACGGTAGTACTACAACTACAACCACCTGGGTGTGGCGTCCTTGAAATCAGGATCAGATAGGGGTTAGTTGCTGGGCCTTACCATCTCCCCACACACAGCGCTTTGCCTGTAAGGCTGGTGCAAGCTGCGCAGCGCAGCCCTGTGTTCCCTGGCATGTAGTGGCCTAGCACCCTGGGAGCGGGGCCGAAAGGAACTTGCACACACACATATTTGTCCCACATCCACCAGCTGAACACCCCCCAGGCAGTTCCTGTTCACTTTCATCATCCGGGGATGCCATCCATAACTCCTATCTAGCAGCCATACACCGCGCGTCGACAGCTCGGCCTCTCAGCCACATAGCCTGCTGCCGGCCAAGGATGTTGTATTCAACAAAGGTTGCCAGGCCAAGAAGTCATGCCGCACCTGCAGCCTGGCGATCCCAACGCCAAGCGAGGAGTTGCTGAAGGCGCCTTCTTTCCTCCGCTCCTCCACCTCCAACAGCTGCTGGATAGCCTGTAGTCACGGAGTGAAAGCCATGCAAGGACCGGAAGCAGCTGGTGGATCTGGCGACGTCCATCACAGCTCACTTAATTGTCTTCTGCCCATAACTCCCACCTTCAACATGTCCCCTCCGCGGTGCTTAGGAACGTGGAGCAGAACACCACCACCACCGTCACCACCACCAACAGATTATTACCCATCTTCCCCCCCTTCGGGGTTCGGCCCTGATGGAATAATGATAGGGAGGTCTCGCCCAGACATACATGCGGACGTACACATGCCTTACAATCCCTTCTCACATACACGATGATGATGATGATGCATATCCGCGCGATGTACATATCTATACATACGTACGCATACACCCACCGTGTTGATGGTCATGTAGCGGGGCGGCTCGTACACCACACGGCCACGGGCAAGTGCGGCCAAGTCAGGCTCCTTGACCTGCGGGATAAGTAATGTATGCGGTGAGCTGATGCAGTGCAGGAATCTTGGGATGGATGGGATATGCAGGGTGATCGGATATGAAATACTTAGTTCTATGGATAAGAGCTTAAGGATGCTGCGATCATTAGCGGGTACAACAACTACTGCTGGGATGGCGGTTTGGTTGTGGGACGGATGAAACTGTAAGCCAGGTAGATCTTACTGTCGCTTAGGTGCAGATGCATCTCATCAAAACGCATGGGATATAGCCTCTCGGTCTTGGTCATGCACGGAAGCCGTACAGCATGGCGTTTTCCAACGTCCATCTCGCACCTGCGAGACCGTCAAGTCTAGCCGGACCGCGCCTTCATTGTTGGTTCCATTACTAGTGCTCTGAGCATTGTGTTCCCGGCTTTTTAAATTTCTGGTCATTGAGGCAGCTTGGCCCGGGCTGCCTGGCACCCGAGACCGCGCAGACCGCCGCGGAATGCGCTGAGAGCAACTCCTCCTTTGACGGAATGCGGCCCCGGGCAGGCAGCTGCCCCTTCACATGCAGGGGCTCCGAATCCTGCCCCGCTTCGCGCTGACTTCCTCCCGCTCGTTGTTAGCAGTTAAGCTAACGTTTACAGGAATGCCGTGCCGTCCCCAGCTAGCAATGACCGCCAACCATGGCCTTCACGACACAGCCATCCGGCATCGCCACTAAAATGACGCCGGCACCCATTTGAATGTTGATATGATACAGCTGGCGCCTCTATTTGGCTGTCAGTCGCGGACAATACCTCTATCTGCTGCTCCATCACACCGGCATTTATTGCCGCGGTGCTGGTTTTCTTCTCACGGCCTTCTCACACATACACACATATACACATGCACATCGCCGTCCGTACCTTAATGTCCAGAAGGCAAAGCGTGTGCAACCCAAGCCTGCATGTGCAGCAGGGCAGTGGCAGCACGGAAGGCGCCGAAACCACAAAACGCCGTCATCGTCTCAAGGAATCAAGGAGTGAGTCAGAGATTGGCAGGGCTTGCCTTGACAGGCAGGAAAAGGCTGGCCAGGGCAGCACGGCACAGGCCATGATAATTAGGGAAATAGATGGTATTGTTCTCCTTAAGCGTGACGGCCTGTAAAATCTGGCCGCAGAAAAGACATGTACCATGATGCTCGCCGTACGCTTTAGCCCGCATTTCTGGCGGTGCATTGTGCCGTACTGTACGACAGCTACTACATACCCAAGAAGGTGACAGCCCCCGGGTAGTGCTAATCATTACAGACACTGCGTTCCCTTCCCACACGCCCCCGGGTAGTGCTAATCATTACAGACACTGCGTTCCCTGCGTTCCAGCACGCAGCAGAAGCGGCGCAGACTGTCCTTGGTGACTGAGGCCCCTGGTGGCCTACTGCCCGAAAGCCGATCGCGACTCGCGCAATTGCCGTTAGTACGACCCGTAACTAATTATTGATCGCTACCAGTAGTGGAAGCCCATGCGCAGGGGGAGGGCGCCGCACCTTCTGTTGGCCAAGATTTTGTCGTAGAAAGAATCAGGCCGCCAAGTATCCGTGAAGAACACGATGGAGACAGCCTGGAGCCAGGAGCACGTGGTTCAGAGGATGTTCATGTTCATTACTGTGCCTCCATCCGTCATTGGCTAGGCTGTCAATGCTTGATATGGGTTTAGATCAGTGTCCCAGATTCCTTCTTTACAGACATCAAAATGCACAAGAAACAACAACCTGCATCCATTCTGGACGGGTGTTCAATTTTCTGCAGGCACGCGGGTTTGCATAAAGACTTCTGCGCATCATTTGGGTTGCTTGCCAGGCAGGGCGAGCCGCGTTGCGAGTGAGTACGAGGGCGGATGTAATCATAACTATATCCGCTGACCTCCTCTCGTACCAGCCAGCCGTGTTAGCACCAGTTACGATCATCGTCCTAGACCAAGGCCAAGGAAGCAATCCTACCACCCCGCAGAATACACCACCTACCCAGCTCACTATTGCCGGACCCACAGAGCCTACAACCCATCCCGAGTGCCGCATGTACCGCCCCAACCATCAACCTAAAACTGAACACTGATTAGCAACGAACCAAAAGCAACGGATTTGATGAGGACGGCAGATGCCTTCACATGAGGCTCCGAGTGGATCCCCAGCACCCATACACCTACTGCAGTCACGCAGCCCCACCCCCCTGCATATCCCAGAGCAACACAAGAGGGGCAAGTGGGAATCGACACTCACTCACCTCGCCGAAGCGGTACAGGGATAGGCCGCATGCACCCACAGCGTTCATGACGGAGGCGTTGTGCACCACACGCACCGGGATGCCTCTTTCCCTCGCCCGGAGCTGCAAGTCGGTGTGGGTGGTGGCCCTGACATGTCGGATGGACGACAGAGCACGCAGGGCAGGGCACGGCACGCAGGGCAGCCGCGATATCCAGGCATCAAACAAGCGCATTATTATTGGCCACCCGCCAATGGCTCCCGGGAAATCAGTCGACGCTTGGCGCCCCAGATAATTGATGGGCAGTCCCCCCCTTGTTCAAGTGGGGCGTGAAGAGGCTTCACCCGTGGCCGCTGAAAAGGCGTCTCAAGATGCTGCCAGAGCGCCCTAGCACGTGACTAAAGATGATGTGTGTGCCGTGTTGTACGACAGCTACTACGGGGCCACTAGACTGCTGGCAGTCCCGATTACCTTCCGCCGATGTTTCGGGGCACCTGCATATCCTTCTCATCGCCCATGTGCGCCAATTTCTGCGAAGTCAGTGACTTTTTCGGGCTCAGCACCGATCACCACCACCACCACCACCACCAGCATTCCACCACTCTTTGTTGAGATCAATCCTGGAACCTTCCGGGTTCAGTATGCTGCTCTTTATCGTATTTGCTGATGTGCTTTTTCTTCCGCACATACTGTTCCGTTCCGTCCCTTTCCCCCAAGCCTCGCACCCGAACGGGTCTCCCACAACGCAAAACGCCACATCTTGTGCGTCGGCTCCATCCAGGATCTCCTCGGCTCTCTGAAAGCAGTCAGATCGGGGCCGGACACGCCCGCACGGGGGTACGACACGGAGGAGGCACCCAGTGAGCGTGGACAACATGCAGCGAGTCGGCCGAGGAAGACGGCCGAGGGATACAGAAGTGATGAAGACTCGTGGGTGGGTACCTAGGTGGCAGTGTGCGTGATGACGGCGTGATGTGGAGGCATTGCGATAGGCGGATGCCTTAGTCTACTGCGGGAATGTGCATTAGGGCATGAAGCCGTGTGTGCGGTATGTTGGGAGCGAGGTGATGATGTGTGCAGTCAGCCATGCATGCTACCGATAGGAGTCATATACTGGCGCTACCACACCACCAATATGTACCCAGTCATCCCTGGATGGGCCGACAGCTGCCATCGGAGGTAACGGCACAGGGGGCATCACTGCGACACCGGAACCAAGGCCATGCAAAAGGCCCTTATCGGCGCATCGACGAATTTTATGGCATTAACGGTATAGATGGATGGATGGAGAACGAATGGGAGTGGGTCATGGAAGGCACCCAGCCAAATGTGCATTAACTTTGACATTCCTGCTATACGAAGCTCGGTTCCTTGAAGCTGCAGGACGGAGGCGCAATGTTTTGAGCACGGATGCATGGGAAGTCAACCAGGGAAATGGGAGGTGTCCAGGATGGGAATCGGTGGGAGAAGTACGGATGGTCTGTATATATGTAGGCCAGCGGATAACGTACGTGGTCCCAACCATTAGCTCCGAAACCACCTGCCGATAGACTCACCGACTCGACCATCTCACGATCTGCAATGATGACGTCCTTGCCGTACAAAGCCTCCTGGAGGTGGTCGGCGGGTAATGGATCCGTAATGGGGAAAAAACGACTGGAAACTCGCCCGCCGAGCAAACTGATGCAGGGGTGCCAGTTGCCAGACAGCCATGCTGCCAAATAGACAACGGTCCTGTACGGATCTTTACGCATATGCGTGGAACGAGTGCTGCCAGGGTGCGGGTTGGACGTCTTCGTACACGCTCTAACTGTCACCCGCAAAGCAGCCATGTGCAGTCAAGCGATGTACTCCACCTCTATTACGCAGTTCTATGACAGTGTCGCAGATTGGGGGGTGGTTTGTGACTGGTCGCGCGGCGGCAAGGAGGACCCTACAGAAGACAAGGCTGCTGTAGGTACAGTTCCGGGAACTGCATGTAGCTGGACCAGAGGACCGCTGACGTGAGTGCATAGCTTCCTTGCTTCAATACAAACAGTCGTCTAGGCGCCCCACGAGGAAATCTCCTACTATTCGTACTACCTGTCATTGGTCCTATTGCAACAAGTCGTACACAAGCTCCCACAACCCACCAGCTTCTCCTTGCCGCATAGTAGAATTGAAGTATATGCCTCAAGATAGACCCTTGAACACCGGCGAACAGCCTCTAGTCCCCTTCAGCATTAGAATTCGAGCAGGAAGATGCGGAGATGCCTCCTTTGCTGCTCGCAAGTAACAAAAAATTCCGCCCCATGATCACTTTGGATGAATATACAAATACCAAAGCTGAACTGTTAATAACCACTGGACCTCCGTTATCTACTGGACCGTCACTGTTGGACATCAAACAAGCGCACTTACCTCAGCGTAATGTCCTGCTCGTTGAAAAGTCCGAGTCCTATCAGATAGAGTACCATCTTTCACTACTTGAAAATGGTTTGAGAAGGGGAGATCTGCTCGATTACTCTGCGATGCTGCGCTATGCCGGCTGAAACGGTGGCGTTTCACTCACACGTCTTAGAGCCTAATTGAAAAGTCTGAAAAGTCTAGGGCCGATTACCAAAACAGGTGTTTTTATTTGGCAAGGCGTGCTGTGACTTCTGTAGCTTTGAACAGAGGCATTTCATACGGGACATTGCATACGGGAGCCACACAGCTACACCTAGCAAGATCCTTGGTGAAGGGGAATATCTTTCCGATGAAAGGCCGTCATGCATGGCGGCTAACTGACAACGACAACTGTTAGCTTAATTCGTTCATTTTAACAAAACCCCGCCATTAAAAGGCTGGCTCCACTGGGGCGCGGCTTGTTAAGGCACTTTAAAGCTATTGGCGGACTAGAAAGAACTTAACAAGCGGCCGTTCCACTGACTGGCCCGAAAGTCGAAACCAAATTTAGCGTGTAGAAACTGCAGGCTGTTTGTAATTCTTGTCTGCCGTTAAGATATTCGATTTGATACGGTACATTTGAGTCAAGTTAGTTTTGAGCCTTTAACCAGTGCTGATGCACCTCGTTCCATTGCATGTCGGCATCTGAGCGCCGGGACGCGCCCTGCAGAGGCTGCTGCAGAACAGCTTGGAGGCATTAAGAAGATTAAATAACGGGAGTGGTGTGGGCATTTGGTCCATTCCGACTGGAGTCTACGAGCCGGCCGGCGATCGGCCAAGAGGAGTAGAAGTAAATACGGACCAGCCGCGAGAGAAATCAAAAGTATTGCAGGAATTTCCTTCCGAGATGTCTTACAGGACTTCATAAAAGAAGATTTGAAAAAGGCGAGGGCTCGGGCGAGAAGTTTTGAAAAGTAGTTTTAGCAAACGGCCCAGTGGAGGCATCATAACCTCGCTTCTCGCAGATACGGACATTTCCGCATAGAGTGGACCTATTTTAATAAGCAAGTGGTTAACTTTTTGACACGTGTGGCTACGTACAAGTGGGGAACGGAAGAGTCAGGCCCAGGCAAATGCATAGCGGATGCAATCACATGCATTAAATCTGCTTAGGAAAGGGCGCTCACTAAGCTGCGCCGAAATGAAGACTGCTGCGCCTGCGATGTTACGATGCCGCCGGCCCCCGGATTCGGCGGGCAGAATATTACATGCATATTTACCCGCAGCCATGCCGGCTGCTTCGGATCTTGCGTGGGCGCGAATACGTATGGTCTACCGCAGGAAGTTAGCCACGAGCGGCCCCCTAAGGTGCATAGCTCGCTGCTCCATCCCAACTTAGTTTCCTAGCTGCGATTGGTGTCTGGATCTATGCATGGCCTGAACGTGGTTACATCAAAAGTTGTTAAATTTTTTGTTGTCTGTTGACATGAATGGTCGCCTGTTACCTGGTAGGTAACGAATAGGATAAATTGTTAAGCTCTGCTGCGTATCCATTTTCGATTGATTGACCCGCAAGAGGTTTATTACCAAATCCGTACAGATCCGTACTACTATTTTATTTGCTTGGTCAGGAATGGTTTTATTCAGGGTTTTATTTGAAAGGGCATAGGCTCCGTTTCTCGTTGGGATGCCACGATGATTACAAAGAGGGCCGAGCGACTTAAGCCAGCTAACAACCTACAAGATGTAACAATGATGACATAACAAACTAAACAACAACAACGACTTAAATAGTCAACCAGAGCCTAGGCGGCGCCGAAAGGTCGTACATTATCCATATCTCAAATGATCGTCCACGAGTAAAGTTAACGACTTAACGACTAACAAGAAAACCTAACATGCCCCCCTGCTTAGCTCAAGCATCGGCCTCGATGCGACCAAAGTACAAACTATGCTAAGTCGTGCGCCGCTCCGATTCCCTGAACGAAATCGGTACCAGGCTAACGAGGGGAAGGCAAAAGGGAACCGGAGTCAAGGCAAAACCTTCCCCGCACTGGATACCGGCCTAAATAAGGCGCACGACACCTATATCTACCGGTCTAAGGAACCGGTCTACGACCAAACGAACGTGTCCAGAAACATCCACAAAGAGTACGCAAATCATAAGCCTAAGGCACAGAAAAGCAAACTCGGTGGATGGCAAAATAACGCAAGAAAACACGAAAGTACACAACATGCAACACGCAATACCCCGAAAAAAACAGAAGTCAAGACACGACACGCGCAAAACTGAGGCGAAAGAACCCAAAACTGAAAACACACAGGACACGAGTCACACACAACACATCCTATGCGGAGCGCTAGGTTGTCATGAAGTGCACTATCCTCGGGGCCCGTTCCGGAAACTTCGCTCTGAACCAGGCATAGCGGTCTGACAGCTTAAACGCGGTCCAGGCTGGGGTCGCCAGGAAGGCACGAAGTGCTGGAAGGCTGCGTACGTCATCGTACGGTTCCCAGGACGCGTCACGGCCACTGGCGGTAGACCACTGAACTAGGAACATGACGGACGGCCGACCACGACGGTTATAACCTAGGCGAACTGCAGTAACGATAGTGTCGGCGTGGTCGTACGGTGACTCCAGTGTGATGGGCACGGCGGGCGGAGCTGGAGGACGGTTGGGGAAGAGCGTAGGATCGTTGTCTGTCCACGGAAGCAGGCGGGAGACGTGAAAAACGGGATGGATGCGACCGAGGGTAGGTGGAAGTTGGAGGCGGTAAGCGACGGGGGAAATGACTGCACTAATGGTAAAAGGGCCGATGTAGCGAGGTCGGAGTTTTGCGGAGGGGTAGTCGGGTAAGGTGAGGTTAGTGGTGGAGAGGCGAACACGGTCGCCAACTTGGAAGGTGAGGTTGCGGCGGTGTTGGTTGGCGGCGGCAGCGTATCGAACTTTAGCTGCTTCGAGTTCGGCGGTGATGGTAGAATGAATGTCACGGATGTGGGCATGGAGATCAGCGGCGGCGGTGTGTGCGGGTTTGGAAGGGGGGGTGTTAATCGTGGCGGGGGTGGTGGGATGGAAACCGTAGTTGGCGTAAAATGGGGTGGTGCCGGTGCTGGCGTGGGGAGTGTTGTTGTAGGCAGCTTCGGCGATGGGCAGGTAGGCAGCCCAGGAATCTTGCATGGGCTGAACGTAAGCACGAAGGATTTGCTCGATGGTGCGATGGGTACGTTCAGTTTGACCATCGGTTTGCGGATGGTAAGCGGAGGAAAGGTTGAGGGAAGTGCCTAAATGTTCCCAAAAGGTGCGCCAGATGTCGGCTGTGAAGCGGGGGTCGCGGTCGGAGACGATGGTGGTGGGGAGGCCATGAAGACGATAGATGTTGGAGATGGCAAGGAGGGCGATATCGCGGGCTGTAGCTGATTTGTTGGTGGGTACGAAGTGGGCTTGTTTGGAGAACATGTCGACGAACGTGACAATGGCGGTGTAGGTGCGACCATCCAGTCCTTTGGAGGGCGGTAGGTCGGTGATGAGGTCCAAAGACACATGAGTCCATGGTCGTGAAGGCGTAGGCATGGGATGGAGGAGGCCAGGCGGAGGCTGAGTAGATGGTTTTGAGCGCTGGCAGATGGCGCAGGATTGTACGTAGGCACGGACTGTGCGGCTCATATGTGGCCACCAGTAGCGGGTAGTGATGGAGGCGAGGGTGCGACGAAAACCGGGATGACCTGAGTAGGCGGCATCATGGAATTCGTGCAGTAGGCGACGGCGAAGGGCGGGGTCAGCAGGTACAGCGATGCGGTTGCCAAAGTAGACGAGACCGTCAGGGGAGCGTTGGAGGTATGGCTTGATAGTGGCGGGGTTGGAGTACATGGGGTCGGTGGTGTAACCAGAAAGGATGGCGGCGGTGAGACTGGGGTCGGGAAGGACATGGGAGGCGAGAGCAAAGCAGGTGTGGCGGAGCGCGTTGTTGGCGGAGATGTCGACAGGTGGTTCTGTGGAAGGCCAAAGTGGAACGGAAGATGGAAGAGACTGTATGTGAGGCGATGGTGAGAGGAACGGTGTGGAAGAGACGCTGGAGGGTGGATCGGGGAAAGGCGGCGGTTGGACAGGGAAGCGAGAGAGAGCGTCGGCCAGGTTTTGTGGCCCAGGGCGGTAGGTGATGGAGATGTAGCCTTGAAACGGTGCGAGCAGTTGAGCCCAACGAGCTTGGCGTCGCGAAAGGTCCTTCTGCGTGAAGAAACGCTGTAGAGTGTCGTGGTCGGTGCATAGCGTGAAGTGGCAACCTTCAAGATAGCAACGAAACTTACGTACAGCGTGTACGACAGCAAGCAGTTCCAACTCGTGGATTGGATAATTTGCTTCGTGTCGATTGAGCTTGCGGGACTCGAACGCGACGGGATGAAGGGCGTTGTCTCGTTCCTGGAGGAGTACTGCTCCGAGGCCAAGGGTAGAGGCGTCCGTATAGAGGGTGAAGGTGGCTGAGGGACCCGTTTGAGGAATGATGAGAGCGGGGGCGGAGGTGAGTGCGTTACGAAGAGCATGGAAGGCAGCGACGGCGTCGGGCGGTAAGGTCTTGGGAAAGGGCTGGGTGGTTTTGGTAAGCGCGATGAGAGGGTGGGCGATGCGGGCGTAGTCCTTGATGAAACGGCGGTAGAATCCTGTAAAACCCAGGAAGGCGCGGACGTCGGTGATGGTGGAGGGAATGGGGAAATGGTTGAGGGCTGCAAGTTTGTCGGGGTCGGTTGTGATGCCGTCGCGGGAAATGATGAAGCCACAGAATTTTGTTGACGGCTGGGCGAAGGAACATTTTGTGCGGCGGACGTGGAGGTGGTGGTTCTGCAAGGTGCGGAGGACAGCTTCCACGTCGCGGCAATGGGCTTCGAAGGTGCGTGAGTAGATGAGGACGTCGTCGAGGTACACGACCGCACACTTGTTGCGGAAGGGGCGGAGGACGTCGTTCATCAGGGACATGAACGTAGCAGGGGCGCCGGTGAGTCCGAAAGGAAGGACGAGCCATTCATACAGCCCATACTTACACCGAAAAGCTGTTTTATGCACGTCCGGTTCGTGCACCCGAACTTGGTGGTAACCCGACCAGAGATCCAGCTTGGTGAAGTAGGCTGCGCCGTACAGCTGGTCTAGGAGCTCGTCCACACGAGGCAGCGGGTACGCGTTCTTGACGGTGAGCTGGTTGATCGCACGAAAGTCGACACAGAGGCGTAGTCCGTTGCCGCCGGGTTTGCGGGCGAACAGGATTGGAGCGCCAAACGGCGACGTAGACGGGCGAATCCAGCCACGGTCGAGGTAGTCCTTGAGCTGTCGTTCAAGCTCTTGGAGCTCTGCCGGTGACATACGGTACTCACGTTGCTTCGGCGGCTGGGCGTCGGGGTCGAGGGGAATGCGGTGATCGCAAGGGCGGGACGGTGGAAGACCAGTCGGTTCAGAGAAGACAGCGGAGTATCGGTCGAGGATGGACTGGAGAGGAGGCGGAGCAGGCGGTATGGAGGCGGTGGGCTGAGGTGGGGCTTCGGGATCGATTTCTGGATCATCGAGGGGACGGAGTATGCCGAGGTAGACTGGTGGAGGTTGAATAAAGGGGCCACGTTTGCGAGGATTGGAAGCGGTGGGTGGTGGTGGGCGGGCGCTGGCTTGACGAATCGTCTAGATCGATACCAACTGAAAGGGCATAGGCTCCGTTTCTCGTTGGGATGCCACGATGATTACAAAGAGGGCCGAGCGACTTAAGCCAGCTAACAACCTACAAGATGTAACAATGATGACATAACAAACTAAACAACAACAACGACTTAAATAGTCAACCAGAGCCTAGGCGGCGCCGAAAGGTCGTACATTATCCATATCTCAAATGATCGTCCACGAGTAAAGTTAACGACTTAACGACTAACAAGAAAACCTAACATTATTCCCCAGGTTTTACTTAGTAAACTTAGTAACCGATCAGTGATCAACATCAGACGATCTAAATTATGATTATTATCCACGTGTGCTAGAATCCCCACTGCGACCCCGCAAACATTGCAAACTGGCTTTTCCAAGTTTTGACAAAACCACGCAAAACCATATCGTGGATCATTAAACTACACTGTAACGCCAGATGCAACAAAAAAGTTCATAACGTGGCGTATATCGTCTATTCCATTTACACCCTTCTGCATCCTTGGAGAACAAAAAATCTTTCGTCGACTCCGTCACCCATTTTCATGTTAGATATGGAGAGCCCACAGATATGAAACATATATTACTGCTGTAACTCGTGTCCAGTAGTCCGTGCTGGAATGGCTGTCACCAGCAATCCTCGCATTCCTCTTCTGCTGCTGCTAATCGCCGCCTTGTGTTGCGAGAATGCTCATCCGGTACACGCCGGGGGGGAGAACAGAGATCCGCTACCTGGCAAGTTTTCTAAGATACCACCCTGATGCGTAACAAATAATTGTGTATATATTTACGCTACGAATGGCTGATGTATGTGGTTTTGTGGATGCAACAGGCTCGCATTTGCCTCAGACTAGAGCACCACAGCAGCGCCCTTTCCTAGCGCTAAAGGATACGGAGCACGCCAGCAGCGATGATGTTCAAAAGCTTTACGAGCAGGCGACGAGCGCGTCCTCCATAGCGTATCACCTGTTCGTAGCGGCGGAGTCACTGTCGCGTGCTGAAGGCAAGTCCGTTGTGGTCGTTGGTGGTCGGGCGTTGCCACAGTTCGTCGGCCCCGATCAATCTGTATGCGTGGGTGTAAGTAGACATGGCCGTTGCACCTGGCAAGTTAACGGTACGTGTACTGAGCCTTGAGTACACCCATTGCTTGACCGAAGTAGTGGAGGTTGCCGTACCGTACGGCAATGGCACGAGTTAATAGGTAGTAAAAGAGCTAGTGTAACAACGGTAGTTGTTACATTTGTGAATGCCATGCACTCATCCATTCACGTATCTCTTGCATCATAATACACGTTAGAAGTCATCGAAAAAGCGGCTGCGCACTTCGCTGCCAGCCTCTTTTCCCGCTATGAACTGCAGTCCAAAGCCGGTTGCCTTATCGCCGTACCAGTGCATCTAGTTAATGGCGGCACGATACGTGCTGCGTGCTACTCGCTGATGAACCCTTCTCGGCTCTTTTGCCCCGGTGCCCACGTACGCACCTGCTGTCGATCTGCAGTGCCATCCTCCAACGCTCTTCTGCCGTACTTAACACCGGTCATCCTAAAGCTGTACACATCACATCCGGAGCGTAGAACGTCCCCTGCGGCTGTAAATTCGTACTCCCTGTCTTGGAGCTTGTACAGATCATCTCCAACGTTGCAGGTGTGTGTCGCAGTGAACGGCTGGTGTAGATTACTCGCCGCCAACCGACGAAGGAACGCACATGGCCCTCAGTCTGTGGGAACTTGCCTGTTTACGTACCTTTGGCGCCTGGCGGCCTATCGCTTGTCATGGATTGTAACAACGAATGGGCGAAGGGGGGCACAATATCTAGGCCTGCCAGTGCACCTCCTCTACTTAACTGCCTGATGTTGTATGGGGCCCGGAAACACGATGCTCGTCGCCTGGCGAGTGATTGCTAATAAAGTGCGAGCAAACCCGGGGAAAATAGCATCTTAGTAGTGACGAACAACAGCAAGGTTGCTGAAAGGCCTGCTGCTGGGTGCCCCTCGCCGTGCTGCTCCCCTCCTTGCAGTCCTGCCACTACGATCTGTACACCTCCCTCGGAGCTGCCTTTTCCTGGGTCCGGGACAACATCCCCCTGCGGCTGCAGGAGGTCTCCGGGCAGCCTCTGGCCTCCGCCGCGTGGCCCGACATGTCGCGGACTACCCCGCTCAAGCTGGCGGCGAGGGTGGCGGAGGCACTGCTGCGAAATAACAGCCTCGGCGATACGGCCTCCCAGCTCAATGCCAGTTGCGGCCTGGCAGCGGCGGACTTCGCGGCCCTGGTGCCAAACATATCGTCGGTCCTCATCGACCTGCACGCGGACCTTCCATTGCTTCAGGACATTGCAAAACAGCTGTACGGAAGTGGGGACTCGAAGGCCCAGGGGAAAGACTCCCAACCCTTTCCTATGCCGGTTGCTGCTGCCAGTGGTCCCGGCACCCTGCTGCAGCAGCAGCAGCAGCAGCAGCAGCAGCATAGGAAGCTTCAGCAGATCCGGGGTAGCTATGTAGGCACGTTGCCCCCTGGCGGCTTCACGCCAGCACCGCCGGCCGCTATGCCAGCCATCTTGATTCCCCTTGTCTTCCACATCCTGCTGTACAGAGACAGTTGTGGAGCGCTGGGACCTGCACAGTACGATCAGGCGCCCGTGTTTATTGACCTGATGGTTCGCCTGGTGAACTTGATGGCGAAGCCGACAAACTTCAGCTTCTTTGTCAAGGTGGGCAAGTCGGGCTTTGATACAGTAAACTACATAGGCTTCATGGCTGAATTGACCACCACCACTACCATATGTACGGATCAGAATGCGAAATGATGGGGAGGAAACGAAGGCGGGGTATGAATGGGCGGGGGAACACGGCTAGCGTAGTCAGTTTGATACGCAAAACCCTGGATGGAACGCATGCAGCCGCTGTATTTCGCACTGGCGATAGCATGAGTAACGGACAATGACAATCCAGCTAAAGCGGGCTGCCTTTGGTGTCCTGCCGTAAGCGCTGTTAATCGCCCCCGCCCACTTGGGATGTGCTGTGAATGGTGTCAAAACCGTAATCTCGGCGGGTCAGGTGAGGTCGGGCGTACACATACAGAAATGCTCAGGAAAGAGTCGCAGTACATGTTTGAAGTACATGTCGTACATACTGGAGACTGGTGGATCTAGCAGCTATTTCATTCGTAGGTAGTTTTAGCAGAGGATGTAAGTGAATGCACTATGTAGGATTGATATTCGCGGCTGGAAAGCTAAAACGGTCGCGAGCGCTTAGAGCGGCGTGGGTAGTTAATGTGATAGCTGCATGGTCACAACAAAACATATGTGCGGAAAAGCGCAGCATCTCGAGAGGCCTTTCCCGCAGCCAACCAGTTGAAGCGGTGGGGAGACCTTGACCACCTCAGATTCGGTGCCATCGTAAAGGAGGCTAGGTGCTTGTGCCCCCGGCTGACGAGGTGGCGTGAGGGGAACTCACCCGCGGCCCGAGGGCAGGCGAAAGCGTCGCAAGGAGCAGTTTCGGCAGCCAGCTACCGCAGCAAAGGGTGCGGAAGGCCGACGCCGCCGATAAGGTGTCAGGCAAAGAAGCGACACACGTGCACGTCTGACCAAAGGGCGTCTGTAAAAATGCGTGCAGGAAGTCCGCAACAACGCCACAACGTTTCCCAGCCTCGTTGTGGGCAACCGAAGCAGGTGGCTCGACGTACCATTTTGCGAGGAGATGGGCTGCCTTAACGACAATTCATACGTGTCTTCGTAAGTCGCTACGGTACCGGTGGTAACGTTAAAGGCGATGGCTTCAAAATTAGAGCATGACGTAGCTTACGCTTGCTCGACACCATCACCTTTCATATTATCTTCCCTCCCGTGGTCTCAGCACCTCAACAGGCAATTGCCCTGCATCTGCACCTGCATCTGCCCGCTTTGTTTGCTATCCCCTTCCTCCGTACCCCGCCCCCCTGAGGCTCAGCGCAACCTGAAGTAGACAACGCATTTAGAGTCATCGCCAAATATTTTCGTAGCATCTATTCGTAGCACCTTGTCATTAGCTTGGCGCGCAGTACCTAGCTTTATTGCCCGCTGCCGCCGTTCGCTCTCGAAACCGTCGGCGGGGATGTTAATCGTGCAGGTCTGCATGGCGCAAATTGTTATACAACCGCCACTGTGGCTGTGAAAATATAGCCCTTTTGTGTTCGCAGGCTTGTAGCCGACTTTCCCCGGAGCATCAACGTCTTCGTAGCAGCTGACTCAACATCTGGGAGCCCTGGTGCCGCGTATGCCCCTGGGTGCGTCGATCCGAGTGGCCGCCCCCCTGCCCATTACTTCTTAAATAGGCTCCCTTGACCACATATATTAATTAAATAGTGCGTAACACGTCTTGGGGCGATTTGGGCCTTGTACGCATGCTATCCGTCGCGACTATGCAGTGAAGCTGTGGTTCGTGCCATGCATGCATGCGAGTATGTACGTGGCCTATCGAGCAGAATGATTTGGCCATCTTGTTGTTGTTATTGTGCATGTGGGTGGCGGGAGCGATCTAATGGCATACATCCAGAGATGCTGGAACTATTACTGCCCGACGGAATTCTCTTCACTGCTTTCGTTTTTGCCTCGTACATGTGAACGCACGCAGGTCAGATACCTACCCAGCGAAGGGTTTGATATTTGTTACTTGGGATTCGATTTCCATTTCTGGCTTCAATTCCCCCGCATTGTACAACGAGGGCTCACGGACGCTTCTACATGAGATTTTCCACCATCTGGGGCTGACTCACCCTTTCGGGAAATCCTACAGCTGTGACGATGATGACTATGTTCTCGATACACCAGTCTCCCTTGGTAAGCTTTTTCATTATACGGCTTCTGTGTGGTGTGCTACTTTTGAGATGAATCCAGGCCCCCAGGCAGATTTGGCCCTACACAGGAGCAGCTGATGCACGCATCTACATACATACACACATACATTCCTTGATGCATCCTGCAGGTCCGGTGTATGCGAACATAACACTCTTCAAGGTTGCTATAGGCCACTGCATGGAGGTCTTTTGGAATCAACTCGGGGGCAGCTGGGATGCAGCGTACAAACGCATGGCTTCACGCCTGGGAATACCGGAGGCCGACATGAATGCCTGGGCGGATAGCTGTCCCGACAGCCCCGGGTACGACGAGCTGGGCAATTACATGACGTACAGCGCCCCTGTCTGCTTTGCGGCGCTGGGCCACTTCACACTGGGCCAAGCGCTACGGGCACACTATGTGACGTCGGAGCGTAATCGCCTCATGTACGCATGGGGACAGTACTACGCATCCACGGCGCCGCCGCCACCGCCAGTGACTTCCTCGCTACCTTATACGTGGGACTACGGCAAGGTGAGATGTATGTACGTATGTGTGTACGCATGTATACCTCCAGGCCAGCACGCATATGTGCATATGTGTGCATATGTGTGTGTGTGTTTTGCACCTTGATGAGTTGCGTTACCACCCTCCAGAGGTGTATTAACAGGGCCTAAGGGTCCTGATCAGGGGGCCCAAGGGCCGAAGACTGTATGTCCGAGATAGGTAATTACATGACAAGCAACGAGCGCTGCAGCCAGTTACAGATCATCTCCGATGGCCGGCATGCTGCTACCTGTGCGTGTCTCTTAATGACTCAACGCTTGAACTTTATATGTTGTTTGTACGGCATTCCAGCACCCTACCTAGATCATCTTCATTGGCAAGCTAGGCCATACGCACGCAAGATACACCGCTATATAGCCGTCGCAGGTGCATGTGTGACGGGGCCCGCCAGAGGTATATCGGCAGGGTGCGAACATGGAAGGGCGGAATTGAACCAGGCGTCTTCTCCGTGTTGACATGTTGCGTACAGGTCACAGCAGGTACGAGTTATCCAAGCCCCCAGCCTCCAAGCCCGTTGCCGCCGCCGCGGCCTCCAAACCCGCCACCACCGCCCGCGCGTCTAAGGTCGCCACCACCACCCATGCCTCCGCCATTGCAGCGGCCTCTAATCTCGCCACCATCGCCCTCGCCTCCAAGCCCGTGCCCTCCAAGCCCCGTGCCCCCAACCCTGCTACGGCCGCCCCGGCCTCCAAGCAAGCCACCACCGCCCAGGCTCCCAAGCCCGCAGCCACCCCAACCATCACCCTGCACAGCCTCCAAGTAAGAGCTCAGCCGCCGCCGCTGATGCAGGCCGGCCCCACTTCCGCCGCCTTACACCCCGCGTTAGCCACCCGTGGAGAGAATGTTATGAGGGGAAAGGTGCTAATAAACGCGCTTAGGCAAGGGCTGTTTCCTTAACGTGCGCTTTGGGAGATGTATGTCCGCGTTTGAAAGTATGCAGGCGACCGCATGCAAGTGCGAGTGCGATTGGGCACCGGCGAGGGAGTACCGTGCCGTTTGCCACACATCCTGAAACATGGATGAAGCAGCCTATGCTATCAGCACGTGACTAAGTTGTTGTAGAGCAAATTTCAGCACGAAACACGCCGCCGGCAACATGCTGGCTTGTCAAAGCATGCATGTGCATGCACACTTATCATGCACAATATTATTAATGCTAGCAGATACCTATTGCTAACGTAGATGTGATGGGGTGGCATCGCTATGCAATGTTGAGTTCCTTGCGGTATGGGGACGTATGCGTGGGCACTTTCTGTAGCTAGCCGGATGGCGCGCGCGATCCCATAGACACGCTACGGTGGTACGCACCAATTGTGCCTGACCGTGCTTATCAGCAAGGGTGCTCACCAGCTGATGTCGACCGCTAAGTAGTAGGTGCCATTTCATTGACGACCAGGCTGGATTACTTCCATGTCCATACTTTGTTTGCTTTGGCATGTTATGTGTTGGCTGTTATTTCTGGAATAGCTGTCGTACAGTGCGGCACACACCAGCATCTCGAGGGGCCAATTTTGGAGGCTAGCTATTGCAGTACCGCCGTGCATACTCGGCGGGGGCAAATGTTTATGCTCGCGCGCTGAGATGATGATGAACGAGTCAAGTATGTTCAGGGACGTGCGTGCAAGGCGGCCTGCCTGACCGGCGTGGATTATGCGCTGGAATGTCAACGTCGCCGCGGTCCCGCGGGATCCTAGCTTGTCGGGAGTCATGTATGTTGGTGGTGGGCTGCGGTTTGTAACACTGGTGGTGGTTGGAAAGGTCTCTGGAGCGGATATGCTGTGCATGGAAAATATCTTCATTAGGCCATATCGTACGCCCTTCTTTTTTGACGACCTCTGATAAACAAGGAAGAAGTTGTCCAGCAGTGGGTGGCTAAAACAAATGAGACTTAGTGTACGCAATAATACACCTACATGCCACGGAAGATCTCTATCTGGGTGTCTGGAATGCTCCAGGATGAACGCGGGACAATCGTTTGGTGCCTCCCTTGCACCCGCGTAAAAGCATCTTGTTGGCTTAGATGCGACGGAGCGAAGCGACCGGAGCCTCTAAGGCTGGTTCTGTGGTACTGTCGTACAACTGGGTCGCAGTGGCGACTTAAACCTTACTGCTCTCCTGGTGAAGTCATTCTGCCTTCACACAGAAGAGCATACAGCCTTGTCCAAATAGTCAGCGTGACAGGCTGTACTTGCCCCCCACCCGCCCTGTCCTTGTCAGCCCCTTGCCTCCTTTTCCGCTATCCTCAGTCTTGCCCCAGATGCAGCACTGATCGGCTCGGCCTGGCGTCGGCGGGCTCCTGAGAGGCGCCCCCCCCTCAGCATGGTGGCAGGGGGAGACAGCACGCGGGAAGGGGGGTGGTTCAGGGGGCGGGGCTGAGGCGCCCGCAACCGGGGTGAGGGGGCACGCCCCATGGGGTTGGTGCCTGGTCGTTTCTGGTCGGTCGGGCTTTGTCCGGTGCGAAGGTCTTTGGGGCGCGCGGGTGCTGCAGTGCCTCAGTTACTTAGGGTCAGCAGTGCTGTCGTGCCGAGGTTGGGTTTTGGTGTTGGGCGCTGGCGCCCTTTCGCGGTGCGTGCCGGGCCATCGACGGCCTGGTGTGTCGCGCCGCGGTCGGCCGCGCGGCCCCCGTCGCTACGGGCGGCCTGCTGGCCGGTTGGGCCGCGCGGCCACTGATAGGCTTGGCTGTTTGCTCTTCCTGCTGTGTAAGGCCCGAGGCAGAGGTGCAATTCTCGCCAAAATCGTCCAAACCACGCCGTTCAGCACCATCGGGTCAGCCAATCCACAGCCACCAGAACCAGTTAAGGGAGACAGTAACACAGAACGTGCCAGTGGCCTCTACCCATACATACCTGCGAATCTGAACTGCTTCCCTTTTGCAAGACACAAGAGTGATTGGCGGCTTCTTATCCCCCCAAGCCTACCTGGAACCACCAGGAGTTGACGCTAATTGTGATGTATGGTACATTAGACAAAGAGGACTCGGATTACTGGAAGTCGCACGCAGAAAAACACCAAACACCGCTCCTAGACAACACCTATGATCGACCTTGGTCGCGCCACATTGCCGAGTGGACATATTATTCCTCTACCGGGATTGAAGGGCCATCAACTACAAGGCATATCAACTAGAAGCTACATAAAAGGGTAGGTAGTATGTCCGGAAAGCATTTTTTTGCGCGCCCAGCAATCTCAACGGTGGACAGCTAGCTCTGCAGGAGAAACCCCACCCAAGGCCAATCTCCATGTATGTAAGCTATCGGTCTTGGCTATTGGTGAACTTAAGCGACCCCTCTCGCCAACCTGAACTTCATTGCCAGGGCTACTGGTATACCCGTTTTGATTCAGAGCATCACCAGCTACCCCCCAAGCGGGAAATTGCTCCTTTAATAATACAAACTCTGCGTTGAGGATATTGAACCTCTGGCTGACCACAGCATAGGCAAAGTACGCTATTACCGCATGTTGATGGTCTGTCTCTTTTAAAAAGCGGCCACGGTGCAACCTGCGCACCTGCGCCAGCCAACGCGACATGGTAACCCTAGCCGGGCACAACATGCATTCCGGGAAATCTGCTCCTGATCGCTATTCCACATATTACGTACAAGTCATGCTGTACAATGCCTTCCCTGAGCGCTGTAGCGTCCAGGAGTTACACCGAAATGGCTGGTGGCAGACCCTTAAAAGACCTGCACAAAGACGCGAAGTACACACTCCGGCATGTGCAGTTTGGCCAAACTGTTCAGTAGTTATAACTGTATAGCTGACTTTTGGGGGTTGGGGCTTGACGCCTTGAACTGAACGAGCAGCCAACGTCTAGCGATGGGCATGGCCGACATCCAGCCTGGAGGCCAAAGCCGCATCGCGGCAGCCTCACTTCTCATTCAATTTAAAGTTTCTCATCCAAACAAACACATCGCGTTCCCGGTGGGCGAGTTTGTAGGTTTGGGTGTGGACTGTGACTCAGGTAACCGTATTGGGGTATCTGGGCGGCTTCGCGGCCACCACCAGAGCAGCTACACCCTCTGAAGTGGCAGCATGGCTCAAGGCCATGAAATGGAGGTCACATTCGTACGTACGTGACGTGATGCTGGGAAGCGGGCGGAGGGGAGCAGACCGTGGATGTCCATGGAAAGGAGGGGATCAGGGCGCCGCTTGAAGTTAACACCAACATGCAGGTTGTGGAGGGCATGCTTGCTTGCAGAGCAGTACTCCCAGCCACTACACCACATACCAAGCGTAGATTTGAGGGTATGACTTAAAACGTTTTAGAATCATACAACTCCTCTACGCAGGGTTTAGCAAACTGGTGTGCAATGACTGCAGGGGTTAACTGCGGTCGTTTCCAGCTTCGGAAAAGCTGCCACCCACCGCGCCCTCTTACCGTCTATTCCTCACCCTAGGAGGTACATGAAGCTAAACCTGAGACGAGTCCAAAGCACTCCACTCTGGAGCACGTGCGACGGCCCATTCGAGCCCCATCATCAACACTTGCCGTCGTCAGCTCTTCTGGTCTATAAGCAATATCCAGCTTACCCAATACCTGCTAGACCAACAGGTAGGTGCTGTCCGGGTCAGGGGCAACGAAAGGGGACTACTTGGCAACCAACCCCCCGTAGCAGTTATCGAGGGCATGACTGTGTAACAACATACATACCGGGTAACGAATCAACAGGGTCCACAGCTTACAAAAAGAAGTCCTTGAAGCGCCGCGTGCAAGCTCCTTCCAATCGCCCCTAAGGACCAAGCCGCCCAGGACCGAACAACAGCCACGCACACAACCCCCCCCCCCAAAAGTCATTCCCCTCAATAGTTTTCCCCCTCCCCCCCCAAAAAAACAAACACCAACCTGTAACAACCTCAAGTGCCCCTCCATGCCCATAACACCCCAGCCGTACAACATAGGCCCACAGCAGCGGCGGAAAGCGTCTTTCACCTTCTGTAATCTCCCCACCCCCGCCCCGCCCCGGCCTGCCTCCATTATTCACCTGAGCTTAAGATCGTCAAGCTAGCCAAACTAAAAACAGGAGGCGCGGGGTAGGGAGGGCGATCTAAACGGACAAGGAACGCAAGGAAGTTTGTAGAAGATGTAATGGGTCTTTCCTAGCCTGTTGGTAATGTCTGGTTAGCCTACAACAGTACGCCTGTAATGGTCGGGATGCCGATCCGCAGCCCCCTCCCCCGATAGAGGTAGCTGCTGCAAAGCCGCCAAGAGATCCTAATTCCCCCCCTCCCGAGCTTATCATAGCAAAACCTAGGCTCGCATTAATTAGCGTGGCAAGTAGAACCTTGCAGGTGGTTGGGACGGAAACGTCCTTAGACCGTCGCCTCCTCTCAACACCCACCCTGCCTGTCGCCGCCCCAACATAGCGCCGCCCCTTCCGTGCGCTAGCTGCCTCTGGACAGCCAAGGGGTGGATTGCTGGAGCATCAGCATGTCTGTTTGCCTTTTCTCGGTGTCAACGCGCGGACTTGCCGAATTTAAACTGCACCAAACGCGACTGCTGCACCAAGGACGATGCTGTAATTGTATCGCAGCAAGACAGCAGCAACTGACAACAAGTATGTGAAGCTGCAACTGCTATCAGGAAGAGAGCGCAGAAGACCCCCGGGAATGAACCGTTGGTGGTGGTAGTGATGTCGGGATGTATGGCATAACCGAAACCGGTATTGCGTGCATGTAATCCCCAGCGCCCATGAGCACCGCCGCGCACCACCTCGCCGGATGCGGCATACATACATACATACATACATACATACATACATACATACATACATACATACGTATACACATGCCCACAGGCTAGCTAGGCCCAAGCTGAAACACCCCAAGCATCCTCGCGGCCGCTGGGAAATAAAGCTCATGCAGCATATTCTCATGTAGTGGCAGCACCCTAAGCGGAGTGCGTCGTCTTTTTCACCCTTGCAGAGCCAGGAAGGCAACGACGTGGAATGCATTGAAGAAAGTATATTCTCCCTAAATCCTATATAAGCATATATGTACTTCGCCCTGCGACATTCAACCACTACCTCGTCGCAGCATCTCTCTGTAACTCTCCACACCCCTACCTGAGAAAATAGCAGCAGCAGCAGCAGATCCCCCCATAAATAAATAAAGCAGTGGACGGACGAGCTTTCTTCCACCCAGTGCCGCTGCCGCACTGCCGCTGCCAAATGATGAACGACCTTTCATCTTTATCTTTTCACCGCCATCGTCGCCGCCATCTCACCTGTCGCACACGAGAGGCCAGATCCCCCCTGTGGGTCCCCACCCTGATGATGCACACGCAGGTGAGTGTGTGCACGACAACACCCGCAAAACCCCCCACGCGCTCTCCCCACCCCACCCCACCTCACCTCACCCACCAGGCACGCACCGGCAAAAAGGGGGGATCCCAACAGCTGCACGCGTGCAGCCCAAAGGGAGGAGCCGCACAGGCAGCAACAGGCAGTGGCCTAATGGACCGTACAAAGCCTACATACGCCCTGCGCCCCTCAAGCTTAATCCCTCCCGCTCTTACGCCCTTCTTCATGCTCACCAATAATTATTTTATTTATAATATAACAACCTCATGCATGAGAACACCATTAGCCACGAGGATGTTAAGGAACATGGGAGTACATAGCCGGTATCAAGGAAATCAGTCGGCTTCACCTCCATACCGTGCACGTGAGCGGGCATTGGAGATCTTTAGGAAAGGGACAGCTGCCACCGGAGCACAAAGAGGAGGAGGTGCACTCAAAGCAACCTAAGTGCAACCTGGCCGTCCGTGAACAGCCACGGCAAACGACAGAGGCAAACTTAGATACACACATACACGCATAAGTACCCCCACACCCCTTCCACCTAAATTTTAAAGCAAAGGCAAGCACAAACAACAGACCTATATGCATTGGAACACACCGTTCGAATACGTGTGCTGCTACTGAGGGTGTGTGTGTGTATGTGCAATACCATGCATACTGCTATACAGCGCGCGCGCATTGGTCCGTACATTAGTTTCCACCAATAACGACGGCAGCGGCACAACGATGGCGAGGGCGCAGGAGCTGTGTGCTCCGCCGTACCACACCGCCGTACCACAACCGTGTACGAAGGGCAAGTCCGTTTGGCATGTAACTCAATAACTGCTCTCCCCTTCCCTTCCGGGGGTTCGTGCGCAAACCGGCCGCGCGTCCTTCTTTCCCCCCTCCCCACTCGGCACTCTCCCCCATGCCGTTATCAGCCTCTCAGTATCCCGCCCCCTCTTCACAAGACTCTCTTTAATGAAGGCCTTCCTAGTCCCCACTTCCACTTGGAGACAGCAGACCACAGGACCTCACACGGCATATCCGCAACAGAAAAACCGCAACCCTCAACCGAAAACTGTTAAGAGCAGCTCATATAAACAGCCCCACACGATTGCACTGCATGTCAGCACCCAAAGCATGGCTCAGAAATCCCCGTCGCTCCCAGCCCGGGAGGTCTGTGCACTCCACACGCCTGTACGGCACGCGACGCGACGAGCTCCCAGCAACAGCCCGCACAACGATGACGCACGGGGGTACAGCGGTCCCCTCTTTGCGCGAACTGCGGAGCAAACAGCCCCCTTCCGTAACTGACCTCAAGGCACGTGACACGACAATGGCAAGGGCCACTAGCTCCGACAGCACCACACCACCACCACCACCTGCCCCCTTCCGGCCGCCCTGCACATGATTACCGTGCGCCCGTTCCTCCGTCCCTTCTACACAGCACCACCACAACCCGGGGTCCATCCATCCACCCCTCCAGCAAAACGACACAACGGCCACCATCCGAGGAGGTAGCAGCAGCAGCAGCAGCAGCAGCAGCAGCTAGTGACAGGAGGTAATAAGAGGATCAAACCAGCGAATCTGTTTCACCGCAGGTCTGCAGCCGCTGGTCTTAACCGCCCCCTCCCGCGATACGCGCTAGCTGCGGCAGCCCAGGCCCGGAGTCCGCCGGCTGCACCCTCCTCGGAGAGACAGCCGCCGGATGTCACGGGCGCAAAGACGAGAATACGTGGCTGTGGCTGTGTGTGTGTGTGTCGCAAGGCTTAGGCGAAGCTCCGCTTACGACTTTGCTTGCGCGTCGGTGCGTTGCTCCAGAACCACATTGAGACCCCCGGTGGGTCCGACCGGGATGACTGTGGGCATGCGAGTCACCTTGTCCCCGTCCACGACGCGGAACTTGAAGCGCTTGTGCAGCAGGGACAGCACCACGCGGGCCTCCAGCAGCGCCAGGTGCTGCCCCAGGCAGTTACGAGGACCCTGGCGGAGAGGGGGAAGGCGGAGATGGGGAAGGAGTTGTACTGAGGGCAGCTGCCATACCAACTCATCCCCAACCCCCCACCCTGCTACTGCTTCCCCCTGCTACTGCTCCCCCCTGCTACTGCTCATACTGCTTTCGTTCCACTGCTCCGGTGCAATGGAACTAAGCTCCTTTCTCCTCCCCCCCTCCCTAGTATTACATGCAATACCGGAATACACAACACTGCATCCCGTACTCCGCCCTGACGCCACGTACTGGCATACACAGGCCGTACACCGCCGTACACTCGCTCTACCTGGATAAAAGGCACAAACATGTAGGCCCGGATCGCGTCATCAAAGCTGTCGTACTCGCCCTCCGGCATGAAACGCTCCGGCCGGAATTCGTCAGGCGCCTCGTACAGCCGGTGTGTCCCCTGGGCGCGGGCAGCGGGGGGGAGAGGGGGAAACCGAATGGAGGCCCCTTCACAAGCGTACTTGCATACACACTAGCACAAAGGAATGTGGCATATATACATACGTACATACATACATACAGCAAAGCCCATGCCCGGAACCTCTCCACATTCCTGCAGGCGAACAGGACTGATACCAGGACCAATTGACACCTGTTTTGAGGAAGCGCCCCCCCTCCTGCCCCCTCCTGTCTGATTGTTGAGGTTGATGTCAGGAGGGAACATCACGACGCAGGTGCGGTGCACGCATCCACACAGGAAGACACACGCAAAGGACAAAACACACATACGCGTACAGACACACACACACACAAAGAACACGTGATGCTCAAAAACACTGAAGGCAAAAAGTGTATCCAAACCAAACCGACATGGAAATGGCCCCAAGCGAAACACCCAGGTACAACCCGTACCTGCAAATGACAGGCGACCATGATGCCCTTAGGTAGGGGGTGACCCAAAACGCCCACTGGGTCGTCCGCCGCCTGCATGTATGTATGTATGTATGTATGTATGTATGTATGTATGTATGTATGTATGATGTGTGAGACAGGGGGGTATATCTTCACCCGTGGCCGCTACCTGGCGAAACCCTGCCTTCCCCGGTATTTCGGGGCACCCTCATCCAGTCACCCTGGTCAACTTCTCAGTGGATTGCTCAGGTTCCACACCCACCACCAGCATCCAACGGGTCGACAGCGGCCCAACTCCATTCCTGGTCAGCTCGCAAGTCAACTTTATCCCAGGTCACCACCGTCCATCGACTAGGGGCGCTTTACCTTCCACCATCGGAAGGATTTTCGACCTTGACAGGTCTCGAACCCGGGATCCCCCCGGGGCATCGGTGCGTGCTCTACCAGTAGTGCCTGACCTAACAATTAATATATATATACATACGTATGTATACATATGTATGTATGTTTGTGTATATGCATCATATGTAACTTGAGGTAGGGCCCTAACCAAAACAAGGTCCGAAATCCGGATTGAGCCAAGACAGAGTGGGGGAGGTGAGAGCAGGCCGGAGGGGTTACGGTGCTCAGGAAGGAATCACATTGTTCACAGCCCCAAACGCACAAGTCCCCGAGGAGTATCCCACGTCCGCTCCCAGACTGGCAAACAGTCGTCCAACCCGGCCCCCACTTCACACTCCCTTATTCCCCCGAACGATTCATCTCCGGCTCTCCACCCACCCCACTTCCACGCACCAATTTGCGGGTGACCACGGGCACCACGCTGTACTTGCGGAGGGCCTCCTGCGGCCGGTTGGGGGAGGGGGGAAGTAGCGGTGGGGGGCCAGCAGGGCAATAACCCCCCGGGGACCAAAGCGCCCCGTACGGACTCCCCGCCCCCCCCGCTTCCCCCCATGCGGGGGGACAAGCCGGGTCGTCATTGCGGCACAAAACACACAATGTGGCGACAAAACACACTGCTGCTCCACATGACGACGACGACGACACGCAAAGTGGTGTGGGCGGTGGTCCACTCACTCACTCACTCGCGCACACGTGGTCGTACGTTTTTTCCCATTGCTGTACGGCCTTCTAAACCGCCCTTTCACCGCCTTTTTACTTATCGCCTTGTCGCACAATATCATCAGTTCGTCGGATGCAACGCGCAGGAGACACATAACACGCATGCCCTCCGTGTTCTGCTCTTTCCTCGCACGGCGCCAGTAGCCAGCGGCGCAGCTTCCTCCACTCCCATCCCCTGACAACCCCCTTCTGCAACCCGGGGCATATCGGGACCTCTTCATCATAACATTACATACAAACATACACGCAACGCACACAGCCCCCCCTTATACATCACAAACGACAAACACGCAAACAACACAGGCCCCCCTTCCACACCCCACCTTGAGCACTGCCAGCGTGAAGATCATCTCATCAACGTTGCGACGGTTGGCCTCCTTTTCCGAGCGAAGACCGAAGGCCGCCTCCGCCTCCGAAACCACCTGTACACAGTCGTAGAGCATGCATACGGCATCCAGAACACGGCGTCAAGCACACTTGCCATCCAGCAAACACACCCTTACGGACGATACCACCACACAGCAGCTCCTGCCTTGCAGCTGTCACGCAGTCACACAGCCGGCACAGTCACTCAGTAGTCTAGCAGCCACGATCCCCACCCCACCCCAGCAGCAGCGACAGCAGCAGCAGCAGCCGGTAGAAGGCCCCCCGAGAGCCCCCGATCGAGGCCGTGAGGTCGGGGCTTTGAAGCCCACCCGCAGGACCACCCGCCCGCAGCCCCCCGGGGCGCCCGCCTGCACCTTGTTGGTGGCCTTCTCGTTCATGGCCAACTCGAATGTGGACCACGTCAGCATGGCGGCGCTGGTCTCGTGACCCGCCAGCAAGAAGGTCTTGATCTCGTAGCACAGCTGGGTCTCCAAGGCTGCGTCCCACTTGGCCCCGGACTCCTGCGGATGGGTAGGTAGGAGGGTAGGTAGGAGGGTAGTAGGTATGTGTGCTCGTGTGACGTCATGACTTGAGAGTGGCCAGTATAATGTATACACGTATACATGTATGTATGTCAGCATGAAGTCGATGCGCTTGAAGTAGATAGGTAGGTGGATGTCTGTGTATATATAAATGCTGCAACGCCGGGTGTGCCGCTGTGTTGTTGTAGGCAGCTTAATCAGCCCAGGTCCCGGTGACGAGGAGAACTAGAGACATCTCAGCCTATTCAGTATTCAGCACCCCGCGATGTCCCTTGGCATGCCGTACTCCCCGCCGTACACACCTCGATGGCCTCCATGATCCGGTCTAGGATGTCGGCTGGCTTCTGGCGTCCTAACCTCTGGCGGCTCTCCCAGCGGCGCCTTTTCATCACCCAAAGGGGGAGTCACGCACGCGATGGGGTGTGGGGTCACAGCACGCAGCTCAGATGATGTCACAACTTCACAACGCAAGCGATCCAAAGCGCGAGGTGGGAGGATGGGACCAAAGAAAGGCGGGCGGGGAATCCCGACCGGGAAGGGCGACTAGGGCGGAGGGGCACCAGGGAGGTTCAACAAAAAGGAGGAAGGGAAACGGAGCGGCGGGGGAATATCCCCGCCTAGGAATCGGAACGGCGCAGGTGCAGCGGAGGGGCTGTTGTCCGATACGCTCCCCCAGCTCCGAGGCGCTGGTGGTTGTGGAGACAGCACGAGTTGCGGGGTTGGGGGTTATCGCCTGGAGTGCCAGTAAGCCTGTCTGTCTGTCTGTATATCCAGCCGGGACCCTCATCAGACAAGACTACACGCGCATAGCGGCCTTTTCCTCCCACCACCCAGCGCCGCCCTCGCCTCATCAGCAAGCACCTCTACCTCCCCAACACCCCTCCCAACGCGCTCAACCTCTCATCGCCCCGCTAACTAGCGTCTTTAATCCATATATAGGAGTCGGATTGGGCTTGCACCATTTATATTTTTAATATGTATTGAGGGGCAAATGCCAAAAATTACTGATAAATGCGAAGCAGCTGGCCCCATGAAATCCCAAAGCCCCTGCCCAAAGCCCTAACCTCGTGCAGCTGCCCCCCTCTCCTGCGCCTTCCCGGCCCCGCCCTCAATTCTCCCCACAGACACCCCCCAGTCACCTGAACAGATCAATGAGGTATTCGTTCAGTTGCGACATGCGGGTACGGAAACGGAACCACTCGGGCGTGGGCAGGTACATCCTGTACGGCCGCAGCACCCGGTGGTTGGCCTCGTTCATGACGGGAAGGTACAGGGAGGGGAACACCTACGCGCACGCAAATACACGTATAAGGAAACTTGGAGATGGAAAAGACAGGCACGAAGGATGAGAATCCTTACGCATGTAACATGGTTTGTTATGCATAACAAGGTCAGAAATGGATGGGCGGTAGGGAAGGACAAATGGCCGAAGCGGCCGTAACGCTCCGGCAAGTCCAGTGCATAAGAGGCAGCAGGCGGAAAGGGAAGGGGCCTTATCGGGATGGCTGAGCGCCGTGCAACTAGAACAATTTTGATAGGCATGACTGTAAAAGTCTAACGCACTCCCCCGATCCTCGGACAGTTGTTGTTGATAATGGAAGCCCATTCCATCACCCACCAGCCCTGCAGCCCCGCCCTAACTTTAAACTGTTTCGCCTCGCCTTGCCTGTGCTCTCTAATAACTTGATGTCCGCTGGCTACAGTTCACCAACATACATACACACAAATTGATAAAAAAAACTTACCCGATCACACTCCTCTGGAGCCATGCTCAGTACGGCCTCGCCAATGACCTAGAAAAATAACATGGGGGGGAGCCAGAGGCAGGAAGGAGATGTGGTAAAGGGGAGGGAAACCGAAACGAGGATAGCAGTAGATGGACTATCAGGGAAAAATGAATATGGCATACATGGATGAGAAGGGGAAGAAGGACCCGGACATTGCAGCGACATGGGCAGCGAGCGCGGACATTTGCATGTTGCAAAAACCCAAGGACTTACCTGCAAAGTTAGCAGGCGGAATTCCTCTTCAATATTGACCGATTGGCCCTTTCCAGCGTGGTGGGCGAGTTTCTCGCATAGTCGGTCAACGGCCTTCTTGGCGATTGTGACGATGTCGTCCAGCACATCGACACGCAACGCAGGGCCCATGAGCATACGCTGCTTCTGCCACAGCGCGCCGTCGGCCGTGACAAGACCGCTCCCCAAGATTGGCAAGAAGGGACGGTAGGAGACATCCAGGTCTTTCTCGTACATTTTGTACCCGGTTTGGAAGACGCGCTTCAGCGCGCTTGGGTCGCGGAACACGACGCCTTGCGTTCCCAAGATGCTGAACTTGACAATAGGGCCCGTGTTGTCAAGCCACTCTTCCATCAGATCCCATGCACCAATGTTCCGCCGGACGCAGGTGATCATTGGAATGACATTCCCCAGCAAAGGCAGCGAACCCGGAGCTGTCGGAATCTTAGCAAGGGCACGACTGATACGCATATAGTCTTTAATGAATAGCGCTGTACGTGCGATGATGTATACCAAGAGGCCACCACCCAACAAGACGACCGGCACCAGGCGAAGCAGGGTCGTGGCGCTGCCGGCGTCAGCCAGCAGATCAGCCAGAGGAGACCAGTGTGTAGTGGCGGCCATTGTGCCGTGTGAAAACCTCCCGCCAGATAGCAAAACGCGTTAGGCGCCTTTCTGCACCTTCACGCTTCGCGACGCCGTCGACGACTGCCTTACCCGCCGTGCGGGATTTCACTTCAGCCAACAAAGTCTAAGCGACGAATGCGGAAAACCTTTTGGTAGCCAAGGATTTAATGCGAAAGGAAGGCAGCGTTGGGATGTTAAGCGTTACAAGTAGTGATGAAAGTCTTCATAAGAATATAGCATAGTGGACGCACCGACACCAGGTGGAATAATAAGTGTAATGTGCAATACACTAAAAGCATGTTAGCGCAATCTTGATGGTACCTGGCTGCCGGTACCAGTCATTTTGGCGCCCGCGGCCTAAAAATGTACGGAATGTACACTTTCTTACGCACAGTCCTCCTTGATCAGCTTCCCTCCAGCGAAGCTTTGAATTAGCTACGTTTTATAAAATTTGTATCGTAGGCGTACGAGGCTGCTCCATTTTATTTGTGTTGCCAACTTTCCATCTTGCACTTGGCCACTACCTTCCACGAATGTCCCGGTTACAGATTTATGGGTTGCAACCATTATCTGTCAGTACAAAGAACGCTGCATCACATCTGTCCGCTATGAGGCCGCCGCCAGTGCGAACTCGCAATTTCCCTGAAGTGCACTCCGAGTGCTCCACATCATACGAGCCCACATACTGGTTGCCGAGGCGAGGAGGTTATGTAAGGATGCATGCAAGGAAGCGCGGCTCGCTTCCTGAGCCTCCTCAGGCAAGCTCGCTCCGAATCCTGCTGAGTATGCGGCTATACTCTGTGCAAAGCTAGATCACTCTCTTACCGCGCTCAGGCTCGGGGGATGATTCTTGTCTGGCGAACCTGTAGGAGGAGAATTTTGAGCCTGAGGAGCTTACCGTAGGACCAGCGTCGCAAGGTAGGTAGAGGGCAGGGAAGTTGGGGTTGACAAAGGCCCGGAATGTTTTTCACAAAGAACAAACTCAGACCCCAGAGTGAAATGGTTACCAGTGGAGCTTCGCCTTAATTAATCTGGAACGGAAGGAATTGCGCTCCAGCGCCATGTACGGAACTTGCTCCTTACGGCTCTTGGGAATGGGTAGTGCGTTGGCGTATACCACGCACGGCACTTTTAGGCTGCTACAGCAGCTCTTTCTGCTGGGGATCCATCTTGGCTTAGTTGTAGCTCCTTCATCTCGGCTTGCTTTGTCTTTTAGTCCTTTTGCACCTGGCCGGCTTAAGGAGTCAGCCAGTTATCGTCTGCGCACAGGCAAACACCTACAAACATACGGATCCTCATGTCGAGCAGCAGTTTGGGTGCGGCGCCTGTCCCCATAAATCTGCGGCCACACCAAAACAACACCTTGTAAACCAAGCTCACCTTACTTCCTATCCATCATTTCAGACATTTCTGCAGCTGATCCGTATCCCATTCTTACTTCTGTCCCCACAAAGATCTGCAACGGCTTCTGGCCCGGCGCGGTCCCGTCCTTAGCAGCGAAAGCGGAGGCGGCAGCAGCGGGGACATCGCCGCAGAGGCACCAGCCATCCCCCGAGTTGAACTTGACCTGGACATGTATAGCAGGGTGTACGGCGATGAGAACGCCACGTGGCGCGACCTGCCCATGAACTTGCTGCCAAGGACAGAGGAGGAGGAACACCGGTTGCAAGCTGCGGTGGGTAGCACAGCGTAAGGCGGAAGGCTTGGGAAAAAGGGCACGGGAGGAATGCGGTCCGGTGCGTTCGCTAGTTGGGCACAGCCGACGATGCAGTTGTATTCTGCAACTGTCGATGCATTTCAATCTGCAAGTGTTTGCTTTTGTTTGTGTGTGGGGGGGAGGGGAGGGGCATCGAGGAGTCCTTAGCTCGAGATTGCAAAGCAACCAAGCAGCTATGTTGCCAACAACGATTTCGGGGCGGGTGGCGCTGTGCTGGCACACAGGCAAGCGAGCCTGGGTGTCTAGTCTACGCTAGCCACTGCACCGTACCTGGGGCTCCCCCCGTGCGGTGCACTCCGACCCAGGGTGGCTCACCAGTCGCGGCCCTCACCCCACAGCACTGCAGGCCGACCCACTCGTAGATTGCTAATGTTACTGTTCGCGTCGTCATTCCATTATGCCTTTTATGTAGACCAGGCTTAATCCCTGGCCAGGCTTGATCCTTGCTTGGCAGAATTATTCCTGATCCGGGTCTTGGTTCTTGTCCACCCGGACTTTCCTTTTCCTTTGCTTTCTTCATTTCCAGGCAGCTCAGTTTATTAGTAATTGCAACAACCCCCGCCATCATCGCTATCCTACACGCCATGCACTTTCCCTCCCATACACGCGATTGCCACAGTTGCAAATGGAGGCTTACTTTGCCCGCACATGGAACCACGACGACATGGATGATTGGGCATTTTTTGAGGCGGAGAAGATGCGTGGCAAGGTGAGGGATGCGAGATGCACGTGGGTGGAGGTCCAGTGCACCAGCGGCGGAACGGGACAAGTTGTGGGTTACTGGAAGGAGAACGCTAAATCGGGAGCAAGGAAAAAAATAGGGTTTAAGGGTTTGCGTGCCTTTTCATGAAGCAATTCGGCATTTATTTACATGATTGCAAGGCATGCTGTACGGTAAGCCATGGTGGATCTAAGGGTCCCTGTGAGAAAATTGCGGCGTGGGATATGACGGCGTGAATAGTGTCTTACCCCAGCCTCCGGTTTCTATTATGGTTGTGATTTTTATGTATTGTTTCCGCTCCTCCTAGGCGCACAATATCTACGCCAACGTGCACCGGGTGGCGGCCATGATGCGAGTGTTAGAGAACGAGGACTTCAGGATGGCGGAGAAACAGACGTACTTTTCTTCTTGGTCGCGCGCAGAGATTCTGTTCGCGCAGAAGTACGACAAGTTCAACGAGGCTGTCAAGGAGAACATGGACTCGCTTGTACGGCAACCTCTGGAGGAGGCAAGTCAATCTGGGTGGGATCATGGCTCACCTAATTTCCTGTTTCCCCGCTTACCCTGCCCAAACTTGTGCTGGTCTTGTTGCGGTTCTATGCTGGTTTTCCTGAACCGCCCGTTCCTCAGCCTGGAGGGGGGGCTGCTAAGCAATCACGTTCATGTGAGTTCATGCACCCAAAGCGACTACTCTGATGAGAATTGATGCTTTCCTTGTCCTGTCTTGACGCTTTTTTAATCGCTTCCTGTTGCTGGCCCTGCCATGCCTTTTTGCGCAAACAAATTGTTAGGAACTTCGTGACCGTTTGGAGGCCATTGGCGAGGCCACGCTGCTGCCGCCCACGGAGGCTGAACAGGCAGAATCTAAGTTTCCTTCGGAAGAGGATGTGGCGCGATACTGCGTGGACAATCTCCTCGAGGGTGTGCTGCCGGGGGTCAGCCTTGCCAATCCTACCGAGCGGTGAGGTCAGGGTTGGGACGACGAACCACAGACGGGTGAAGCTGTCAGTGTCGGGGGGAATTGAAAAAAATCCCGGTTGAACCGCGGTCTCGTATTATGGGCGCTTGAGGGATAAACGGACATGGTGTCGGAGGTGAACAGGAGAGAATAGGGTGGGTGTGCTTGGGGTTACATTCTAGGCACGAGAGACAGGTGTGGGGAATTACAGGAGGAGGCGGGTGAAGTGAGGTTTGGAAACGGGAAAAGCCGGGTACAAAAGAAGGGCATTTGTGCTTTGCACCGTACAACGGAAACACCACGTGAAATTCGGATTCGGCCATCCTGCTGGACCGTATTTTCCTGTTTGCAGATACGCGGATGACATCTACGCTGGCGATGGCGATTTGGCGGATGAATTATTCAATATGAAAGATGCAGACGACAGCGACGATGAGGAGCAGGATGTATAGACGTGATTAGTATTCAGTAGAAATTTCTTTCATGATCTGTAAAATATTGTCACTTTGAACATGTGCACGTATATAAGGGTGTGTTCACATGTAGTCCAATTGAGAGTCTGATTGGGAGTCCGATTCGGGGCGGCTTTCTGAATTGTGTTCACATACGATTCGCTGCACGGCGCGAGGTGCCACCGCGCCCAGCTGAAGCTCCGCGGCTACGCCCCATCACCCAAGGCAAGCCAGCATTATCTAGGAACAGAACAGTATAAGTATCGTTTCTATGGCGAAAATTATCACCAGGCTTGTACATACATTTGGTTGGATGCTGGTGGTGAGTTGCCGAACCCAACGAATACATTCTGAAGTCGGATGGGGTGACGGATTAGGGTGCCCCTCTAGCAGGGGAGAGCAGGGACTGCCCCGGGAAAGGGGGCCGCTGGCGAAGTTGACCACCCTGTAACAACATACATACATAGCTGCAGGAGTTCGTAAAAAATGCTCGGTGCGCTTTGCGTGAATTAACAATTGGAAAATGTTCCTATAGTATTGTAATGGTAATTATGAGAAACGGTTTGTTAAACAACTTTGTTTTGAGAAAGAAAACTGTGAATCACGTCGAATCATACCCGAAGAGGCCCCCCCGGACCCCAATTCAGATTCGGGTCCAATCAGGTCCAATTCAGAGTCCAATTCGCATGAATCAACCCTGATTCCCCCACATGTGAACACGTCCTAAACGAACTAGGGATGGTTCATGTGAATTGGGCTCTGAATCGATTGGAGTCTGGGAGGGCATCTTGGGAGGATATGACATACCGTAGAGGAGACCGTATAACAAACCTTTTTCAATATCACATTTATACACCTTATGGTTTACATAATCCGGTTGACAATTGTCATAAGGAGCACAAATTTACTACGCCAAGAGTTGCAGCTATTAAGTACATTCAATAGAGCAAATTCCGCTGACAAACGTCATGGGCAAAAAACGATTATACATCACATTGTGCGCAATCGGTTGTAAATTCAAATCTGTTCGCTGGAACGACTTCTGCTCATTCATTCGGAATAGCTTACAAGTGAATAAGGATATTACTCTAAGTGACGGAAGTGGGACAGATGACAAGGTATCCACCGTAGTTAGTAAAAATATCACCGTACATACTTCGGAGCGATCTAAAAATGATTTCTTTCTAGCTTTTCTATTTCCAATTTTTTTTCTATTTCCTTCCTTGTTTCTCTGTAATATAATTAGGCAAGAGTCAGTATCCGTAACCAGTTACATGCATCAGTCCGCCACAACAAATATAGTCGTGTACTTATGTACTTCCCTCCTCATCGTACTCAGTTCAGCAAAAAGAATCAATCACGTCGTAGCTCAATAAAATTATGGCGCAGCCCAGAGGCGCGAATTACCTGCTCATCACCACCGAATTTGGGGTATGATCGTCCCCGCAGTCTAAGCTTTCCAGTGCAATTTGTCACTGGTTTCGCCTCCGCACGGGGAAATGATACAACGAATACAATACATGCTTTAAAACTCCATCACAACTCAGCCCGTCATGCCACCTTATCACTGCTTGCTGATAAATTTCACTCCGAACCGGTAACCTTCTTGCTCAGCTCGCCAATATCCTTGAGCAGCTCCTCACGGCTTGACTGCAGGACAAGTGATAAACCAAGCAGCGGCTCAAGTCCCGCTACCATCACAAGAAAGCCAACCAGTAAATAACAACGCAGAACACAGACTCCACAAACTAACCTTGAACAGCAGGTAGCGGTACGTGAACCAGGCCGAGTAGCCGAGTCCAACCAGCTCCATCAATTTCGGCAACTGCATAAGCAAGAGACCAACATCTGATTTCAAAAATTCAACAAGAAAACCCATTAATATCAAACACTTACCAAAGGCACTGCGTTGATAGCGTTCACAATAGTGCTGCTTAGCCAAAGGGCAACCACAGCACCCGCAGCGTATGCGGCGACAGCGCCCTTATTGTCGACAGCATCCCACTGTGGAGCAACACAACCGTCAGAATTCGGAAAGCCATGGGCGTCCAAAGTATCGGGGGACAAGGTCGCATCAGGCCCCTACGGAACGCACTTTCTCCTGGAGGTCCTTCAGAACCTTCTCAGAGTCAAAGCTTGGTGCCGAGGTAGTAGTCTCCTCAGCGCGCACAACGAGCCTCTGCAAAGAGCTTGCCTCAGTGGTCAGTTCCCGCGCGCACAGACCGCACCATCGCTCAAGATTGCCTCACCTGGGAGCGGCCAACAGACGGACGCACAGCGCGTGGACCCGAAGCAACACTCCGTCGGCCAGTGGCCTTGCAGACGGACAGCGAAGGCTTAGCAGCGAGCATCATTGTTCCGAGTTCGAACAGGGAAGGATCAGCGACAAAATAGTCCACCTGACACTATTGCGAAACTACTGTAACGTTGATAGTAAGTGAAACTCACTGTATATGTATCAAGTCAAAGCGCGCGCTTATACGTTCGAGACCGAGGGTCCCCGTCCGTTCACGACAAATCTTTCCGTACGGGGGATTGTTTCCTTCCGCCTGAGAACCGCACGGAAAGCGCACTTGCTTTGGAACAAAAGGCGTAGTGAAATTCTCTTTGGCTTCCGACGTAACGCTTCATTCTCAAATTACTTTCCGACAGAAGTCGCTCTTGCACGTATCTGCCATGCGGCACGTAGCGTTCAAATCTGCGGGGTCTCATCGTCGGTGTGCTGCTCCTGCAAAGGCTGGCAGCAGCCGTGCTCGTGCGGCAGTGGTGGTTTGCAGCCTCGCACGCGAACAGGTCCTTGGCAGGCGTCAACTCCTGGGCACAGGTGACAACCTATGATGCTTTCGTGGTTGCTTCCTAAAATTGCGATAGATCCTTATGGTGCAATGCTCCTCGGCTTGCGAGATGCCAGCAATTGTCGCTGTCCTACACTTTCATGATCAGTTGGCGTTTGAAAGCCACAGAAATTTTGCGCGTTACCTTTACAGGCGGCTTTAGTCACGTTGTGATTTCCTTGAATTTGTCTTTATTTGGGAGATTGTTTGTGGCTGGATGGCGCAGCATCCCCAACCTAACGCTCCAATCGCAACAACTGACGCCAACCGCCCAAACGGTCCTCTTGGCCCTCTTCTCCCGTCTTCGCCCCATGTGCACCAGGCGCTGTTGTTCTGGCTGCCGGTACAACTCCGCTCCTGATTCCTCAGCCCGTTGTCGCGGGTCCGCTGCCACAGGCGCTTGTGCCGGTGGACCAGCTTGGGCTGCTGCAGAAGCAGGCCCAACTCAAAGACTTCCGCTTGCGGGCTGAGGCCGCGATCAAGGTTAGATCAAATTCGGCATGCATCTCTCCATAGTTGCAATCAATCACAGCATCCTTTTCATGGCGACGGTCTTTCTTTAATGTTGAAGAGCAGTGTTAGTGGAACACTTGATCGCCTGCAACTTGACGGTTTGGGTTTTCGGCTCGCGTTCTCAATCACACTCCAAGTTTGGCATCGCTGGCCCCGCCCACCGGCTTTTACACTCCTGCTCGGGGTACAATGTGGTAAAGGCGCCTGTCAATGATGGAAGTGTTAAAATAACAGGGACAGAAGAATGCCCGCAGACGCAAGCACATGTTTAATGCATACTCAACATTTCCGCACCTAGTTGACATCTTGGGTTGCCACATATTACCCTTGCCCCGGTACCCGTGTCAGTTCATGCTGTCTGCCCCGCAGGGTATCTCCTCAAATCTCACTTGAGACTCACAAAATCCGGACACTCCCTAAACCCAGGGAGTTGCCCACATCTTTTTGCACACTGTGCACCGGAAAAGCTATGGATGTTGCCTTTTTCGCTGTTTTCCATGCGGCAAACATCCTGATTGTGCATTAATGACCTTCCTCGAAACGAACCGATCCTTGCAGGAGGTACTGGGTGCAGCTGATGCGTCGGCATGTATGCGCCTCGTATTGCACGACGCTGCCACGTATGATGCGGCAACTAAGACTGGTGGCCTGGACGGCTCGATTGTGCTGCCGTAAGTGTCATACGTGGCCACCAGCTATGTTTGAGCAGCCGTGCTTTTGCACTGAGAACATGCGCACATTCGCTGCGCCTTTCGAATGCAATTGCTGTCACAAGGAGAGATGGAAAGGGTGGCTTTGGTCCATCTATCCTCGGAATATCGGTTGTGCGTTGGCTTTGCGAGGCTCTTAGGTGCTGCAACGAAATTTCCCCTGTTTTAATCCCAACTGCAGTTACGTTCGCATTCGTTTAATGTTTCAGTTCGTTCGCCTCAATTCTCCCGGACTTGCGTGTTCATGAACCTCGCCTTGGCTTCCATTTCAGGGAGGAGCTGTCTCGCCCGGAGAACGCTGGGCTGGATGTGATTGTGGACAAGCTGGCGCAGGTAGGATGGGCGACCGGGCTGCTTGCTTTGACTGGCCTAGTTGTTGCCAGTAGAGCTCGTGCTGATCACGTGCTCTTCCTGGCAAATGAGATTTGGGGACAGCCGACTCGACCTAAACTACAGGAGCTCACACTACATGCATTTTTTCTTGACCCCATAAAGCCTTGAGGCCACGAAGAGGCTATGAAATCAGGCGCTGGGCAATGTCTGATATTGGTGGTGACGTAGGTCTTATATATTGTTGGCAAGGAGCTGAGGGGCAGACAATTCCGGCGGAAATGCTCATCGACGATGTTCAGGAAACCTCCTTGCGTCACCATGAAAACTACCCATATCCCAGCCCTCACACGCGCATGCAATACTCCTGCGTCTCCTGTTAGCCCGTGTAATTTGAATGTACCATGGCTGAAGAGTGCTCTGCACTTGTGCAACGTCACCCTTCAATGGCCCCAACAACCGTACTGTACTGCCGCAGGCCAAGGCGAAGATTGACGCTGGGGGTGCTGAGGACGGCTCCGGACCCATCAGCTGGGCTGATCTGATTGTGCTGGCGGCCAAGGTAGGTGTTGTCATTGTGTGGAAGGATGGGAATTCGTGCAACAGCCAAAAAAAGCTGCGTCCCGCAAGAGTTCAGCATCAGGGAATTGCAGGTGGGCGGTTGAAGTATGAAAACTTAGGACCAAGATGAGTGAAACAGCCCTTGATGGCGCATGAGACGTGTCCTGAAAGGGGCTAACAAGGACTCGCTGGCGCACTTGATGATGAGATGGATGTGCAACCTACTCAGTCTATGCAGTGCATACGCAGTTCCAAGTTCCACACTACAGCAGGGCGCATCCACACTCCGTAATCCTCCTTACACCCTCGAAATCCATGCCTCTACCTCAACAGGTGACCACCCAGGCACAGTGGGCCTCAATCAAGCGCTCCCGCGCCCAGATTGCCAGCGGTGGTGACGTCATCGCTGGGCCCGCATTTGGCGCCGCGTGGCCGGTGCGCCTGGGTCGCACGGATTCCACTGTACCGGGCCCCGCGGGCCGCATCCCGTCCGCGGACGCGTCCGTGGGTGATATCAAGGTACAGAAACAATTGAGATTTGCTGCCCTCCTAGCGCATTTCGTGGAATTTAACCCTGACCCTGTCTGGCTCTGGCTTGGCTCAGTTACCTGTTTGCGGCTGACACAGCCGGTTGGCAGGACCCAATTCATCTGCGGCTCATCCAGAAGGATGTCTATTCACTGCATCACCAACGAACGCCTCTCGCGCGCGCATTCATTTAAGACTATCGGATATAGCTTGATTGAGATAACGTAAGCCATCTGATAAGAATAAGAGAGGCCGTTCTGGCTGGACATAGCAGTAACCTCAGCCCGTCCAAACTGATTTTACTTGGCCGGACATGTCATCAATCCAATCTGCCCTAAATCCATTCCATATGCCAGAGCTTTATGGAGAAGCTTGGTGTGGCGCCAGGCTCCAATGTGGGCAGCGGTCTCTTCTCCGCCAAGCCGCCGTTCTGGGAGCGTCCCACGCTGGTGTTGTGGACTGCTGCTGCCGCCGACCCGGCGGCTGAGGAGGAGCGCTTCGTTGCACAGGACCCGGCGGCGTTCAAGGGCTATAAGCAGAACTACGACCGCTCGCGGAAGACAGTTACGCGGACGGACTACGAGGTAATTGCTGGTGCAGGGGGACTTGGCTGTCGGTATGTGAGATGGATATTATGGGCATGATTATCGTAGCCGTGTGGCAATGCTGGCATGCCGCACCGTCTGCAGCAATCAACTGGGCAGACAGCAGCGAAGAGATAAGATGGAAAGCAGTCGGGCGTTCGACAGTGCAGCTGGATTGGTCGGTGTGGGTTGCAGAATGCGTAGCCGTCGTCGTTTCATGAATTAGGCCAAAGGTTTTCGGCAGGTGACCTCGTGCGGCATGATCATTCCACAGTGTACCCCGACGGCGACGGTGGCGAATGCTGACAGCCTGGTATCTGGCCGTTGCACCCGTTGATGGCTTTGGACGCATCCCCATTGGCTTGTCGCACATGCATGTTGCCAGGATATTTTCCGGTAATGTATTTCGCCCTGTTGCTTACGTTTGTAGGTTGATTTCATCGACTACTTCACGCTGCTGACCAACTTGGGAGCCTCTTTCAAGAAGGATGCTTACTTGCACCCGGAGGCTGTGGTGGCCGTGAAGTTCTAAGCTTCAGTTAGTAGCCATAGACGGGACGGGTAGAACAAAGCAGGCTCATGACAGTCGGCGAGCACGAAGAATTTTGAGGAGCGGAGGGTGAGCAAGTATTCTTGCTGCCTCACGAGTGAACTTGCGGTGGGACAGTAGAGAGCGAGCGAAGTGGAGTTATGTCATAGTTGGATCCGGGGCTTTCGACCGGTAGCAGCGACGTGCACTTTTTCCTGGGGGTTTGGATCCATGACGCTTGCAGTTTTCTTTTTGCTGTCACATTGTCGTGCGACATGTGTGCTGGTCCGTCCTGGTTTCCTGGGCGAGCATTGTTTAAGCTGGTTGGGGTGGCGTTAGGCAGGCTGTTAGTAGAGGCAGTAGAACGAACACCAAGTAACCAGGTGTCAGCTTGCTGTCATTCCTAGCTTTTAAATTAGCTACACTAATATATAACATCGTTTTACATTTTACATTGACGAATGTAAATCAATAATACCTCTTCTGCACCATTAAATAATAATATTATTAATATATCCGCGTGACACGAAATATACATAACTGACAGCCCCTGCTGGAGTAGCACAGAACAGAATGATAACCGGATGCTACTAAAGATTCGCTCTTGCTCTTGATCCGCTTTATAGTCGGAGTTGTCTTACTGCATAGTCAATGATGTGCATGTGGGTCCGGAAACGGCGGCTGCTGCGAATTACTATGGCCGCGTGGGCATGATAATGGCGTGTGTCCACGTCTACCTGGTTGGGATAGGGTTTGGAAACCGTGGTGTGGGGTTGTTAGCGAAATGTACGCAACGTCCCCTACCAACCCCCGTGATCGCATATCCCACCCTTCCCTAACGACTGCTGCCCTCTTCCTTCACTCTAAGGAGATCTAGAAGACTAATAATGCCTGCAGCTGAAATCCCAAGAACTGCCAAAACAGAAATTCACCCACCTTGTGCCACTCCAGCTGATTCAGATTGGCAATCATTTCGGACAGCAATGCCGCGGGGTCGTGGGACCGCGACGAGGGGCTGCGTTCCGCAACCTCGCGGTGCAACGGTTGAATCTTCGCTTTTTCCTCGGCTCCTCGCGGCTCATCAAGACCGCGGCAAGAAGCACGGTCCCCGTTCTGTGGTCTTAGTGCAGGTGCTGGCACCGCGGCCGCACGTTTAACCGCTGTCAGAACCTCCGACCCAATCTGCTCTGCTTGCTCCGCATGCCGAGGCTCCGCTGTCTGCTGGTGCTGCTGAGCTGCTTCTTGCTGCGTCTCTTCTTGCTCTTGCGGTCCCTGTCGTTGCTGATGATGATGACGGTGGTGAGGCAACAGCGGCATGGGCTGACGATTTGCATGAGCAGCAGCAGTACCAGCGGCGGCAGCATTGCTCAATTCATTCGGTAGCGAAACCACAAAGCCGCTGCGGGCGCCATCGCCGTTGCAGGCGACGATGACAGCGCTGTCACTGGCGCTGCCGCCACGCATCGCAGCGTGTTGCGTCGCCATTGTCGTTTCGCTGCAAGCGGCCGCGGTGTAGCTGATGTCGGCAATAGCAGAGTCAGTGCCTGAGGTGCCCGTACCGGCGGCGCCAGCGACATCCTGACGCGACACAATTGCCTGGAAGATCGAGCGCACCATGTAACTGATGACACCCTGCCCTGCAACCGCATCTGACGACGCCTTGGCCGCCGCTTCCCCAGCTTCCGGCGTCGGTGTCCCGTCTAGATGCCAGGCCGCAGCGTTGGTCTCCTCTCCGAGAAGCTGCACCTGCGCCTCCGCCAATGGAACGTTGCAGCCGTCATACCGTTGTACCACCGACGTGACGATGGACCGGACCAAAACTCTCACGTCTGCACTCGTTTCCCCGCAGTCTGTTGCCGCTTTTACTACAGGTGCTGCCGTCGCCATTGCCGCCGCAACTGCTGTTATTGACTTTGTTGCCATTGGCGCTCCGGAACCAGTTATCATGCACGCTGTGGTCACGATCCCGCCTTGAAAGGTCGCTGCTGCTATCGGTGCAGGCATCAGCTGTGCCGAGTCTGCGATTACTGCAGCCGGCCCCCCCTCCGGCGTCCCCAAACCGGCATCCTCCGTCCGTTTCGAAGCAGAGGAACTTGTCTCGTGAGTCATCGGGTCGCCAGCAGCTGCCGGCTCCGAAAGGTGGACCAACTCTCCCGTAGCTACCAGCTCCGAAACCTGAAAGGTCTGATCCCCACAAGCGATGACTGAACGCTTTACCGGATCGTTCTCAGTTATTTCTATAGATGGGGCCTTATCGTCCCGTATGACGGCCGTACCTGGCTGCGTCCGGGACGAACAACCTGAATGAGACGCGCTTGCAGCGGAGAACGAAGAGCAGCTCTCAGAAGCGCGGTCTACTTCCAGGCTGTACACCAACCGAGAGACAGACGGCGAACCCGATGGCAACATTGTTTCTGGCTGCAGGCTTCTGCATCCATCCTCCTCACCTAACGCTCCTTCGGCTTGCCGGAGCAAGCTTGCCATCGACGCAATCGTGGTGGCCGTAGTGGATGCCTCTGGAAAGGGCTGAGCCCCTTCAGGTCGGCATGGCAACCTTTGCTGCTGGGGCGACAGCGACAGCGGCGATGCTGGCAATGGCAATGGCGGCGCTGCCTCCGTTAGGCTCACGAGCAGCTCAGTCGGCACGGTTAGCTCTCCGCCACCACATGATGATCCACTGACGCCGACGCCCGTGTTGCCGTCACCGCTGCCATCCTCGACACAAAAGCTGCTGGGCATGGCCGCTACTGCCGGCGGCGCCGGTGGCGTCGCTGTGCCGCTGTCGCCGCCCTGCCTCCCATCTGGTGTTGCTTCCGCTGCCTCCGGGGTTACCGCGGCGGCAGAGCGCCTCACCCTCACGTCCCAGCTACGGTCCGGTCTCACCGTAAGCAGCACGGCGTAATGATGTATCCATATCGCCGCAAGCCACGCCACCATGCACAGCCACAGGGACAGCAACACTGGCAGTAGCGCCACAAACAAGCCCAACCGGACGCGGCTAGCCAGCCTATCGTCCTGGCTACTGTCGCTGCCGTCGTCGCCGCCGCCAAACCAGTTGCCAAGGCCGCCATTGCGCGCAGCGGTCGTCGTCTGGATCGCAGCGGAGGATGACCGGCTATAGCGTAGCGACGGTAAGGTCACAGATGGCAACGGTGCACCAAACTGGTTGTCGTACAAGTGGCTGCGCCGTGTGTGGCTTCGGAGGAGTGAAGTGGCGCCACAACCGTCATTGGACACCGTACTGTCAGCGATGCCGCCACCCATACCTCCGAGGCTGTTGTTTCCGTGTGTAAAGGAGGAATATAATGTCGCTGCCCACCAACTCTTACGCGACTGGGGCCCATTCCTAACTCCCATAGCTGGCACCCTTCGCGTAGACCCTGCACTGGCAGCGGCCATGTGAGAGGCCTGACGCTGGGCACTGCAACTGCCGCCACCCCTGCAGCTGCTGCTGCCGTCGCAGCCGTACGCGCTGCCGGTGGCGTGGCGCACTTTCGGCAACGGCGAGCTGGCAGAGCGATGCATGCCCGATGATGTCCCTACTGCCTCAGCCGCGGTCACTGCTGAAGGCAGCCGGCGGCCACAGCAGTACGGTAAGGGACAAGCAGCCTGCCCGGCTGCGGCGCCGCCGGATGCAGCGGGAGGCCCAGCTGGCGCGGGGTATGGCGTCACGATGCACGGATATGCGGAGCTGATAGGAAGCGGAATAATAGCTGCCGTGGGTTGGCCGACGGCGCTGGCGGCGGCACCGTAGGTGGCAACGGCGGCGTCCCCGTAGCAGCAGCCGCGCCGCACGCCAGCCACACAGCATCCTTTCCCGGAACAGCAGCCCTCGCCCAGGCCGTGCCTGCGGGCACGGGCGCGCGCACCAGCACCAGCGCCGCCGCCGCTACGGAACAGCAGCGCCGCCATGCCCAATCCGAAACGCAGCACTGAGGTGAATCCTGGCAGGCTGCTGCTCCAGCCCCTTAGCAAACCGCCAGCGCCTGCGCCCACACCGTCCCCGTCGGTGTCTCCATCGTCCAAGTCCAAGCCCAAGCCATCAAAAGCGTCCGAATCTGTGCCTCCGCCTTCGTCCTCCTCCCCTTCCATTCCTTCATGGCCTTCCACCTCCACTAACGATGGAACTGCCGACGAAAATGTGGGACCCTGAACATTCTTGCATCTGCAGCGACCGCATCCTGGCCAGCCGCCGCTGCCGCGGTCTCCACCGTCCCCCGTGCGATGCGGCGAGAGCGCGGAAGGCGCTGCTGCCGCGCCGCCGGGAAAGTACGGGTTGACGGCCGTGATGGCAGCGGTTGTGTACGGCACGGTACGGTCGCTGCGAATGTCGGCTAGTAGTACGCGCTTGCTAAAGGCGGCTAGCGCAGCATGGAAGGCGCAGTCGGGGCGGGCCATGGCGGCAAGCAGGGGCAGACCCTCGGGCTCCAGCCAGCGATCCGCTAGCAGAAGTTGGCGGCCAGTCCGACTGTGGAGTTGCGTTGGCAATTTTACGAGTGAGAAAGCGAGGAAAGCGCAGAAGACAGCAGAATCAAGTCGAGAAGAACGAAGAGAAGCCAAGACTGCAGAAGCCCATTGAGAACAACATTTTTTAGGAGGTGTGGTGTTGGCCATTGGCAAACGGTCGCTCCTTGACAGCCGCGGAAACCCCGCCACCGGGAAGTAACTCGCCCCATCGGCATTTTCTTCCTCGGCGACGCCATCGCTGTCGTTACCATAGCTGCAGCCGTGTCTGGACCTGCCAACAGCGCGACCCTACCTGAGAGTCCAGGGAAGGATGCTGTTGTAGGCCTGCAGGGCATATCACAGCAAACAGTTTTAACGTGAGGTAGCAAAGGAAAATGGCGTAGTGCGAAGGGCATGACGAGATGGGGAAGTGGGCCACGCAGAAGACTGCCTCTTCATACCCCCCACCACGAGGACGCAAGGATTGCCCTTCCAAGCCCCCGAGCGCGCCCATATGCGACCAGGGTACACAAATGCACAACACAATTGGACGACGTGGTGAGCAGCGCAACATGTAAGAACATTGCGATGTGGGCCATGATGCACATGTCGTTCCGTTAGGCAAGCTGCCGTCTTTATAGCTCAGGCAGAGAGCTGTATGTGTTCTCTAAACCCCTCCTCCTCTTCAAGTGTAACAATAGTGTGTCAAGGTTGCTACTTGAAACGAGCCAGTCACAACTGCAATGGCAATTGTACAATGCAGCAGGTTATGAGCCCTGATGAATAGTCGGGAGATCTAAAATGGCCACCAGGTTAAGATCGCCTATCCGATAAGCTGCTGTCCGTAAGCTGTCCTTACATGGAACTGTTTTACGTGGCTGGTTCCTGGCTCGATAGTGGTCACATTTCTCTAGGGAAGTGGTAGCAGCTTATCCATTCACAATGGTGAGAAGATGACATCATAGGAAGGGAGTGCATCTACGATACATACCACGGCGACAGACAAGCTATGTCGGCTTCCTCAAAGCCGGAAAAAGGGTGGGGCCCCTCTGCATCCGTACAGGCCGGTAGCTAGGGTGGCACATGTGACTATTGATGGTTAGTGTCAACGTGGTGGGAGCTGTGCTTGTTGCAAGAGTATTTGCGAAGCGTTGAAAACATGGTGAACCCTCCTCCTTCACTTTTCTGACACTCGAAAGACTCCGGCCCACACACGTACCCCAACTAAAAGCCCTCTCACCCCGCAACCTCCCGTCCACCAGCTCCCCCTAAACCCACCAGCTGCGACATACTGCTTGGGTGCTCCCAACAACCCAGGTGTGGTGTGGCGATGGTAAGGAAGTTGACTGGAGCTATCGCAGAGAAGAAGCCACTAGCCAGCAGCTTGCCCACGGCGTAGCGTGCGATGAGACCGCCAAATCTATCAAGAGTAATTTGTCGAGCAAGTGATGGCAGGGAGGAGGCAGAAGAGGTGATCAGTGGAAGGGGCAATCAGAATAAAGCAGGCCCTGAAGAAAGGGTACGGGGGGAAGGCAACTCTGGAACGAGACAAGACCGAGATAACGAGTGTAGTGGTTTTACTTGGTACTGAAAAATATGAGGGCCCTCCCATTAAGTAGGAATAGAGGGCTGGCGGGCAGGACACAGGAACCCAAAAGAGGGATATAGAGATGTGGGAGAAACGCGCAGCTAGGTATGTAGGTGGGCAGGGAGATATGCGGTCGCTTCTTCCCAATCCAAGCCAGCCCAACCACTTACAAGCAGGCCCCTCGGGCCAGCCACTTACGAGTAAGCTGCGAAACTGATGTGGGTCACCCGGATTCCTCCAGCCGCCAGCCGTTGCACGTGGGACACCACCTCAGCAGCCAGGCGGTCCCCGCATACCTGCGGTGGCGAGTGCGGTCGTACGAGATCATGTGCTATGCTACTTCTTTGTCTGTGTCATAAGCCAGGGACGGCGATGAGCGGCGATGATAGCTCATGCAGTGGTGCGTTTCATCTCATATATGCACCTTGCCTTCAGCAGCCCGTCTTCCTCGCACCCTCTGCCCCCTCCGTGTGCTCGCGTCCGAGTAACGCCTGGGTTCGTTTTCCTTTCCTGGGCTCCCCTCCCTCCCTCCCTCCCTTCCGGCCGCCCCCATCTTTCTCAGTGCTGCTCTCACATCGGCTCCGTCGAAAGTGCACCTCGCCGAGTTGCTCCTCGCGTTGAGAGTCAACCAGCCATTGTGTTGCAGGTACTGCTCCAGGAAGGACACGTCCTCGGGGCTGCCCCACAGGCCGTGCTGTGGGGGGGTAAAAGTGGGTGGGCGGCGGTGGCTGTGACAGGAGCGGGAGGCAGCTCCTTGCAGCGGTCACGCACACGTTCCAAATCGTCCTTGACCGATAACCAGTGGTTGTATGTAGTGCATCTGGAGATGTTCTTGACACAGCATTGTGTCAATGGCGATGCGACGTGAGGGTCGCTACGCGGCCAAGGTGGTGGGCGATCTGATGAGTAGATGTGAGGAGGTTTCGGCTGGTTGAGTCGTTGTCCTCGCCACTGGGAAGGGCGCAGTAATTTTAGGATGTTTCGAATGCAATAATCCGTTCTGCGGATGAGCGTCACCCAATCCTTTGAAAAGGGTTGGCAGGAGCGAGGATACAGCGCTGAAGCGAAAGGCTGCATGCTGCACATGGAGCAAATCGCATGATGTGGGCTGACCCAAATCAAAAAACTGACACCGAAAGACGTTGCGTGGGATCCCCCTAAAAGGCGGAGGAAGCTTCGGTGGCCTTGGAAGGGTTTGAAGCTGGGTGTCGTTCTGGGTCTCATGGGGTTCTTGAGGCTGTGTTGTAACCCAGGTGTCACGTGGCCGGCAGCAGGACGATGTTGTGTTTTGAAGCGGATCACTGCTATGAGTTAACAAAGCTTACGACTCGCCGACAGCTCAGGTGCATGTTAACGTGGCTGCGAAACGGAGGTCAACGAAACCGCCTACAATCCCTCGTGCCTGAACCGCTGGTAAATAGGCAGATTCTTGAGACGTCTCGAATATGACGGTGGAAAAGCGAAGCTACTGTCTTGTGCCGGTGCAGCGCTCGGAAAAGTCGTCCCAAAACCTTAGCGCCTGCAGACGCCCAAGCAGGAAAAACCTAATACCTAATTGCGCACCTGACAAACGAAGAGGTGGGCGCCGTTGGGAGCATCCTGCGGTTCAGGAGGTGGTTCCCACCACCTATCCATGTGAAGTCGCGTCCGAGTCCGAAGGAGAGTCAATCAATCCACTTGCCTCTGGCAAAAACTGCTTTCCTAACACATGCTACACTTGGGATCGGTTGTCTCGCTGTGTGTGTTCAGCCTGACGCATGCGGCCAATGCTTTCGATATGACAGTTGTTAACGTGTCGTTGGGAGGGTGGGCGTGCGGAAGCCCAATTTTTTGGTTGAGATAACATCAATTATTTTTCCATGGCGATGCGTGTTTAGTTCACGGCAAGTTGATCTGCATTCCTCCGTTTTCATGGGCCCATTCATCCTGAGACATGTTGTAAGGCAATTGCAACCCAATAACCGATCACTTTTCCGCACTTAATGCCAAACTGTTGCGTCAAGCAGGACGGGTTCTAGGTCTCCGCTTTGCAGTCCCTCTACCTTACTTAGGGCGGAGCCTGCATTTCGGCGGCGACGATCGCCAGCTAGCAAAAATGTCTGGGCTTCTCGAGAAGGAGATTCAGGATGCACAGGAAGCTGTTACTAAGCAAGGCGATACCGTCCGTTCCCTAAAGGCCAGCCTGAAGGACGGGAAGGCGGAGAAGGCACGTTCCGGCATGGCGCGCAGCTGGGCAAAACAACTGCTTACACACCTCCATGTTTTCTGGACAGGCCGAAGTGGACGCTGCTATTCAAAAGCTGGCAGAGTTGAAGCTTGCCCTGGAGGCTAAGCAAAAGGTGGGGCGGCGCAGGGTCGCGGCATGGTTACGATGGACTAATGTTTTGCCGCTGTGATCACCATAGCGTACGATACACGGGATTTTATGGCTACGAGTTCTGTGTCAGCTAAAAGATCTATGCTAGCAGCAGTCGCGCAGCTATTTTGCATCGGTTAATCGTGTGCAATCTGGCTCGTGTCAGCGCAACCAGGCCACAACAGCGCCCTTACAGATAAATATTTTCAGGGCGACAGGCACAGTTGGTGCCTGGATTTAGTTGTGCATGCCGCTCCCGGGGGTCGCTGCTCTGGATGTCTAAGGGGGAGGATGTAGATTTCACTTAGTGGGCACGGGGCTAGTAGTTTAATATTGGAGCAACCCTACACAATACATAGTCACCCGTTTCCTCCCAGTTGCAAGACGTGCCGGTTTATTGCTTCCTGACGCGCTGGCCTTAATCCTTTTCCCTTCTCAGGAATATGAGAAAACGACGGGCAAGGTCTCGGCTCAGAGCAAGGAGGCGCTCCGGGCTGCCCTGGTGGGTGGCAGAGATGAATCCATGAATGCACTCGGCTTCCTTTCCATGTTAAACTAGAACTGTCAGGCGCGGGATGGCACCGTGGATGTGCAAGTCATTGTTCACTGCCTCGGGGAACCTGGCCACTTAGCTATAGGGGCAGGGGCAGCCGCAGGGGACCCACTTGGACACAAGTCTTAGTTGGATTCATATATGAAGTGCAGCGGAGCAAGGATCTGAACGGTTTAGCCTTGGAGCAACAGACGACAGTAGCAGCGCCCAAGCTTCATTGGGAAGTGACACAGAGTCAGAGCGTCTATCTGGAGCCTGCGTCGCCCAGGGGTTGCGGCTAAACGTGTGCGTTATTTGGACTTTTGTTTATGTTTGTTTTAAAGCTTGACGTACTCGTATCAACTCTCAGGCGGGCGTGCTGGAGCGCCGCATGTTCTACATCCCATCCTTCAAAATTTATGGCTCTGTTGCCGGCTTCTACGACTACGGCCCGCCGGGCTGTGCCATCAAGCAGAATATGACGCAGGTGTGATGTGGTGCTGGTTCCGCCCCGTCAGTTGCGTAAGCTGGCGGTTGAGGACGGGGGTTTTGTGACTCCATAGTTGGCGACACGAATCGTGGGCCACCCAGGGTCGTGGCGGATAAGTTCCGAAAGTGTGGGCTGGGGTTGATATCTTGGCTGTGGATACGTGCATGGGACGTTGAACGCATGATGAAGGGCATCATGCGGCTGGAGAACGTGGGCAGGCAGTAAGGGACGGTGGGTCACACCTCAGCAGTTAATCAACAGTACTTGGCGATTGCGCTGCAATGCACCGAACTTGTACAGCTTTAAAGCAGCAGAAATGCATTTCCGCATTGCATCCAGGACCTGGGGTAGCATGTCTGTCTGCCTTGGGACTCTTGCGGTACATTATGGCCAGGAGCTCAGGTTGGGACCTCCTGCAACCCTCGCAACCTGTTCCTCGTACCCATTGGCATTTTAACTCTTCCACTCAGACGTGGCGCAATCATTTCGTGCTGGAGGAGAACATGCTGGAGGTGGAATGCCCTGCCGTGACTCCGGAGATTGTGCTCAAGGTGACCCACGACAAGGATGAGGGACACTCTGCTCGTAAAGGGGGCCGCGGGATGCGCCCATTTGGCGAAGGGAAGGGGACTATGGCAATTGCATTGGGACTTGCCCGCCTTCCGTGTGATGGGGCTACCACGATTTTAAGGATCGGAAAGTAGGCGCGTTGGGACTACAGGGCTAGGAACACCAACAGTAGGACATTTCAGCACACGTGGAGGACCTGATTACGGGTAGCGCGTTTGGAATTGAATTGGAATGGGGATCGGTATATCTGTATATGGTGTTGTGGCGCATTGGTATGGGTGTTGAATATATGCTTGCTAACCACTTGTGCTCGGCACCTGCCGTGGCTATGCCTCCGTTCTAGGCCTCCGGTCACGTGGATCGCTTCACTGATTTCATGGTCACGGATGTGGCCACCGGGGAGTGCTTTCGCGCAGATCATCTGCTCGAGGTGGGACCGGGAAAGGGGTCGTGGGCTGGATAGTGGGCGAGGGGGTCGCAGGAGGTATAATATGATGCGCGCTTGGATTTGAGCCGATGATGATAAGGTAAACTGGGGGAGCCACAATTAAGGATTTGTTAATGAACTCGGAAAGGGAATTTAGGATTTCCTGGCCATACTTCCGCGGAGCTGTAGTCCTGACCTTGACCCTGTAACCCGCAGGGCCACCTGGAGGCGCTCCTGGAGGACAAGAAGAACCCTGTCAGCCCGGAGAAGGCCAGGGTAAGAACTTCAGTAATATCAGCCGATTGGGAGATGGGGACGCGCGCTCTAGGTGAATAGGACTGTTGTAAAAAAGGGGTCGGCGACCAAGGTTAGAGACATTCGGAGTATTGGAGTAAGGATGGGGGTCGGGGGAAAAAAGACGCACGGAGAGCCTCCCTACTTCCTTCCACTTCGGGTCACCTTAGGGTTTTTGGCCTTGCTCAGGTCGTCTTGCTTTCTTAGCTCTACATCGTTTCCGTGCCTTGATCCTGGGTACTTCGCCTTTTGCACTGCAGGAGATTCGCGAGCTGCTGGCCAGCGTGGGCGAGCTGAAGCAGGACTCCATGGCTGCGGCACTCCAGGTGGGAACAAGGAAGAGGCAAAGGTATCTAGACAATACCGATACGCTAACATAATTACAAATCTATGGTTTCGCCCGCGGCCAGATTATCCAGATAAATTGCCTAGTTTAAGGCATTATGGCGGAGGAGAACCTCCAGAATTCTTATTGCGATTGCGGGGCCATCCGCTCACATAACCCCGACCAGGAAAGGCGGCCAACGCGTCAGTGCCAATCCCTGGCGCCTTCTTCCCTCGCGGTAAATGTTGTGTCCTTGATGCTGCCCCCTTTTTCGATTTGCTGTAGGAGTATGATGTTCGTGCCCCCGGGACGGGCAACGCGATCTCTCCACCTTTCCCCTTCAACCTGATGTTCAAGACGTCCATCGGCCCCAAGGGTGACCTCGTGGGCTATCTGCGACCGGAGACGGCGCAGGGCATCTTCGTGAACTTCAGGTGCGGGACATGGGGGCACTGGATGTAAAGGCCTGGGGTTCGCGATTGCGTAGGGCGGGTCATAGGCGTGAGGGTGACTATTTCTTTCAACGGTTGGATTTGGATCTTGAAAACGTCGGGAAGAAATGCGAGTGGGACAGTAGTAGGGCAGTACAATCATCATATATCAACGCATCAGGTCAGTTCAGGTCCATTTGGACAGCTTTATGTAACCCGGGACAGGCGCGGATTTCCTTTTGCTCCGCAATGCTTCTGGACCGAGGGCTGAGCCTCCAGGGATGTGCTCAATACTTGTGGCATGTGGTGTGCTGGCGGACTGGGGGAGAGCGGACAAGAAATGAGGCGGGAAAACTGCAGATGCCCTTCGTGCAATGGACGTGCATGTTCGTTCCTAAGGTTGTTACGTGTACCGCACGCCGGTCCCCAATGTGCAGGGACCTGTTGTACTACAACGGCGGCAAGCTACCGTTCGCCGCCGCGCAGATTGGCAATTCGTACCGAAATGAGATCTCGCCACGCGCGGGCCTGCTTCGCGTCCGTGAGTTCACGCAGGTGGGGTCGAAACATGTGTATGGGCGCTTGCAGTTCCTTACGGAAATCATTGCCTGCAGATGGATCTACTTGCCTGCACTCTGCTATGTAAATGTTGATGGGACCTGGCATCGGAGCTAGGAGAGAGTTGTATGCGAGGCATTGGGAGTGTGTGGTGGCTCGGGTGTGTGGATTCTCAACCGTGTATGCTTGCATCAGAAATGATCGGTAGCTGTGTCGCGGCGTCTATTCAGTCCAAATTGGGCCAAATGGTTGAACATTCCCCAATAACAGGCGGAGATCGAGCACTTCGTTAACGGTGCTGACAAGTCGCACCCCAAGTTCGCATCGGTTGCTGGACTGCAGCCGCTGCTCTACTCGAGGTACGTGTGTTGCGCCCGACGGAGCCTTGGTCTACTAGGCCGCATCGATATGGGGCCTCCTTCCATGACTGCATGCACAAGCACACGCACACTGGGCCCAGGGAATTATCTTTTTCTGTCCGCAATACTTCGTGATGTGGTCCCTGTTGGATGCATTCTGTTGTCACCGCACCACGTTGTCGTCTCCGTGTCTGCAGGGCTCTGCAAATGGGCGAGGAGAAGAAGGCGCAGCCTATGTCCTTGGGCGAGGCGGTGGAGAAGGGCATTATTGCCAATCAGACGCTCGCCTACTTCATCGGGCGCACCTGGTTATTCTTCATCAAGGTTGGCGTCAACCCGGAGCGCATGCGCTTTAGGCAGCACCTGCAGCATGAGGTGAGCGAAGGGAGCGGATTGGGAAGCAGGATTGGGTACAGCGGAGGAAAGAGCAAAACCGAACTAAAAAAGACCGGGAGGACAGCTTGAGGAAAAAACCTTAAAAGAGAGCCTTGGGAATGGAGACATGCTTGGCTAGGTTGTCCCCTCTCTTTAAATTAAATGCCATCATGCGTTCATCTTATCCTGACCCACTAGATGGCCCACTACGCCACCGACTGCTGGGATGGTGAGGTGGAGACGACGTACGGCTGGGTTGAGTGCGTCGGCCTGGCGGACCGCTCCGCGTATGACCTCAAGGTAGGAGATTTTTGTACTGGAGGCGTCCATTCACGCACAGCTCCCAAACCCCGTCCCATTACCATTGCCACCAGGCACCTACACCACCTCAACCTGTGGCTCTCGTGCTTACAACTGCGGCTTTAGCGCCCTCGACACCTCATCCTCTTCATTCCGCCGCCGTGTACACACTTTGTACGGCCGGTACACACGTACCTCTTCGCTCGTCCGTCGTATGCTTTCTTACAGCCGGTCATTATTCTATGAGCCTCCCGATTTCGTAGATATTTACCTCCTCTCCCGTGTTCCCATCCCCACATACCCACAGGCCCACACGGCGATGAGCAAAATTGACCTGACGGCCTTTGAGAAGTTCCCTGAGCCACGTATGGAGGAGGTGGTTAAAGTGGTGCCCAACAACAAGGAGCTGGGGGCTGTCTTTAAGAAGGACCAAAAGGTGGTGAAGGAGGCGCTCGAGGCGCTGGACGAGTGCTCCGCAATGGAGCTGAAGGTGCGTGTACATGCTTAGATGTAATCCACTACCAAGGGGCTTTCAGACGCGTCCAGGCACTGCAAGCGAAGAGGTAGTACTGCCAAGGTCTGTGAAGGTAATTCCTTGTGCGTATGTGTGGATGCATGTTCTGAACAGGCGACCGGATCCTGAACAGGTCGGGACGCATAAACGATGACGTCGAAAGTCGCTAGTTCAAATAGATCAGCGAAATTTCCAGGACTCCATTTCCCGTTCCTTCCCCCATTTTACACAAGGACGCCCTTCCCAAATTTCTGCGTTACTTCCCTGCTCCCCACCCCGCTTACTACATATGGCTTCTTTGGCAGTTTCGTTCGTTTTTGGATTTCGCACAGCTATTTCACCCGTATTTCACCCTTGTAACTCCGCAGTCCAAGCTTGACGCTGGTGAGACAGCCAAGGTGTCCGCCTCCACTGGCCAGTCGTTTGAAATCAAGCCGGGCATGGTGGAGATCAAAAAGGTGTGGTGCCGCGCCCATGGGAGATGGGTGGAGAGGTCAAGAATTCTTTCATCGCAAGTTCAAACTCGACCTGCGTCTCGACAGCAGGTTCCTAAATGAAAACCGCACTCGTTCTTGGGATATGTTCGGGTACCTCTTGAAGTTCATTGTATCGTTACCTGGACTCTATCCGCACCTTGTCCCAGTGTATTAGTTGTGCCTTATTCTTTAGGCGTTGTGATCTTTGTGGGCTTGAGTCATCTGACCCATCGTGGTGGTTGGTGGCAACAGGTGACGGAGAAGGTGACGGGCAAGACGTACACTCCCAGCGTCATCGAGCCCTCCTTCGGCATTGGGCGTATCATGTACTGTATGTTCGAGCATAGCTACTACACACGCGAGGTGAGGGATTGGGGGGGGAGGAAGAGTACTGAAGGGCGCTACTTGTGGCATGTTTGGGAAGAGGTACAGGAAGGGGCTTTTGTTATCGCCCTTCGCGGGCTCCTCCCCTTTCCGTCCCCTTTCCGCCCTTGGGTATCTCAATATAACTGCTTTTATAATCCTCCATTTTCCTGCTTCGGCCCTGTCCCTTCCTCCTGTCTCTCCTTCCTTTCAGGGCGATGAGACCCGCGCGGTGATGGGCTTCAAACCCGTGGTGGCACCGACCAAGGCAACCGTGTTTCCGCTGGTGCAGAAGCCCGCGCTGAACGATCTGGCAGCCAAGATCTCCCGTGACCTCACCGCAGCGGGGCTCTCGAACATTATCGACACCACGGGTAGGTCGCCGCTTCTGCGGCACGCTAGGGGAGATTCATGTGCGCCAGGAAGCGAGAATCCCTAGAGCAGTTTCTCCTTTGATGCAACACAGCAGCACGTCTTGTGCAGCCGGGATGTGCCCCTCTGCTTACGCCAGGCAGGGAGGGCCTACAGGACGGGCAGAGCGAGTGTTGACTTTCAATGGCTGATTTGTGAGGCGCTTTTTATTGCAATTAATGCAGGTAATACGATTGGCAAACGCTATGCGCGCACGGATGAGATTGGTGTGCCCTTCGCTGTCACTGTGGACTTCGTTTCCGTCGACGGTGACGGTTCAGTGACGCTCCGAGAGCGAGACTCCATGGCTCAGGTGCGTGAACGGATGACGTTGTCTAGACGCGTACACTTCTCCTTTTGATGAGAAATGTGGATAGGGTAGATGCGCGTAGGTACGGGTTCCAACGTTGCGATAGTACTACTTTGCGTGGTTTTGTTGCCCTCCACAGGTTTCCAGCCAAGTCCTTTGGTTACTGTTCTACAACCAAGCTGTGTAACCCATTTTCGCTTTCCCGACCCATCACTTCGAGACGCAGGTTCGCGTGCCACAGTCCGAGGTGGCCTCCGTGATCCGCGACCTGGTCGACGACCGGACGAGCTGGGCTGACGTCGCGGCCAAGTACCCCGCACAGAAGGCGCAGGTACGCAGAGTAATTGGGGTTGCCGAAGGTGTAGCCACTGGAAATCGTCAAAGGAATTGCTTTTTGCTTAGGGAAGACCTAAGAACCTGCCTTCTAAGGCCAAAATGCGAATAACACGGAGGAAAGGGTGAAGAATTACGGGTGCAGGAAGTGGCGAGTTCGTACAACCGCGCGTTTTGGAAGCCTTCGGTGACAAATCGCGGCTGGTTGTGTGTTTCAACAGCGCAATGCTGGGCTACCTCGTGGCAAGTGGCGTCCCGTTCCCATGATATGATTTGCGACGCTTCCACAGCTCTGTCTCAAGCCCCCAACACTTTTAAATGCACGTCATGATGCTTGGCGTTCCCGCACGACGTCCCGCGATATACCTGTGACCTGTATTGTTTATTGCATTGCGTGCAGGCTGACGACGAGTAAGCACGCCCTGCTGCGGGGGCGGGCATAATTGGAATCTGCCGCTGGACGGTGGGCATGTGCCGCCTGTGCATCTGCTGGGTCGCTGTCCTTACTAAGCCTGCCAGAGTTTGAGGGGGAGGCGGGTCCCCTTGGTCCGCTGATCAGGACTTCGTTTGGTACAGCTTTTCTAGGAAAAATTTCGGGGATGGTTCGGGGCTGTAGGATTGCACATCTCGCGGTGACGTCTTGGTTTAGATGATTGCGATTGTTTCGCTAGAAGTGTTGTCTCCGTAAGGTGTAGCATGGGTAGCTGTAGCACAATTACGAGTGCACCCTTGGCTCAGCATACTGCAAGTGGATGGAGTGGCTGTTTGGAGGCACATCTCTTTGCTGTGAGTCGGCGCCGATGGTGCCATTTGAAGGCCGCCATGAAAGCACGGCCTTGTGGAGCTTCTTCCTAAGCGAGCTGCATCCAAGCGATCTGAGCACGCGTTGGGCGTTGCGTTTCGTGTCGCCGCTGCTGTCTGGGTAATGGGTGGCAATGGAGGAAGTAGGATGAGTCGCCAGGGACGCGCGTGAATATGTTACGCGGGCTGCGTATATGTTGCAACTAGCGCATGCTAGTACCAGCTCTGGCCGTCGTTAGGTGGGAATGTGGCGACTGACTTGGTATATGTGCGTGCGTGGCAGCTGGCGGCGGCTGCCAGGTGGCTGGTTCTCCTCGGCAGCGTACGGCACTAAATGCGACTGTGAGCAGTCGGTGATGGGCAGAGAATGCACGATCCCAGAAGTGTTTTTAACCCTGTTTTCACTTGTCACTTGCGCCATTGGGCTTCCATGTTCCAAGGGTAGCGCATGCCCTGATGTGGCGCTCTGCTTGCTTCTGCATTTGCGGCTTCAGGATCTCGTTTGCCTGCGGGAGATACCTTATCGGCAAGTCGAGCATATAATATGCATACGGTGCGAAATGGCCAATATCGGTGGAGCGTGATGGGATTGATGTGGCGGTTGGGGGGTTTCGGTGATGACGGCGGGAGTTTACACTGTTCAGCGGTTATACTGGCGGATGAGCGCTTTTCGGTGAAGGGTGTAAAGTGGTTTTGACGGCATTTAAGTGGCATGCCGTATAAGCGCAAAGCCGAGTACTACGGAATCTTATGTACAGATATGGAGGGAACTCGAACGGAGCTTGGGACTGCCGGGCCATGGTTGCATGCTATTCGGATGGAGTCTGGTGGCGTCTTTGCGTTTTACAGGCGCACCTGAGGTTTCAAGAGAGGTTTGGCGTGGCGTCGATCCGCGACCATGGGGGTTGCAATGGCGATCATGGGGTTTCCCGAGAGAACAGCGGGGGGCGGCTGTCCCAGATATTTCGCGGCTGTATCGTGTGTAACGGAAGCGATGCTATAAAGGGGCCCAACTCATCCTTTAAAGTCAGCGCCTTCAAAACGATTTTGCCCTGGATTAATTTGTTAGTGACCTATTGGTTACTGTGAGGGTTTTCTTTGGTAAACCACCACCACATTTTTTTCGGTGCCGTCACTCCACACACACACATGCCCCCGGTGCCGCGGCTCGGATCCCCTGACGGAACCGTTGGGATGTTGCTGGCCAACGGTCAGTACAACATGTAAGATTAGACTGTACGATAAGCCCAAGTCAGCGAACCATCACAGCTTTCACCCAAGCGTCAAATCAATTTCGGGCGGTGGCCGCTCCCAGGGGTCTGTTTCCTGGCGTCCACCCGGTAACTACTAAAAATTTCCTAGTGACCACCTTCCGTAAGGAGTCTTTTCTCAGTAACCACTTGGTCACTGGTAATCACTTTTAATATCATTGCTTTCAATTGCGCAGCATCGGAATTCTCTGTTCGGGATATGAGGTGAGCTCACATATTTTACTAACTCGTTGAGTAGGCGATTTTTTAAGCGACATCCAATGATAACGCATTGCATGTTTTTGCAATCTTTAACACATTGCATAATTGAAGGCATGCGCTGAGCAGCAAACTGTACTGATAACGTACCGATTGGGTCCAAATGCTCCTAAAACCGTTTGGTGAGAAGGTTTTTGTAATAATGCAAAAAAGACAAGCTAGATTTCTCTGATCTGGAAGCATGCGGCCACGTTGATTTGATCTACCAAGCTGTAGTTGTCCGCGGACCTGTTCAAGGGAACCACCTTCAGATGGCCTTTCAACCAAGTAGTTCCGTGGGAAGTCTATAGTGCTTAGCACAGTGCGGAACTTAACTTCCCGTCTCAAACCTGACAGGACGGGCTATAACGGCTCTAGACACTTTTGGTGTCTTCTACCAAGGCTTGATAAAACAGACCTGTAGTATAATGGTCATCCTCAAGAGAACACCGTGTACCATGACTCGCTCGCAAGTCCTAACAGAGCGCGGCAAGTACACGGAACGTACTGCACAAGACGCGAGTCCCTCGTAGAATGGCCGTCGCAACTTATGCGTAGGTTGCGCATGCAATGCCGTCAAGAAGGTGGCGGAAAAGGCGTGGAAGAGGACAAGGTTTTAAGTGTAGTTTCTGCAAGTTGTGGTGTAGTCGTCACGTACATGGGTGCGCGCAGTAATCATTGAGCACAGTAATTTTTGAGCATTTATGACTTGGTTAACTCGGAATGCCATAAATTGCAACTCTTAAACATTAGCGGAATGTTTGAGATGCAGAGGAGGATTTCTTGTGCGAGTGAGCGAATGACAGACGATCAAAACCCGTTCGGCCTATTGAAATTCCGCCGAACACAATAAGCAACCGTCATGCATGGCGGGTCGTCGACATGGCTGCGGTTGTCGGTCATAGTTCAGACACCGAGGCCAGGGTATGGAATCTATGCATGGTACATGCTCGCTCCTAGCTGCCGGCCATATTTGACGGGCGAAACGTATGGAGCGATGTCGAGCGACCTCGCGCTTACTCCTGCTCAATCCTCCGAACGAGCTACCCGAGCTCATTGAAGTGCTTAGCGGGTTTGCTGCACCGTTGCAGTGATCTGGAGCTTGCTTGCTGTTAAATTAACAGGCCTAATGGCTGCGAGCATGCCGCGCGTACCTGCAGCCTTTGTGACTGCGATGGTTAAGGAGGAGCTGCATGTCTTTTGTGAATGCCCAGCCTGCGGGAGCCTTCGAGTGAAATACGAGGGACACATTGGCTTCCGAGGGCGGGAAATGCGTACTACTACGGCGGAAGGTCCCTCAATAGCTGTGGCTAGTTTTCTCACTCTGCGCCACAAAGTAATGGCTTTTGACCTGCATGGGTCACCCGGCTTTTACGGACGCCCCCGATATTGTGCAGAACTTGTAACTTGTGACTTACAAACAGATGGGATTTTACTGACATACGTACTGTTGCGTTTCAGTTGCGTCTCCTAGTTAGGTGGTATGTGCAATCTGGCGCCTCAGTTTCCGGTGCTGCAAATGTAGGCAAGCAGGGAGTAAGCCAAGACTAATCGGGGGCGGCAGGGCGTCTGACTCCAGAATTGTGGTGAAGGAAAAACAGGTACGAGTGTTGTTGCTTGTCTTATAGTCGCCGTGGTCCAAGAGCCGTGCCACCAGCAACACCTACAGCTCGTCGATGCACCCGTCAACAGGTCTCCTTATGAAGGAAAGTCTGCAGTTATTATTTATGGATAGGATGTATGGTAGGGCCGTACATTTGCCGGCTAGCTTTCTAATGCGTGGTTCTTTAGGTTTGGTTGCATAAAGTGAGAGGGGCATACCGCATCGGTAAGGGAACGATCTCTACAGTAGACTTGGCCTAACGTTTGCTTCATGACATATAACGCCTCTCAGAAGTACAGTACGAGAAATGCTATGCGACCGAATTAAAGAATGTAGTAATCTTTTTTACCGGACGCAGCATAGATTCCTTAGGTCAAGTTGTGTTTATAAATTTGCCTGTAATGAAGCGGGTATCTCTCGGCGTTGACAAAAGAGTGTATATCCTTACTCCGCGACAGGAAGGTCCAGGGCCCGTCTTGGGCGTGATATCTCCCATTTCCATAAAAGGTATCTGTACTTATCGCCCTGTATCTTATGGGCTAAAAAGGTCTACCCCAACGTAATGTATGTGCTATATCAATATAGGACCTACCAGGGAACAAGCCAGCGAAGCTCGAATAAAGGGCCGCTAGATAAAGGGCCGCTGGCAGCAGGAAATTGAGGACATGTTCAGAAATGATGCAGAGCCATCAACTCATCCGGAATGGGACCCTGACGCCTATACTTGGGATGGGGTAAGCGGGTACCGGGCGAGCTGGGCCTGATTTGGCGTTGCATTATTCATGTCTTCATGTAAGAATCATTCTTCGTCAGCAGGTGGCGCTGACCGCGACACGAAATCCCCAACAAGGTACGTAAGCTAGGGGAGTTTAAAGGCATTTTCTCCAGCATATCTGATGAAAACTCTTTGTGCATCGCATGTAATTTAATAAACTGTACTTATTTATGTCATCCTATAGTGCGATAGGCTTGGAAGTCACCTACGACAATTCTGTCGTGCTTCACTTCTTCCGCAGGGTCGCGTTCACGCACAGCTGTTGATGCCTCGCCATACGCTGAATACCTGGATGCGGATGTTCCTGCGTTGATGAGCCGGCCTCCCGTCGGTGTGCTGTCCAAGGCACAGAGACTGGTTTGCCAGGTAATGCGCTAATGGCCGCGACGACTTCCGCCATACCTTCTGGGTACAGTTGGAATGTACATTAAACAACATCCCTTGCCATTCATTTCACTTCATCCGGTTCAGTACGCCACCAGAGCTTCCCTACGTTCATATACACAGCACCGCGGGCCTCAGGGCTCGTGACTCAGAGGACGGCTCAAACATACATTTGCCGAGAATCCGCAGGGGGATTAAGGGAACCCTTGCTCCCTGCCTCTATAGCATTCGGCTATAACTCCTTCCCTTCCTCCTCCCGTTCTCCCCTCTGCCTACGCCACAGGTTCAGGGCTGTAACCGCAGCTTGCAGAACAGCAAACTATACTATCAGGTGTGTGTGGTGTCGGCAGGTCGGCTGGCCATCGCCGTGGATTATCTTGGCAGGGGAGCTGCAGGGAAACGAGCCAGGATGTCAGACGCAGCCAAAGAGGAAAAAAGGAAAGCAGGAAAAAGAAATACCGTTCAAAAAAAGGGGTGCATGACGGATATTTGTTGGGCCTCGAAGGTTAACGAACAGCCCAAGGTTACTGACTGCTGAATCCTCATACGGCACCCGTACACTCCTTCGCCGCCCACTACCAGCACTCTAGCCGCATGCACTGGACATCTCTATAGCGGAGCGGCGGAGTGCCTTCTCACCCGTTTCATCTTGCCTTGGGCCATCGCTGGCTGGCTACCCGCACACCCCTTCTCACAAGCCAGGCCCCTGGCCTAGGTGCCCAACACGCCAAAGCCACATGTACACAACCACCCCTGCACCGCGCAATTTTCATCCCCCCTTTCCTTCCTTTCTTCTTCTCCCCCTCTTCCTTCTGTCCCTTCTGCCGCCCTCCCTAACCGTCGCTGATCAGTTTCTCTGTTCCCCTTCCCGCACCGCTTGCCCCGTCTCTATCGCCACCTCCCTTTTCGTAGCGCTTTAAACTATGCGAGGATCACCTCAAAGCACCCGCCATTTCCATCGACGGTGTGCTCTCCCGCCTGTGTCAGCAATGCGGCCGCTTCCACGAGCTTTCCGCCTTCGAGGGCAAAAAGCGAACCTGCAGGGCCCAGCTGGACAGAATCAGAAAGGCAAAGGAGCTTCGAAGGCGCAAGGCCGGCGGCAGCGGCGGCTCCGAAAGCCCGGATCCAGCGGATGCGGATGTACGAGAATCCGATGCGGACATGAAGGCGGAGGGAACGGATACCGTGGCCATGGATGCATCAACGGCGGCGACCAGGCGCCGGGATGCCAATCGCGGTGGCGGTGGACGCGGCAGCGGCAGCGGCGGCACTTCTCTGAATAGCCGATCCAGCGAGCTGACCAGCAACGGAAGTGGTGGTGGAACCGGAGGAGGAGGAGGCGGAGGAGGACGCGGGGCCACCGCCGCTGCGGCTGCGGCTACAGTGACGGCTGGAGAGACGGTCAGCGGCGGCCGTGACGGCGGCATCGGCAGCTGTAGCCGGGGGGCAAAGGCCCGTAGCAGTCAGGGCGTCGTCGACGTCTGGTCCCAACGGGATGAGGCCGCCGCTGCAGCTACCGATGTTGGTGTGGGTGATGGTTGCGGAAACGTAAGCGATGGCAGCGTGCTGGGTGCGGCGGCGGCGCAGGGGATGGTGGTGGAGCAGCCGGCCGGACATGGCCTCATGGCCCCGATGCCGGTCCTGGCAGTCCCCTACTCTCACGACCACTATCACAACCACCACTACCCACACAATTACGACCACCACCATCAACAGCAACAGCATGACGTTTTCCCGTCAGCTGTTGGACGATACCACAATGGGTCGGGGGGCGCGGCAGCGGCAACGGAAAGCGGCGGAAGGAGCGCCAATGAAAGAGGCGCAACCAACGTGGACGCAGCCGCCGGTGCAGCGGCCACGGCGGGGTCCACAGGATCTCAAATCGCGTCCAAAGCCACGGGCGCATCCGTAGGGGCGGATCAACGGCTTGCCAAGCAGCAACAGCTGCTACAGCAGTTGGAGTCTGTGCGGCAGCGAAAGGACACACAGAAACAGCAGCTACAGCTGCTACGTTCCGAACTGGGGCTACAGCCGGGTGGTTACGGCGATGGGAAGGGTGATGGCGGTAGTTGGCTCCCGGTAGCCTCGGGAAGGTCCACCAGCTGGGTAGGCATGACGCAACATTGCGGTGGGACCAGTAGTGACCCACGGGTCCTTGGAGAGCAGCTGCTGCCGGGCGCCGCGCCCGCAGCCCCATTCGGTCCTCCGCGTTTCCTTTCATCCTCGGCCTCCTCCATCCTGGCGAGCTTGGAGCCCATGGCGCGGCTGGCTCGGGGTAGTCCCCACGTAGGATTCGGCCAGCCACCTCAGTCGTACTGGTCCACGGGCATGGGCATGGAAGGTGGGGCTGATGCCATGCCCCGAACTGCGGAACACGGCTCCACTGTCTCCACGGCAATGGCAGCGGCGGCAGCAGCAGGTTTCCTTGGAGCACCTGGCGGCGGCCGCGCCGCTGCCGCAACGCACGCCAGGGCTGCACACGGGTTGACCTTTGGGCCCGGCGCCACTACCGCCATTGGTGTCGGCGGTGGCGGAGGCGCGGATACGAGCGCGCGAGCGGGTGGCCTGGGTGCCGTACCGGGAGGGGCACCAATCCTGGTTGGGAGCTCCGGGGGCGGGGGCGGGGCCGGGGTGGAAGGTGGCAACGTCCTGGGTAGCGGCCGCCCAGGTACCCAGTTCTACGGTTCACACTACCGGGACCACCAACTGGGGGCAGGTGTGCCCTCCCAGAGCGTGGTGGGTCTTAGTGGAGGAGAAGGAGGAGGCTATGGGAGGTGGCTCGGGGATGGGAATTACCTGCCGGGCCCCAAGCAGCTCCAATATCAGGACCGCAAGCAAAGCCAGCAAGGTCAGCCGGACATCAACACCCTTCGACGGCAAATGCAAACCGGCGGCGCTGCGGGCGGACTCCTGCATGCGGCCACCACTCGTCCCGAGTGTACGACATTGGCAAGCGAGGGGGAGCTGCAAGGTCTTCTAGAGGAGTTGGCGAGCACGGCATTTACGGCAATTGATAAATGTGGAATGGCTGCGCTGCAATCCTCCTGTGGTGGGGGCCGCGGTGGAGGTGCCATGACGGTGGGCGAGCTTGCGGTAGCGGTGCCGCCGGAGGCGGCGGCGACAGCGATGATGCCGGGTGGTATTGCATTTCCCGGCGAGGCTGGGCCCAGGGGCGCTACTACTATGACAGGTACAGCTACAGTTGGGCTGGCGGGGACGTACGGCACGGACATGATGGCGAAGGGCCATGCGATGGCGGACGATGTGGAGTGGGCGGCGGTGGCAGCGGCGCTGGAGAGCGGCTCGCAGGTTCGTCTAAACCGGACAACAAACACTGCCAACACCGTTCAGCAAGCCCAGCAGCAGCAGCAGCAACTTGCCCACCAACTGCAGTCGATAGAAAGCTGGGGAGGTCCATCTGCAGCTGCACTTGCAGCAGGCAGCGGCCCCGATCAAGCTCATCCTGGCCTGCAATTGTTCGGAGACAGGAATGCCGGTGGCGGTGGCAGCGGCGGCAGCGGCGGCAGCGGCGGCGGGCCACCCTACATTGCCCGTGACCACATGACTCGTGTGACTTTGAAGATGATGAACTGCTTGCCGGACGAGCTGCCGCCCAACTTGGGTGCAAACCTCCAGCGCTGGGTTTCGAACAGATCAGCTGCGGAGGTGCTGCAAGCGTGCATGAGACCAGGTACAGGAGCCATGTACGGGACGCGCACGGACGTACACGTACATAAGCGGCCGTATGCATTAGCAAATGGCTGTTCGTACTGTATACGTACCTATGTGCATCGCTGCGTACAGCAAATGTGTGTGTACGTGTGTGCGTGCATGTAAGCGTAAAGCATTCGGGTAAAGACGATGCTATTTCGGTACCTGGTTCGTCTTGCCTCTTGCCCTTCTTGGTGTATCGTCCTCTGTCTCCCCTGTCTCTCCCTTCTAACGCTTCCAACTCGCCTGTCCTATCGTAAAGGCGGGTTAGGAGGGTGACATCTCGCCAGCGTGCCTGGGCCGATTTGCCTGGTTCCGTAGCTCCCGTCCCCCAGCTCGACCACCCTACCACCGTCTGCTGCTTTTGAGCAAGGCACTGGCGCTTTGAACGTTGACAGTTTACCTCCTTGCTTCTTGTATGTTGACTCCCGCCCCCCCCCAACCCCCCCAAACTCTCCCACCACACACGCAAACACACACACACACACACACACACACACCTGGTTCCCCAGGCTGCTTGGAGCTGCTGGTGGATGTGGTGCATGTGCGCTCCGCCCACGAGCTTGCGGCGGCGTTGCTGGCCGAGGGGCGAGCCGAGGATGCGTGGACAGCTCTTAAAAGGGTCATCACCCATAAATTGGCGGCGGGTGGGTGGTGGTGGCCCCGGATGGTGCTGGTGGGTCCATCCACTCCCGAACACATGCCGGCCCCAACAACCACTACCCTGCTCAAGTACTCGCGCTGCGCCTAGCCTGCCTCAGCCAATGGTGCATTCCCACATCCAAACATAAACAACTCCGTGTGCTTCACTTTGTTCGTATTCGTACTTCAATAGGGTTGTATATCTTTGTATTCGTACCGCATTTTCACGAGTGCAGCCTCGGACATGTGTACATGTACGTTGTCGTGCATTTCCGTACAGACAATGAAGTGGTTCTGGAGGTGTGCAACCTTGTCCTCAGCGCGACCCCCGGGAGCCCGGGGGGTGGGGTGCGCATCCGCACATGGGAGGAGGCGGCGGAGGCATTCGCCGTAGCTGACGGCAGCGCCAGCGTGGTAACGCACGCCTCCGCCGCCGTCGGCCCTGCCGGGTCCTCGGAGACCGCGGCGATGATGACGACAACAGCGGCGATGGGCAAAGAAGCCGCACGGAGCGGTACAACGGATTTGGCGGCGGCGGTGATTGCAGCGGGAATGAAGGGTGGGCCCAGGGGCCCATCTGCCGTACAAGCCCCCGCCACAGCTGCCCCCGTACCACCCCTGGACTCTAAGCGGCAGTCCTCCCAGCCCGTCATCTTAGACAGCTCACTGGTTGCGGTTCGGAGCGGTGAGGGACGGGGTTTGGTTGGGTCCGTGGTGGGGGCAGGAGTGGGTTTGACACACATATAATGTGTGGGTTTGACATACATACAAACACAGATATACACACTTACACACGCACGCACGCGCGCACACATGCAGACGCACATTCTTCGCGCAGTCATCCACTTCACAATAACAGAAGCCCGTGCTGCTCCGCTGATCTACTTTCTATTGGTGAATATGCTCCTTGGCGCCATGCTGGCCAGTTCCTATTCGCGGCCCAGTCCTTTGAAACGTGAACATATGCACAGGCCATGACAGCTGTCCTTGCCACGTGCCGGGCCTTGTTAACTGTATCACCACTCGGTGTGTCTACCATATGGTACCGTACATAGCATATGTCCACACATGTACATCTTGTAGGAGTAAAACGACCGCATAAACCTGCTCAGCATAACCATGGGCTCCCTCCATGCGGCCCGATTTCTCGCCTGCCAGTCGCCGTACCTTGCCGTACGTGGCTTGGGAAATTCCAAAGAGCTAAAGACGCCGTGCACGCTGCTAAAGGCGTTGGAAACTCTTCCCTGATACCGTTTTTCCGCTCCTTAGCTGCTTAGACCCTTCGCCCTCCCTTGCACGACCTTGTTACTAATCATACGGAGTCATCGCTCACACATGACACCCCCTCCACCGATTACGTAGCTCTCTCCCCGGGGGGGGAGGGTTCCCGTTGGTCAGGGGGCCGCCAAACGCCATCTGACTTCCCCTGGAGCATTCCCCTTTGCCCGCCTCCCTGACCCTGACCAACCCCGGCCAACCCCATTCCTGTATCCCCACATACACACGTCAGCAACGGCCCTTACATTCACTCTGTACGGCAAAGGCCTGTCAGACGATGACGTGGACATCCTAGGCCGGATGAGTGGTCAAAACTTGCAGATCACAACCCGCAAGCTGCTGACGACGACGCCGACGACGGCCCGGACTGCCACGGCAGCGGCGGAGCATGTCTCGCGCATCGCCGTGCTCGTCCAGCCTGTACGGCAGGGCGGCATGTTAATTCTGGAGCCGCGGCGGGGCCGGCTGCTAGGCGGTTGGTG